TGGGAGAGGAGGAAGGCAAGAACCGACCACTACAGCAGGAATGGAGGAGAGGCAGGCCGCAGACAGAACTGAGTCGACGACGAAGGAGGAGAAGGGAGGGTTCCCGAAGCTAGAGCAGACTATCACTTGGTCGAGATTAGAAGCAAGCAGCTGCAGGAGAGGAAAACTTAGACATGAATCTGACTCTTCCTCTCCTCTCCTCTCTCTCCTCTCTCTCTCTCTCTCTCTCTCTCTCTCTCTCTCTCTCTCTCTCTCTCTCCCTCTCTCTCTCTCTCTCTCTCTCTCTCTCTCTCTCTCTCTCTCTCTCTCTCTCTCTCTCTCTCTCTCTCTCTCTCTCTCTCTCTCTCTCTCTCTCTCTCTCTCTCTCTCTCTCTCTCTCTCTCTCTCCCTCTCTCTCTCTCTCTCTCTCTCTCTCTCTCTCTCTCTCCTTCTCTCCTTCTCTCCTTCTCTCCTTCTCTCCTTCTCTCCTTCTCTCCTTCTGTGCTCTATCAACCCAGTCGCCCCCTTCTACATCACGCGATCAGCCTCCTCAAGTTTTACTTATATTTATAGCTAAAGCTGTTCGTACAATTGAAGCACCCCACCGTCTGAGCTCTAATTTTTGCATCTTTGATGGATAATACCAGGGTGGGGGTGGTGCCTATAGGGTAGGGTGTGCTTGCAGGGTATTGTTTCCCACTGGGGGTTAATGCATGGGGTTACATCGTAAAGAGGGGTACTATAATGGTCTAATGAAAAGTACCCTACCATATTTATTAGGAATGTTTTGTAGATAAAATTACCCCTACATGACATGACCCCACCGTCATTCAAATCATGTTGAGTCATTGTACCCTACCCACTCTAAACTTGCAAGCATACCCTACCCACATACCACCCCACAACCAAGTATCCCACTCCTATAAGTCAGCCGCCGCTAATGCCGCGGGCCAGACGCAGCATGCAGGCGGTTTCAGGTGTTGGGAGGATCATACGGGGAGAAGCTCTAGCCCTTGTCCTCCTCTCATCTCTACTCCTCGCCCTCTCTTCACATTCCTCGTCCCCTCGTCTGTCTGTTCTTGGAGGTGCGGAGGAGTCCTTGAGCGGCCTCCAATCCCCCCACCTTGCGTTCTCCTCCCCTCCCCAGGGTCTCCATCATCACTTCTCGCATGCACGGGCATGCCGCCTCTCCCTAAGACCCGAATCTGTCCCTCTCCGCTCTCAAGCTACAACTCGAGGAGAAGGGGTTCTTGGGATGGTTGCTCAGATGAGAGGAAGAGGTAGAGGACGAGGCGGCGGCGGGCGTGGGCGTGGAGGGCGTGGAGGGCGTGGAGCACCGATAGTGACAAGAGCAGATGATGTGATCATGAACGACGACATTCCCTTCGATGAAATCAGGGTTGTGCTCTCAAATCCGGATGGCAGAGATGAGATGCTTGGCATTATGAGTAAGGATGAGGCCTTGGCCCAAGCAGAGGACAAGGTGCGTTCAGAAAGGAAAGAGGGATGTGTGTGATTGTGCGGAATGTCAATGATGGATTTCATTGCTTTTGTGACTTGCTCGTGTGTTGGATGGTGCTGTTTTTCAATGGACTCCATGATTGTTTCCTACCGATTGATGATATTTCTGAATCTTTCTGTTTTAGGGTCAAGATTTGGTTTTGATGAGTCCGGATGCCAAACCACCTGTCTGCAAGATCATCAATTATGATAAGCTGAGATACGAGAACGAGAAGAGAGAGAAGATGAAGAAGAAAAACTCTAAGAACGCAGAACTCAAGGAAGTGAAACTGTCATACAAGATTGATGTGCACGATTACGAAGTGCGAAAGAGGGCGACAATAAAATTCTTGACTAAGGGAGATAAGGTCAAGGCTTCAATCCGCTTCAAGGGCCGTGAGGTGGCCCATCAGCGTTTGGCCGAGTCGACCTTCGCCAGGCTCATGGAGGACACGAAAGAATTTTCTACCGTCGAGAAGAAGCCGATGATGGAAGGTCGACAGATGCAGATGATCCTCTGTCCTCTACCTGAGATTGCTCGTGCTGCTGAAAAGCTGAAGAAGGAGAAGAAGGCGAAGGGAAAAGCAAAGGGCAAGCTTGGAGAAGAAGAGGAAGACAGTGACGATGAAGATGAAGACGAGATCGCGGCTGGAATGGATATTTTGGACGACGAATCAGAAGAAGATTTTTCTATCGACTACGACATTGACTCCATTTCGCTGGTCTGAATGCTTTGCTCGGAAGTTTCCTGCTTGTGATCTTCATGGTGTACAGGACGAAGTCAACACTAAGATCAAAGAAGTAGGTGAACGAGTCCGGGAAATGAAATCGGAGGGAAAGGGCAAAGACCAAATAGCTCCGCATGTAAGTTCTCTTGAATGCAACATGTCAATAGTGGGATCTTAGACCTCTTCTGATGTGTTTGCTCCCTCGCAGGTTGATGAACTACTGGCTCTCAAGGCAAGATTTCAGGAGATCACGGGCGAAACGTGGGTGGCCGAGACAGCCAATGCATGATGTGTCGGAAATTTCAAACTGAATCAAATATCTTCGAGCTCTAAGGATCTCTGAATGTTTTCACTTCCAAGAACGGATTCAACCTAGCATTTCGTACTTTATGAAAGATTTTGAAATTGCAAGGTGACGCTGAACTGTGATTTCTGGAATGACATAGCAAAACAATGTTGTGAATACAACTATTGTTTTTCTTTACTTGGCCCCCGACTTAGTCCATTCCAGAAGAAACAAATTTTTCCAACATGAGCTTGACCTTGCTAAACTGTTTTTCAGTGAAGGGCTCCTCCATGGCAATCAAACCCCTTTCCTCGAGTCTATGACCTCCCTGCATGTTGTATGTAGTTAGAGAGAATAGTTTTCTGATGACACAGTACCTTGAGATCATAGCTCTTGGCATGTGCTAGCCCATTAGTTCCTCGTTTGCTTGGGTTGCTCCGCCCATTTTGCTGACGTTTGAATGTGTACAAAATCTTTCCAATCAATTGGTCTCTTTCAAGGAGAATTCTATAATTCAGCCTGGCTGCCGCCTGTAGAAGATATGACAAATGCACCCATGCACTGGAGCAAATTTCTCAAATACCAAAGCCTGGCTATGCAATTCCTTTCGCAACGTTTGAATCTCGGTTTGAAATTCACCTTGGTCATCACGAAATCGCTCGTTTGCACTGCAGTCGTAAGATGAGCGAAATACAGCTTTAGCCTTTCTCACTGCTCACCTCCAGCCACCAGGTGTCGTGTCATTCGAATTCTTCATGACAAATGAACTCAACTCGGGCTGGCAGCCATGTAGCACAACAATCTTACCTTCTGACTATCCCTTTTTCTTCCATGTACCCCGTAGGTGCAGCCATCCATTTCAGTTAACTCCTAATGGCTTTCGATCAGATATGATTTGAAACATTCTGTTTCCACATTAGCAACTACCTGTTCCACTTCATCGCTGCTCAAATGGTCATGACATGATCGAGGTGGTTGCACAGTTTTGATCTGCAAAATCAGAAAGTCACAAGCATTTCAAAATGACGAAATCTCACCTCCATCAAAAATTCTTCTATGATCTTTCTTTCACGACATTCTTTCTCAAGTTTCTGAGTTGTATCCTTCCACATACCTCTCATTCTGTTCAATTCACTTCCAAGCAGCTGAGAACTTATCAATTGCGATGAAACGTAAACCTCAATCACCTGAATCTCATGCCTCAAACTGGATACCATCAGAGTTGAGTCTTCTTGCGTTATGTGCTTCTTTTTGCAGCATAAGCCCATAACATCACTTTCATGATTCTGTTAAAAAGCCACATACGAATAAGAGAACACCGAACAAACAAAATCCCTCACATCACAGAGGCGATCCTTTGATGATGGTATGAAATCTGTTTGTGTTGATGAATCCATTGATGAAAATCGATTCCTACGCGCTTTCTGATCACGCATCACTTTGTTCAAGCCATCACGAAGGTCCTCCAAAACTTCATCTCTTCGATGAAGTTCATCACGAAGACTATCAAATTCTGCACTTCGGCAGGCAAGTTCATTTTTCAATCTGACTATCTCATTGGAAGCCGTTGCAAGAAAAGATTCAATTTTTCGTTTTGTTGTCCTTTCATTTTCGAAACACTCGATCAGGAGTTGGATTGCAGACATGATTCTTGCTCTTGGAGCTTCTTTCTGCTGCATTATTGGTACCGTCAAATCGCAGCGAAGCATCAATGACAACAGCTCCTCTTCGAAACTTGGCAGAGAATTCTCATGAAGGCGTTGCTGCGAAGTTGCTTGTTGACAGGTAACATGTTTACTCTCCTTGTTGGCCTTGTCTGTTTTCATATTGTTGATGATCATGTTCTCTTTGTTGTTCGGATCGACTTCACCTTGTTCAATCGCCCTGCTCTGTTGTACGACCATCATGGCGCACTGGTGACCGCCACGGATTGTGCTGAACGGCACTGTAGGTCACGACAAGGGGTGGGTAGTACGGTGCCTGGCACAACCGTGATACCTACTTTGCCCAACTGGGGGCCTTGGAGTGGGTGGCCCTAGGTACGGTATTGTGATTTCAATCGAGAGCCACATATGAAAACAGAGATGTCCGGCTAGATACCGAAAGTGAAGGCGTGACAGCCGCCCGCAGGGCCGAGTCTTTTAACCGGCGGAAGCCTAGTACGGGCGCACTGGTCGACGGTCCGGGGGTGATTGCCGGACCCCTGGGTCATCCCCACAAAAAAAGTTCCGTTCACGGGGTATTCGACAGAAACGCGTCCAAAATCATGGATATAGGACAATTGGATAAATAGTACAAATTGTTTCGATAGTAACGCTTCTTGGATTATTTTAAACAGTATGAAAATAGCAAACTCGGTACTAATTTAAGTTACATTTGCCCTTTACAAACAATTATTGCTAAGGTACCGTAGTACGACCCCGTACAAACTCTCCAACTTGGTACTACTTTCCCGCCAACAAATCTGGCCATTCCAGCACGCCGCGGACGCCGCGCCATGGCAGCTCTGCATCCCACATCGTTCATGCACCATGTTGAAACCATACGTTCTCAGCTGGGGCTTTCCTCCAACCTTCGTATAGGTCAAGTTATCTCGAAGGGACATCAACTCGTGGGATGGAGGCTTGACGGGAACCTCGTGGAAGCGGCTAGTCGTCTTTATCATGAACTGGCAGACCAATCTATGCCTACTTCTCCCGCCACGGTCAATGTTAGTCACACAACAGTACTGGCAGGTCTTCAAGTAGGTGATGATGATACATCACAGCATATGCCTTTTGATAGTAAGGCTGGCCCACCTGATTGTAATGACATAGGCAGTTCTCTTGATACAGAGGATATGTCAGACGATGATTTTCAGCAAGGCTCTCTTCGTCCTGTGCAGTCCGGGAACAAGTATGGTTCTTCTGCGATGCATTCCATATCACCAGCCCCTGCCCCGCCCCTTCAGTCCCCTGTCGACGCAATGCTATACGCAACTCCATCCGCCATTGTCCCCGCCGTATGTCATGCTTCCAAGCTTCAAGGCAAACATTTCCTCAAACGTAAACAGTGTACGTCTTATGTACAAGAAATCAACTTTCTTAATGGGAACAAGGGTGTTCGTGTTCAACGAGCTCCCTCAGGATTTAAATCATATCTGATCCTGTGTACGTGTGAAGGATGCAGGTAACCTTTCGGTGAGAACACGTATCTCCTGTAAATGTGGGTGGACAGGTACCGGTTGGTAGCCAAAAAATCTGTGAGCCTTGCTCAGAGATATAAGAGTTACTGGTATATAGATGTCGAGAATAGCATTACTCGACATTGCAAACCCATGTGTACTTCAGTGGGAACGGGTACTATACGATTCTTGGTGAACAACGAATACTTTCGTTCCTTGCTATCCACTTCGATTGGAGATGGCGGTGGTTTGCATCAAACCCGTATGACCGCTAAGGAGTTGCAAGTTGCGATCAAGTCTGAATTGGGTGTAGATGCTAGTCTTGCAACTATATTCAAAGCTCGATCACAGGTTGAAAGTGGATCTTGGGACGAAGATCGAGAATCCTATCTCCTTCTGGAGAACTGGATGGAGGAATATACCTCCGTGAACAAGGGAAGTCGCGGAGTTGTCATGTCACCCATGCCTTCCAGCAGGGGCAATTCGTTTCGTGGAGCATTCCTTGCGAATGGAACCATGATCCATTTGGTGAAGACTATTGGTCTGCGCTTTCTAGGACAGGACTTCTGTCACATCACACACAGGTTCCCCCCTTCAATCTTCTTGTTTCCCGTGTATGTTGTGGTGTGATGATTCTACATAGGTGGTATTCTGGCAAAATCATGGTGATTGAAGCAAGGTTGGGAACTAATACCATCATCACTCTCGCAGTAGGTATCTTCTGATACTTCTTCCCATCTTGCCTTCCTTCACCAACACAGCTAACAGGTGTGTTTGCTTCGTGGAAAGAAGAAGGCTCCGTGGTTGGTGACGAGACAGAAGAAAATACTGCGTTCATGTGGGACCAGCTGAAGGCCACGGGATTGAACGAATGGTTGTCTCGCGACTCGGGGCCTTTGACTATTATCTCCGACCGGGGGAAGGCTATCCTGGCGGGAGTGCGACGTGCTATGCCTGAAGCCGATATTATCTTCTGTTGCTTCCACTTGCTCTGCAACATCAACCAACATTGCAAAGGTATCATCATCGTGATGGATTTCAATAGATATTGGTCACATATCTTCACAGAACACCGTGCTCCTTGCCTCACCACCAATGGGAAAGGCACTTGTCCTGCCACTCAACCATTCTTCTGGCAAGCACAGGTCATTTGACAAACCGATCACTTGTCCGAGTCGTTCACACGTCTTAGTCTGCAGTGACTTTGCGCCGATTCGAAGATGCTATGGCAAACCTGAAAGAGCACAACCCAGTGGCACATGATTACCTCAATGCTATAGACCATAAGTGTTGGGTAAGCACTAGGTTGTATGATTGTGCGACATTGACTTGGAGCAGGCAAGGTATGCGCAATGCAAAGAGCCAAAAGATGCTTCTGGCAACCGAGGATCTTACATCTGGACTTATGGAATACGATGCAACAACAATACTGAAAGTGAAAATGCAAGACTCCGTCATAATCTGTCCAGATCATCTGATCCATTGAGATTTTTCCAGATTCTGTCGAATACCCCTTCCGTTCACTGCCAACTGATTTTCCTTTGAGTAAAGATTTACCGGTAGGCCCACCGGCGGCGGGCCCTCCGAGTCGGCTCATCAGTGCAGTGCCGGGGCCGACCGTCCGCCGACCGACCGTCGGGCCCGGCTGAGTACGCCGGCCGGGCCGGGGGCCGCTCTGGCCGGGACCCGGTGGCGCTATCCGATGATCATAGTATGAAGCCGCTGAGCGGCGCAGACTCAGCGGCCCGGCCTAGCCTAGGCTGCCGCAGCGGCCCCGCCCAGACGGTGGCACGGTGGTAGCCATTCCATTGGGTTCTCGACTGGATTTGTTTGTACCAGGCTAGCCTGTTTGTACCGAGGTATAATTGAGTTTTACCGGGTTCAAGGATTTTTGTATCAGGATCCCCTTTTCCCCTCCGTACTAAGTTTGTACTGTCAATGTCAGCATTTCCCGTGGGCCGGCAGAGCTCCCTCGACTCAGCTCTACACCACCCGTATGTCTCAGAAGAGATGAAGTCAGGGTAGGTAGTCTGATTTCAGGAGTGGGCGAGAATCATAAAAGTCTTGGGCATTCTGGTAGTGGAATTGACGCTGAAAAGCAATCTCTTCGATTGCCGTTAGGATTCGAACGCGTGGTCAAACAGCACCCACCTGAGCTAGAGTCTTATACTCGAGGGGGGTGGCCGCGATGTGGGTTTGAATCGCCACGCCTTTGACCCCATTATTTCCACTCCAAACCTCCTTTTCGCGTAGGGTGGGTCACACTCTCGAGCGTTGCGAGTTTTACGGTTCGAATTTGACCAAGGTTCACCCTCTACCCCCCAGTCTCTGAATTTCAAATGGGAAAATGATGGGTAGGGGGTACGGTCCCCCCATTTGTCTCCACTCCAGCCCCCCCCTCCCTCGGCGAACAAGAGATGGTGAGATTGTCCCATTGACGCGCGTAAGGACGATAATGAACAATGTGAGACTTCGAATCTAACCATGCATTGATATGCAGGAAACGAAGATACGGTTACTTGTCTATTTGTGATGACTTGGTCTCTTCTGTGAAATTCAAGAAGTAGCAAGAGATTTGAACTCAACATCTCTTCCTCAACATAAAGCCAATGCAACATCTCTATCATTACCACGCTGCCTCAAATTGCACTAAGACCACTTAGATCACTTAGCTTAGGCCGAAGATGATGTCAAAGCTGAGCAAAAAATTCAAATTCTTGCACAATGACGATTCATTCAAAATGTTCAAGTGTAATTTCAGAATGGACAGAAGATGGCATAGCAACAGCCGATCTCAGCATGTATTTTGAAACTGTGATGGTAAGCAAAAACATCATACGAAACAGTGTCTACCTTGTGTTTCTCTCTGTCTCATGGTCTACGGTATCCTTCGTGGCACAAACCTACATGGCCAGTGAGTTGCATCGGGAACACTGTAGATGTGCTGATTGGACAATGGCAGGTACATGATATGGTTGGCGATATTCAGAGTTTTAAGAAGATAATCGTTTGTATCAGATGCTTGCTTCAGACGTGTCGATATGAGATTCCTTTCTACGCTGATAATCACGGCAGTGAATCGTATCATCGTGTTACTGCGGCATTGCCGATGATGTTGATGAAGCATCTTTCATGACAACCCGTGCAAATGCTTATTCTCTCTGCAAATCCTTTCTCGCAATTGCTCCAACCATGCAATTTCAGGAAAGTGTCTTGCACACTCCGAGATAGTATTGCATGTTTGACATCTAGGCTGTGATACCAGGGATCAAGCGATATATAGAGTAGGCAAAGGCTGTATCAGTCATGCAAACTTGAATCTGCGTAATAACAGTTTCTGAAGATTGTTTATTTGCCAACAAATAAAAGATGCTTCACCATGATGGTGATTACTGTGGTCCCTTGTATACAACAGCTCTGAAGCAGCACTGTCCTGGTAGTAGCGGCTCACAGAACACAAAGCACGCAATGGACAGGAGGAACTTCGGGAGGATGTCACAGTAGACCGTATAACACTCTGAGATACACTTTTCAAAAGAAGGAGATGCAAACAAATAGAATGATGTTGCATGCAAATCGAAACAGAGGTGTCAGGATCCTAAATGAATCATGTTGGCAACAAGGTTTGAATTTTCACCAAAGACAATTGAAACTCTACTGATCACAATAGGGATGACAATGAGGATGTGTAAACAATCACATCTGCTAAGCGTTGCTATTTGTTGCCAAGCGGAAACGCACCTGTGAACAACCTGGCATAGATCATCGTGATCTTCATGATAGCGGATTCAACAACCAGGAGTTAAAAGAACCCGTAAGCCCAGGGTGCTATTTGTCCATCGAACTTCAATCGAACTCTGAAGTTGAGATAGGAAGGAACTTTGAATCTTCAAGAACAGGGGTTTATGTAAACTGGAAGGTGGCACATCTTGAAAGTCAATGTTTTCATTGGAGGACATATTATCTCCATTTCTTCTAGTCTCGATGCCTCTCAACGCAGCTGATTGTGGGCTTATGCGTGTTGCAACCCCAGGAAACAATCATCGTTGGCGCGACATGCGTGCCCGACCCATTGCGTCTGATTATAACATGTAACCAATCTGATTTCACACATCCAAAAAATTTGCTAACACTTTGAAATTTGAAGGGAAGGTTTGTTTGTTTGTCCGTACTGTTCGTTTGTTTGTTTGTCCGTGCTGTTCGTTCGTTTGTTTGTCCGTACTGTTCGTTTGTTTGTTTGTCCGTGCTGTTCGTTTGTTTGTTTGTCCGTACTGTTCGTTTGTTTGTTTGTCCGTACTGTTCGTTTGTTTGTTTGTCCGTACTGTTCGTTTGTTTGTTTGTTTGTCCGTGCTGTTTGTTTGTTCGTTTGTCCGTACTGTTGGTTTGTTTGTTTGTCTGTACATGACAACATGGCGGTCATGGAGATCTACTGGTACACTCATTGTGTAAGTAAGTGCGCTGGTCTGACTGTATGGTCTGAGCACTGCAGCTTGCGCATGCACATCAAGAGCATGGACGCTGAGTGGAAGCACAACTATGGGTAAACGGGTCAGTACAGAGATAAGATCAGAAATGTCATCGAAGAATGCAAGCTCGACGCTGAAGTAAAATTATTGTTGTTGGTATTGTTGTTGTTGGTATTGTTGTTGTTGTTGTATCATGAGGATGAGGATGAGGATGAGGATGAGGATGAGGATGAGGATGAGGATGAGGATGAGGATGAGGGTGAGGATGAGGATGAGGGTGATATGGTGGCGGGAAGCCTGGGGATGCTACCATTCGAACGGCATCTCAGCTATGCCCTGACCTTATCAAGCTCCCTGAGAGCGAAAGCGGGAGGCAAGGGCTGGCTGGTGGTGGAGGAGAAACATGCGATCTGGGACTTCCTCAACCGCTGCTGCCTCGATATCGATGCCCGCACGAGGATGACTGCACAGGAGGCTCTGAGGCATCCCTTCCTCGCTAGTGGTATCAAGTAAACCGTCTCTACCCGAAGCTTTCTCCTTCCTCGCCTCTCCTCCAAGCCCTCCTCCCTTCCTCGCTAGTGGTCTTGAGTAAACCGTCTCTCCTCTGGCATCTCCCAGTCTCTCGCGATCAGCATATCAATACTTCCCAGGCTTCGCTTTTCCTTCCAACCCCTCCTATCCCCTCTCCTTCCCCCCTCCCCTCTCCCCTCATCTCTCCTTCCCCAGCCTCTGAAACTCCAATGACATGTTACAATCGCCATGCCACTGGCTGTTGAGAGCATTTCACAAGACTCAAACTGTTGTGGAATGCGTTGGGAGAAGCCTAAAAAAATGCAATCATGGCAAAGCACCAGCAAGTCTCTTGAAATATGTTTCATATACAACCGACGAAGCATTCTGGTACAGGAAGCTAGGCCGTCATCGCAATAAGGAGAATAGCATTTCCTTTATGTCTTCGAAGGTTGCCTCTCTGATCGATTCCTTTCATGTTTCCCTTCTGAAAGTGTGAAAACAGCTGATCAGGGCTTTGGCACATCAGAATTGAGGTGTTTCAGTGCAAGTATGACAAGGAAAGTCACACAATTATTGGATAGCGTGAGCATGCAAATTTGAATGCATACCTTACACTATTACAAGTCAATGCACTGTTACAACTATGCTCACAATGCTTCAAAGCATATTTGCATTTACACGCAACTCAACGAACTGAGATTCAAATATTTCCTTTCCACAAAATTCTTATTGCAACATGATATGCATCCGATGATCATCCTCAAAACACTCTGCTTAAAGGAAATGCAGTCGTTTTCCCACATGATACATTCAAATCTGGTCAAATTTGGCATCAAAAGATGTTCTTGTCATCACATTGATGTATGCATCTCACAACATGGTGCCCACAGGGCGCGATCTGCTTGAACGTGAGTCTCCCAAACTGACACCGTGTACAACATTGGTACATTCTGTACAACGTTTAAAAATTCCAGAAATGGCACGGTGCTGGCAGGATCCCACAATTTGAAATGGCGTGGTTTGACAGAAGTAAAACATTTCAAGGAAAATTTTCGCTTTGAAATCCAAAACCTATTCATTCAGAAAAATCCAGGTAGAAAAAGACCCCGCCGAGACGGAATAAAATCCAGTGACGGCATGAATGCTCCGGCGCCGGGGTACTCAGTGACTAAGCGGCCTACTAGGGCTAGTAGAGCAGCGGCCGGCGGCCCGGCCGCTCACAGAGTCAGGCCCGTGACTCTACTGAGTGATCGGAGCAGTCACTGGGGCAGGGCCGCCCGTCCGGCGGGCACCGTGACTCCGGGTCCGACCGTACGGTCACACGTGACGGGCCGGGCGCGGCTTGAAGTTAAGGCTAGCACATTCTTTCCGAAGGTCCGTGTACCGTAGCCTTTGAAGCCTGTGAGGCTGTCTGACGGTCGGACGCCAGTGCCCGGCCAGCCGAAGTTAACTTACTGAGTTGACTCTCAGTAGTCGGCGGTGTTCACGGGCCCGGGTTGAATTTGGTTGCCCGGCACTGCAGTGAGTGCCGGCTGTGACCGTACCGGTACAGGGCACTGGCATGTTCAACGGTTGGTTCCCGGAGTCCAGGCTCTCATGCGGACTCTCACAGAGTCACGCTCAGCCGCCAACCCGGGTGACCAGCGTGACGGTCGGGAGTCCGAAGTCTTTGTCGAGGCCGCGCCAGGGCCTGGCCAGTGATCCGATACCACCACGCCTGGTCAGCCTGATGTTTCAAATTTTGGAGGCTGCTGGGAGCTGCACTGCGGCAGCCGCGATGATCCGGCCGGGCGGCTTCAAGCCAGCCTCAAGCAGTCATGGGCCGCCCTCCGAGTCAGGCGGGGCCTGCCGACCCGGTACACTGTGACATCCGCCGATACGCTAATCGGTGCCTCAAAGTGGAACTGCCACTTAAGGCTTTATTCAATTGACCAATACATGTACAACCATTGACTGGATGATGTCGATGACTTGATATGATCAACTTTCACACGGTCAATTAACACACAACACTTCCGGAAATGAGGTTGGGCCAACTATTTACAGCTGTGACTCTGAAGGTTCGTCGTTTTTTCTAACATACCAATTAATCCAGTCGAGCTCTGCGCTGCTATTAGTACATATTCCATGGCATCGTGTATCTGGTTCGCCTTCGAAAATGTTGTCTTCCATCACAAAATCAACTCCCAACATCCCGAAGTCTGGCTGGTCCGCCATTAGATGAACAGAACTGTTGTCTGTGGAGGCATTGGATGAGTTACTGGCACCAAAACTCGTCGTGTCATCTCCACATTCATCGGCGTCGTCTTCCTTTCTCGTTCTGGAATATGGCCATTTTGAAACACCCAATCTCCGGCAAAGATTTTTCATCGACGACAAAGAGATGCCCTGATTGGAGGTAGCGTCAGTTATTTGTGCTGGGAAATAAATAAATTTTCACTTACAAGTCGTTTCGCAGCGACGCTTTGCTTAAGATGGAAAAGCCTCATTATATCATCTCTCGTGATGCTTGCTGTCTTGCTCACTCCGATACTTGTTGGAGAGCTGGGCTTCTCAGGTGGTGGCGATGGCATTGAGAGAAGCTAATAAATTTGAACTTTCAGCAGTGATGCAATGCCAAGCAGGATCTTTGGACAAGAAGCACTGAAGAGGAGCGCAGTATGCTATGTCGCACAGCTTGGCAGAATGAGCGAAGCGAAGTCCGATTAGGTTTTTATGGAGGGGTCGTGCGCCCGGGCTGCAGGGGGTCAAAAATGTCGGTAAGGGGTGGTTTGACTGGGAGGGGTGGTGAGTTGAGAGGTTGTGGATCGAGTGACTGACCCTAAAGTTTAGGAGGGTTTAGGGTTAGAGGGTGGAAGGCCTCGGAGGCACCGACCTCTTGGAATTGAGATGTGAATCTAGGTGGGTGGGGTGGTAAGGGGACTAGCGTAACTGCGCTCAAAATGACGTATCGCGGGATTGAGTACGAAATTATCTCTTTTCGATTATGACTGAGGGTCGGAAACTGTTCCTATCTAAAATACATGTAGAGCACCCACAGATCAAGAATGAAAAATAGGGGTACATGGGTTTTTTAAAATTATTATTATCGAGTAAAAAAATAAAAAATTTTGGAACTGAAGCGTTTCGAATGATCCCTTCGACGGCCATTACCGGTACAAATGCATTGAACCAGAGGGGTGTCTCTCGGCTGGCCCCCGTGCCGATGCCACGTCTCATCGGATTACAGCGAAACGCTGCGATCCCCTCGCTTTGGTAAGACTAGTCGAATCGTATAAAACTAGAGTCTGTAGCAACCAGCTCGTTACGACCCTACAATGGATATTGGGTACCACCTCTACTAACTTTTTAGTAAAGTTGCACCGTGGCGGCAGATACCATAAAAAAAACACCGCATGGCAACGCCATGATCGCGCTGTGACTCCATCGGACTCTCGGATTGATTTTATAGTGATTTTATAGCAGTTATTAGGCTTTGCGGCCGGGAGCGGCATCTATTGTCCTCGTACTGATTTTTAACTTAACTTTGAGTAAAAGTTCTTCCGCACTGAGGAGCGTTTCACGCCAGGCCCAGAGGTCCAGATCCCCAGAACCTGTTTCAAATAAAAATATACATGTTTTTAAATATGAAATTATCACGATCCAGTCACGGTCGTTTCCCGCATCGTTTAGGTTGGGTGGTATAGGCAAGGTTAGCCACTCGTCTAAATACCAAGATATGTATTACGGCATAGTGCGGAGCTTGGGCTTATGCCATTGGTCCAGATGATTTCAAATTTAGGCCGGACGTTAGCGCAAGGGGTGCAGAATCAAATGTGCTTGAACGGTTTTCCCCCACAATTTCTCAAAAACAACTTGAATGAAGATGTTTTCCCGAGCCCACCCGGTGAGGCCGGACGTTAGCGCAAGGGGTGCAGAATAAAATGTATTTGTTTTCCCTCACAATTTCTCAAAAACGTGGCATTAGCGGTTAGGAAAATTTGAATAATATTCCGTAACGGCTATTTCTGGGGGAAAACAATACCTTGTTTTCCCCCAGATGAAGATGTTTTCCCGAGCCCACCTCGCCGTTTCACCACATGTGATTGCGGCGGCACTGTTGTGAGCGTTACCGCCTGTTCAAATTGGACTTGAATGGAGACCGTGTGATTGCGGCGGCACTGTTGTGAGCGTTACGGAGTACCGCCTGTTCAAATTGGACTTGAACGGAGACCGTGAAAAAACTGAAAACTTGGGGCCCCTCTGGGGGCTCGGCCACAACGGTTGGTTTAACTAAACATAGGTTTAACTCGGAAGCAAGGAAGCTAAATGCACAGTGAGGGCCCGGCTCCAGTGCGCCCGGCGTGACTCCGAGGGCCTGTCCGGCGGCCCGGCCTGCACGGCCCGGTCGCCCGCGGCCGATCCCACTGATTCACTGGTCGTCGGTTTCAGTTGATATAACGGTCACGGGAAGAGACGCGATGCTCTTCGCACTGGTCCCGCTTGCTGGAGTTCGCGGTTGGTCGAGCGCGCCAGGTCAGCGAGTAATGCACTGAAAAATACCATCATTAGATTCATATGATTACCGTTGTGATCCAAACACACTTGTTGCCTGCTGTATAGACTTTTGTCCACTCAACGTGCCCTCGACTGTTCTTGATGAGATTTCTTAGGTTCAATTTTGACCTGGGGCGACGGAACGAATGAAATGGGAACAATCCCGGGCATTCCTGGGTGTGAGCAAGGCCCTCCTTGCGATTGTGATTGCGATTCTATCTTCAATCAATTTGGAAACGAGCCAAAATGCTCAAAGTGTTGAGATATAAGTCGATGGATGAAAAATGCTGTTCAGACGTAGAAATTTTATTTTGAACACTTGTTTTTATCAACCTATATGGTGTTGAAATTCTTTTCATTCCATCTAGAATCAAAGCCATTTTGAGTTGCTCAAAGTTCTGGTGATTAGTACAGATGGTTGAAAATAATTCCATGGCGCACTTTGTGATGTGATATTGTGTTGAGCCAAAATGGTTGAGAATAGGACTCGGCATAAAATTGCATGCATGTCTGAATTCCACCAGGACATAAAGGGTCATGAAGGGTAGAAACTGCACTTGAGTTCACGAAGATTCAGACTTGGAAATTGTGTGGCATCCAACCGTTGAATGGCTCGTGAATCTAGTCGTTACACGCACAGCCTCTGAGCTGATTGACCCGCGATCGGAGTCCTCACTCTAGGAACCTCTGGGACTCCTATATCCAACGTACTGACGGCGCCTCACCAGGAGTCAAGTCTGCCACACTCACCGAGCCGGCTAATTTGGCTACCACTGAGTCCGGCGGAGTGACAAATCATAACTTTGAGTGAAGGACAAATCATACCATGCTAGCTGACTCTCAGTGATGAGAGTCAACTGGAGCCTGTCGCTTGTTAGCAGGAATCGCCGGCCCGACCCGCCGCTCACTACTACGGTACGGTAACTGAGTCAGGCCAGTGGACTCGAGACCCGCGCGGCGGCCGGGCACTGAGTGCTAGCCGCTCACCGATTCAGTGCCGCATCCGATCATCGGGACTCCGGAGTCCGGGAGCTTAACTTCGGAACCTATGCTACCGTACCCGGAGTGAGGCTCACCGTGACCGCTGCCGCTGAGCCTGAGCCTGGGAGAGACTCCCGGCCGCCGCGTGAGCGGCGGACAGAATCATGAATCGCCGCGACCGTGACTCAGTCCGACAGTCACAAGTTGGCACTGCCGGGCAGAAAACGCAACGAGTCCGCCGAACCTCCGAGATTCCGGCCCTGCTAGCGGCTCGCGACTCACGGTCGCGGCACTGCGCGGCAAAGGGGCCGCCGGGCCCGCGGCGGACGGCACAGCGGTCACCGTCAAGTTGGAGTCGAATCGAGGCCCGGTCACGTTTGGCGGCGCGGCCCCCCATCCGCGCATGACCCCACCTCCACTTCCCTTCGATTCCCATCATCCACCCCTCTTTTCAAAGTCAAGTACCCCTGGAACACACCCACCCTCCATTCCTGACCACAGAGCGTGATCGCTCCCCATTCTATGGCCAGTGCCCCTTCCACGCTCACTCTCTCCGCGCTTCGTGCTTCATCAGCACCTCTCTCCTCGGTTTGATCTGCTAGACCCATCGAATCATACTGTTTGGCGATATGAAGCACTACTCTACTTCATCCTCTCTCTCTTCTTGAGTTGTTTCTCAGTACGCGCTGCCTGTGCAGTGCCTTGAACAGGATCGATTTCCGGATACATCAAAGGTAGGCGGCAAGAAACAGAGTTGAAACCTGTGGGTATAAATCGAATCAGATGAAGTTTGGAGTTCCGATCTTGTCCTTCGCTTTCTTCTGCACACCTTTAGCTCTTTGCTGGCAACCTGCACCTCTTTGGTCATCAACGAATTCCAGACTCTTCACGTTCAAGAAATCAGTGCGAAGGGATGCATGTATCACATTCATTCGCTCTTCTTTGGAATCAAGCTCGGCATTAAAGCATATAGACCAGATCGTCAAAGCTGTTCCGGTTCAACCGCGAGCAGTGTATTTCTACGATTTTCTTGAGGATGGCAGATCAAGTTTCTCAGAGAAGAACTGGATGATGGAGGTCGAGGACAAAGAATTTTCAAACGAGGAGGCAGGGAGATGGGAGTCGTTCTTCTTGAAGGACGTTGGTGTTGTCCGTACGCGCAAGTCGCATCCGGCGGACGGCGGCCTCGGGCATGTTGTGTGGAACAGTGCTCGGGTATTATCTGCCCTTCTCTTGAACGAAGATTCAGACATGAAGACCAACTTCGATGGCAAGAGAGTCCTTGAGCTCGGAGCAGGCGCAGGGCTGATGGGCCTCTCCATCGCCAGGAAGCACCCTGAGGCTTCGGTGGACTTGACCGACTACCTGCCGTGCCTTGTTGATAACATCCGGGAGGTTTCCGAGAGGGAGAGCATGGAGAACATCGATGCCTGGGTCTTGGATTGGAAGAATGGGCTGATTCCCGGTGAGCGAAGTGTCATAGAAAGTTGAGAGTTAGATCTGTGAAGGGATCGAGATGACAAGATCGACATCGACTGCGGTTGCTCTGACGATTGGTTTTGTGATGACCATCAGAATGGATTCCTCCGAGGACTTGTTATGACGTGATCATAGCGACTGATTGCATCTATCATCACATCCCCGCGGATTTCACAGCAAGTAAGCCAGCTGAAGCCTTCATGATCCCCTCTCATACTTATCCAGCGGTCCTGAAATTCATCGAGCACAACCCCAATGGTACGTGTGGGCCAACTCCAATGCAGTGACGAGAGTGACGATTGAACGTGAATGCGCTACAGCAAGGATCTTGATCTCATCTCCAAGCAACCGAAACGGAATTCCTCTCGTGGTTGATCGTCTTCAGATGATTGAGGACAGGTTGGTTGTGAGGGCGTGAGGGAGGTGGGAATTGGCTCATTTGAAGCTGTGCAGGCAAGTAGAAGTTCGTCAGCTGCAGATGATAGGCTATCAAGTCATCCCCGCTGTTAGCGAGGTGTGCAAACTCATCTTTGGCCCTCGGGTTTACCTCTTGACCAACAGGACGCCTCTGATATCCGATTCAAAAAGTTTGTTGATCACTCAAATTTCACGCTCATAGACATCCAGTGAAAAGTCTTCACCCCTCTCCTCGTTTGGCTTACCCTGGCTTTCGCCACCAAATCCTTCTTGTGGAGAAGCTGGCTCATCAACTTGTTACCATCCTCAAGAGCATCAGGACAAAATTCGTACATGTGGTCAGCAGCCCCTTGCTGGCTGTCCTGCTGTGTCACCAAAGGAGAAAATCTGTACGAGACTCAATTTGAAGAATGACGAGATGAAACAAGAGAAATCGAACCGAATCTCTTTAGCTTGCAAGCAGAGCTCCTGTTCACCATGGTCAGAGATTCTATACGATAGGTTGTATCGTTACAACAAATAATCAGAAGCACGTCTTTGCCTCAGTCCTCCCTCCCCCTCCCGCACAATTCAACAGTCTTTGTCTCTTTGATGAGAAAAGAAAGCAAAATCGCAAAATTGCACAGAACAATTCATATCACCCTCTTACATACACTCTCAACTTTCCCTTCTCCTTTCAACACATCATCGTACCCCTTTCGCTTCCCAGTCATCCACAAGTTCCTTTGCTGCAAATGTCTTGTTGTCTCTGTACATTTCATCACCAATGACAGAACTCCCTTCATAAGCCATCTGAGCTCGAATTTGATGAGTCCTGCCGGTAAGGAGTTGGATCTCAGCTTCATACACAAATTCTTCATCTGTGCAACAGTGAGAACAAATTGAGATCATTGAGATGTGAGCTATGACCATCTAAAATCTTTCGGACTGTCCGACAAAGGGAAGAAACAGGGATTCTTGTTGTTTGCGAGACGTTCAACTTACACTGCAACCAAGAGCGGCAGACGGGAAATCTGCTCACAACCTTCGGGCTGAAAGTTGAAGGCTGACAACAGAGGTGAGCAAACTTACAAAAGCGCCAAGGCGTTGGTATACCTTCATGTAGTGAACGTACAACCCGATCTTCGGTCGCTCCCTTGTCAACATGAGATAGGTCTTCCTGATTTTCTTCTCCCTCATCTTCTTATAGAAGTGCGTCTTCGTTGGAAGGGAAATTCTAATCTCAATGCGCAGCAACAACACAAACTTTCAATGTCACCTTGAATTGATGTGTCCGAGCAAACACCATGATTCCATGAGTTGGCGTGTCAAGTCTGTGCAAGGTGTACACGCTGCCTTTGATTGTTCTCTGCAAGCAGGCAAAACAAGTCTCCCAGATATTGTCTGCTCGCGGGATGGACGGGACTCCCCCCGGTTTGTCCACAATACAGTAATGTTCTGTCTCAGATCAGGTCAGATAAAGGTTAAAAAGAGCCACCATGGCTACTTACCACAGACGTCAATCAGTCTATCAGTCCAATTTGTCTTGGATGCAGCAGAAAAACGCTTCGGGCTCGCGTAGACGCAAATCATTTCTCCTTGATGCAACTTGCGATCTTATGACAAAAGATGTCACCGACATCTTCATCATCAGCACAACCATCAATCCATCATCCTATCAACACCAGCAACAACACCTCGGCACAAACTTCAGTCGCACTAGTGACATGCACAATCATCCTTGAAATGTACACCTTTTGTAAGCCGATCTTTCTCATCCCAGACCGCCCCCAGTCTCATCAGGGTCCGAGCTTTTGCTGCCGTTACGGACAAACATTTCCGAACAAGTCGGCTTGCAAGGACAGCTTTCGTTTTGTAAGCTTGAAAGATTCTGACATCAGATTTCTCATCGAACGTAAAGGATGAATTCCTGCTGCAAAACAAATCAAAACATGTTTGAGGGGTTCTGCCACTATTTCACCTCCATGTCGGAAAATCTTTCAGAGCTTCAAGCACCGGTCGGTCGATGGTCTGCAAAGACGATAAGAACTCTTCCGTGCGTGTGGCATGTGGTTCATGAGAGCAGCAATAAGAGAATATCAACTGCAACTGTACCTTTCCAAGCTCAAAGATCTTCGCCACTAATAGTGATCTAAAATGCGTTCTCTTCAGACTGAACGTGTAACCAAAATGGCATCACTACCTTCTCTTCCCGATATCAGCATCCTCCAATATTTGCAAGTTACACTGAGAGTGGTGTGAAGGAAAAGCACGCAATCGACATGAAGTAACTACCTTCCATTTGTCTCCCAAACGCATGAGTGCTTGACGCATGCGAAATTCAGCCGTACGACGTAGGAGGATTCCAAGTATATCATTCCATCTGCCCTCATTCACCAGCTCTGCATCCTCGTCCTTCCTGACCGTCGAGAGCTTGTGGAAGGCTGCGACACAGTGGACCAGGTTGTGAGCCGTTAGTCGAGAAGCCTTTGAACAGATAATGCGAGAGAGCTTCTCCAACACTGCATCATCCTCCACACCAAGAACTCCCATCGACCATAGCACAAACACCGCTCCTTGCAAATTCGCCATGTCGACATCCTGACAAAACCTCTTGGCCAGCGCTTGAACGATCCAGCGCTCCTGACAACCAAGACTTGTTAAAGACCAGCAAATATGAGCGATTTCCCAGGGTTTGTATGCTTCCAAGAGTTGATCTTGATGACCGAAATGATCTATCAGAGACTGCAAGGTCGAGTCCTCCCCTCGAAATCTCAGCCTTCCCAGACCCATCAGCAATCTGAACCAATCCTTGGCCGTCAGTAGCCCTTTCTTGGTGGAGTTGGAGTTGAGCGTCTTCAGAATCTTCTCAACCATGACGATCACAACCTTCTGGCATGACCTCCTCGTACTCAAGTATCCTGCTCCCTCTACCAGTTGCGACAGGCCCGCCACGTCCACCCTCCTGAAACTCTTCTCTCTCAGCACAAGGGACGCACAGACGTTGATTGAGATCTTATCCGGGACTCCCAGCTTTGCGATAGAATGGAAAGTCCTTGCCGCTCTCTTGGCTGTGAGCTCGTACAAGCTCTTGCTCAAGAGCCTCGTGATCTCCAATATGATTCGCATGTTGTCAAACCCGACCCGCGACAGACTCATCAGGCTATTCAACAATCGGGATAGCTGCTTGGTGTTCAAATCGTGTGCAATCGACCTGGCCCTTGACATGATCTTGCTCCGCAAATGCGAAAAAGGTTTGTGGTATATCATAATTGTTCTGTTCAACCCTTGTACCTCGCTGCCATAGTCATCTACAAACATGAACTTCTTATTCTGAGAGGCCAACCTCGACAACAGGGAGAGAAACTCGCCCGTTCCGTTGCCAGAAGAGCTCGCAAGTTGGTGCATGATTCTCTCGGGGCATCGCTTGTAGTGTCGAGAAGACATTCTCCTACATGCCGCTGCCAGCGTTCCTGCACAGACCTCGGGATCCTGGACTCGGCGTTCTCCACCGCCTCTGAGAGCTGAGGCCCTCAACGATGCAGGCACGGAAGAGGACAGGAGCTTTGACTCGCCGCTAACATCTCGTCCTCCATCGAGCACAGGCAGTGTAATGATCGCCATTGCTATCAGCAGCCGCATCGCCCATCCTCCTGATACAATGTAGAACCGGCTGAGTTCAGTCCGATCACGCGGCGCCGGGCACAACTTGCAAAGCTGAGCCCGGCCCGCCCGGCCGGGCCCACCCCGTGGCGCACACTAACATGCGGCCCGGCCCGGCCGCGTGTACCGGACCCGTCAGTGCACCCGGGCCGTCACTCCGACCGGCCTGAGTGCCGCTCAGTCACGCACACGCGGCACTCACTGAGCCGGGACTGCCGCTTTCACCCGCTCAGAGGTCCACGCTGAGGATACCTCCTGAGGAGAACTCGGAAATGAGGAGGGTGTGTAGAGCAGCTTTACTCAAAGTTAAGTTAAAATCAGTACGGGAGCACCGTTCAACGGTTAGTTAGGTCTCCACGTTATGTCCCTCCAGGTCTCTCGGGACTCCATCGATGGAAGGCAGCAGTGTAAAGGGTGGGGTAGAAGAATTTCTTAGGAACACCGGTTCTTTAGAGGTAAAAGAATGGGGACCGAGAGGGGGGGTGTAAACGAGTACAGGGTAGCCCCACCCTCTTTTTTCCACATATAAGACTTGGGAGATCCACGCATAAACACGACGACCATGCGCGCCATTCTTCTCATCGCAGCGGCCAGCAGCGCCTGCGCCTTCCTCCCTTCCGCCCCTCTGTCTCCTTCCCTTGGTCTCGCCAAAGCCGCTCATACAACCCTCCCCCTGAGATCTCCTGCACGCGCTCGCCATGCGGTTGGGCCCAAAATGCAAGTCCAAGAGATTGCTGACCAGGCCATGACCTTGGCGGCATATCCTCAAGGCCTCGTGGATGCTGTCACCGCGTACATGAACCTCTACGTTCCTTTGTTCAAGGTGAGCGGAGAGATGATCGCCTGCCTTCGGCTGATGAGCGATATGCAGGGTTTGAATCTTCCTCCTTTCATGCTCCACTGGTTTCACGCGGTGATAATCATCTGTAAGCTCAACTGCTAGTACTGACTTGAATTCTCGAAGCTCAACATGGGAGTTGTCCTTGCTAGCATGGGTACCTACGGAACCATCTTGGGCTGGCAAATTCGCCAGAATCCCAAGTCAGCTGGTGAGCTTGCTGTTGGTCCCAACCTCGGTAAGACCACTTCGGAGCTCCATTCGACTTTGATGGGAGCGATGGTACGAACGAGACTGTGCTATGTGCTTTCACTAAGCATGCTTGACTCCAGGGTCTTATCTTCTTCCTTGGAGCAAACGGAGGACTCGTTCTCTCTCTCGTCCAGGACAAGCCGATCATGCAGTCTACCCACTTCACCTCCGCCATGGTCGGATTCGCGCTTCTTGCCGCTCAGGCTTCCCTTACTACCCTCTTCAAGGGCGGAAACGCCAAGACTGCAAGAACGGCCCACGCCTTCTTGGGATCTGCGACCATGGGTGTCTTCCTCTTCCACGCTTACCAGGGCCTCCAGCTCGGCCTTGAGTACAGCGCGCCAGCAATTGTTGCTTCAGTGCAGTGAGTGAAATCTTTGGAATTTTATATACAAAGATTTGATGGGTCAGTATGTTTGCTATGCTGGAATCATACAAGGCTGAGCCTTTCTCACTCGAAGATTGTCCGAACGAAATCTTCGTAGAAGATGAAGCCGTTCTTCTGCTGATCCCACCTGCCCATGAGTGCGATTATCTCGTCTTCATCCAACTCGAAGTTGAACTTGCGGATAACGTTCACCAAATCGTCGAGAGAGACAGCGCCGCTCTGCTCTTCGTCGATCAACCTGAAAACATTCATGATCTCCCTGGACATGCCTTGGACTTTATTCCGCATCTTCTGGTGGATGAGATCGATACTGACAATGTTGTCCAGCTTGCCCTTGTGAATGTATCGCAGAGTGAACTTGTCTGTCTCCAGCAAGCTGAAGGGATAATTGTTGATCCAAACTGTTCCTGGCAGTTCGATCAAGAGATCTTGCTCTGTCATCCAGTCGCCAAACTTCGCTTTGTGGCGAATCACCCGCTGCCGTTCTAGAAACTTTCCTCCAACAAACCCAGAGTTCTGGATGGGAGGCTCGTAGATGGAGAGGGAGCCATCTCCCATGAAGTAGGAGATCACAAATCGACGCTTGTGATCGTCAGGGTTCACCATGCTCATTTTCTCTATGTCAAATTTGGCCTTCCACCTATCATAGAGCGTCAACTCAATCACTCAGCACACTTGATCACCTGAAGATGATGGAGTCTAGCGCAGCTTGTTTGGTCCGATCATACTTCCTCGGTTTGGGTATCAGGTTGAAGTAGGATGCAAGGGAATCGTGCTCGCTGCCGAACCCGTTGTAGGGCGGGAGTGGCATGCTGGGGAACTCTACGTGAGTTTCCGGCTCCACCTGATTTGCTGGCTGCTCGACTCCATACTGATGCAAATAGTATTCCCTCGTGAAGCTGTCACAGTCGTACAAGAACATGTCTCTCCCAAAGATCTCAATCGTGTTTCCTACGATGAGGTCTTTGTCGCTGATATACCTACAACCAAATTAACAGAAGCCAGCCGGTCAGGAGAGGCTTACTCATCTTCGAAATCTTCTTCTTTACTTCCCACTGAAGGGACGCCTCGAAAAACACGCGGAACGCGCTGTTTCTTCACTAGTTTTGGGAAGCTGTGTATCACCCCATTGTTATCATCGGCAATAAACAATCTTAATCATCTCACGGATCTCTTCCGGAGTTTTGCTGCTTCACTTCCAAAACCTGATAAAACCTTTCAGAACAATAGGAATACCATGGTCCGACACCTCTATCTTGTCGTCCTGCAGAAAATAGTTGATGATATACTCTAACTTCTGTCCGAACATGCTGGATCTGTCATCCCATTGCGCATAGAATCGTAGAACCTTCGTTTGATCTATCATTGCAATGACACTATCCTCACACCTGTACCTTGTTGGCATATTTCAAGAACTTCTCTCGCATATCTCTCTTCTGGGCTGTAGTCAAGGTTGCAATAGAGGATTCAACCCGATATCTGGGGAACAAAATATCAGAGGTTTTGCGGGTCATCTTCTGCAAGATCTGACGTGTCTTCTGATTTGTTGTCGAGTATTTCATTGTACGAGCTAGTTGTCATGGGGCTAGCTGCTCCTCGATTCATCTTGGATTCAGACAACGCCCGTTGCGACATGTATTTGTCTTCTGGAATGATAGACTCAAACTCCAAATTCAAACCATTTGCCTGCGAGGTCAAATAAGGGATTCAGCAAAAAAATCTTCTGCATCACCTCAAAAAAATTTTGAGTGAAGTGATTGCAGGAGGTCAGGTGAAACTCTCTGTTGTATATATTGATCACAGTCGTACTCGCAAAGTCGAAGAGCGTAACAAACTCCTACAACACGACAGGGAAGAGGATGTCAGCAGAGCCAGCAGAATGTTGGCAGAAACCTGGCTGCCCAACTCTTGCTTCGGGACTCTGTGTCGCTTCATGAACACTCCTTGAGCATACCCGCTGTTCTGCTGTCTATGTTCGTTGATCTGTTTGAACATTATTACGAAAACAGCAGGATGGAGGTTTGTCATTCCTGGATGGAGTCGTCCACAAGATGATACAAGATCGTGAATTTCCTGACCCTTGAAGGCTCCGACAAGTTCTCTGGCACTTGTTCGGTGATGAACGCTTCGAACCTGAGACGCTCTCAATGCAATGACGCCAATCTGTGCAGGCAGAATGCACCTCAAAACCTTCCCGTCAAGACCAGCGAATGCCGGAATGAACTCTGATGAGTTTTCAGCTGAGATCGACCGATAGTTCGAAACTTGTGATGGAACCACGCTCTGATGATGTAGATGTCAGGAAACAAAGCAACTCGTACAACTCTCAGCAATCTGGCAACCGGAGGTCTGGACGGCGACGCTGGGGCTCCATCATCGCGGATAGGAACATCGTGCTGAATGGGCGTCCCACTGCGGTAATCGAAGATGTGTGACTTGCGAAAGTTTGTACGCTGCAGAAAGGATCATGATGGTGTTGAGTAGATGTGAAATAGACATCGTCATTACGTTGGGGTCGGAGAAGGAGTTGCCAGGAAGGAAAGGAATGCCTTGATCCGGAGGGAACAGAGAAAGAGAAGACGAAGGCCTAGACATCAGTTTGAAGACCTGAGGTGGTGGAGTAAGAAGAGTGTCGATGATATTAGCAGAGATTGAGATGCAGCAGCTAATTGTGCTCCACTAGGGATTCAATCTACTTCGCAATCAAGGTCCGTTTGCTCAGGCTTCAGATGTTTGCTCAACCGTCTCCATATCACATCTGTCTCGTTCATGGGAGCTCTCGAGCAGACCTCCGAGAATCGTTCCAGTCTTCTTCTATCCTCCTGCTCCTCTACTATCCTCCTGCTCTTCTCCTATCCTCCTGCTCTTCTACTATCCTCCTGCTCTTCTCCTATATCCTCCTGCATCTCTACCACTTCCTGCTCTTCTCCTATCCTCCCGCTTTTCTGTCTCGGCCACGCCTCAGCATGGCTTTCACCAACCGATGCTGCCGTTGAAGCACCACCCCTCGAACGAACCCTCCACCTGGGCCCACCCACCCCTCTCGCTAAGAGCTTTCAAAAGGTAGCAAGTGGGGCTCATCAGTCAAAACTGACGGTACGGTACGGGCGTGGTCCTGTACCATGATTCTTTACTCAACAAGACACTGAGTTTTTTACGCCGGGTCCGACCCGGCAGGCCCCGGACCGTACCAGCGCTGACTCGCCAGACCGTTTGGCTGGTGATCGGACTCTTTACTCAAAGTTAAGTTAAAAATCAGTAGTGAGGACAATCAGGAGAGTCGAGGAGGCTTGACCGTTTACTCAAAGTTAAGTGAAACGGAGTGACTGTCAGTGTCGCACAGGCCAAACGGACCGTGTCCGGTCGGACCGTCACCCCCCGCCCGGCGGGCCTGGCCGCGAGGCGAGTCGCGGCGACGGTCCCGAGTCCCGGCAGTAGGCCCTGGCTTCAGTGGGTTAGTCCGGGCCTTTCTTGCCGCGTCTCGAGTCGGGGCGGGCGCATTCGGCAGTACTCAGTAATCCTCAGGCCCGGGATCAGATGCCGCTGCCACGGTGCCCATGCATCATGGCATCCGAGATAAGGGCCGCCCCTGAATCTTGCTCGGAACTAATTTGCTACAATGGGTTGAAACTTTTTTTTTGCCTGTTTATCAACGTGACAGGGAATTGGTTCAACTTGCCATACTTTTTTCAACGGGCTACTGATTGGAAAACTTGGTACTGATACTGAGGGCCGGGCTCCGCCGAGGCGGCGCGGCGGCTCAGCGGCTGCGCCCACTGGCTCGTACTGATTTTTGACTTAACTTTGTGAGTAAACTATGCCGCAGTTAACCCCTTCTCGCGCCGTGTCCTCCGAGGCTCCGGCGGCGATCGGATACTGGATTTTCACTTAACTTTGAGTAAAGACTCATCCGGGCGAGTCACTGAGTACTCTTCTCACCGTTTGGCCTGTCACGGTGCGACAGTGTCTGAGGGTCAAGCCTCCCCTCCTCTTCCGGGGAGTCCGTTCTCCTTGCGTTCTCTTCCGCTCTCCTTCTCTTCTTTTCCGAGTCGACTCTCCTGATTGTCCTCGTACTGATTTTAACTTCACTTTGAGTAAAGAGTTGAAGGGCTGGCCGCGGGCCGCCCAGTGACCGTAGTGCAGTGAAACTAAATAGCTCGGAGCCCGGAGTTATCCGATCGGATCCGACCGCGGCTGACCGGAGCCTCCCGGGCGCTCGTGACCAAAAGTAAGCTAATTGATTTTAAGGTGATTTAAATGGTCAAGCTAAATATCATATCCTGTGCTCCGTGTAGCGCCTACAAGGACAACCCCTACCCCCTAGGCTTCAGACCCACCCTCAAGAACATATTTGACCCCCACAAAAATAGTTTTAACTGACTCTGCGGAAATAAAAAGACTTGCGAGGAGGGGTGGCCTGACCCCTTGAAGGGAACTAAAATGAGGGGGTAGCATGTGTAGTTCGGTAACGTGACACAGTCAATACAAAAGATAGAGGTATTCAATGAAAATGAAAATGCAGGGGAGAAAGAGCAATCAGATGACAGGGAGGGAAGCGAAGGATGGAAGAGAGGTAGGAAAAGATCGAGTTAAAGGGAGTGTAAGGTCAAATCTATCGAGTATACTGCTAAAAACAGGTTTCGTATCATGCGTGAGCTTAGGTCAGTAGTGCGAAGAGAAAGAGATCGTACACAAGGTTCAGGTGCTGGAGGTAAATACATCTAGCAGTGCGATGACGTTGGGTGGTGAACGGAATGAATGAAATTGGAGCAATAATTGAAGTCTTTTCTTTGCAGGTTGAGGCTGAGTTGGCCATCAAACTTTGATGTGAAACTGGGGTCCTGCGGAATCCCTCAATATGTCTTACTGCGACAAAATAGTTCCATGGCATCCCGATCGCTCTTGAACTATCTTGGATGGTTGCCGAAATTCTGCAGGCTCAAAGTATATTCATCGAGCCCGATCTTAAGACGAAGGCCTCCATGATCGTCCCAAATGACATCGCGCTCTCAGTCTCTTCGTCTCCAGACTGTTTTGTCTCCCTTCATGATGTCTCTGTCGATTGTGAAGTTCACAATGACCTTCGCACGAGAATCTGCACTGGTAACTCGAGCAATCAGGTCTTTATTCTTCAAAACATCAGCACAGTGTTTCAACCCGGCAGGCTCTGCCTTGTCTTGGGTCCCCCAAACTCGGGGAAAAGCACTTTGCTGAGGCTAGTTTCCAAGAGACTAGATGACAACCTTCGGACAACAGGGCAGGTCTTATACAATGGCAAGGAGCTTTCAGATGACTTTGCTAGGTCGATGATTGGTTATGTTCCTCAAGACGATATCCACTATCCTGTGCTGACCGTTGCTGAGACTCTAAGGTTTGCAGCCAAGAGCATGTTGCACAACGAGAGCGAAGAGGAGGTGGAAGAAAGATTGAACAAGGTGTTGACCCTGTTTGATCTGGTGGGATGCAAAGATACGCGAGTCGGGAATCATGAATCAAGAGGAATCTCCGGGGGAGAAAAGAAGCGCCTCACATGCGCGGAGCAAATGATTGTCGACCATCCCGTTGTTTGCATGGATGAGATCAGTACAGGGCTTGATTCGGCTGGTAAGTTTTTTAGAGCGGAATTTCTTTTCTAAGTCCTTTCCTTGTAGTCACGCAGAAGATCATCAGCGGGCTGCGCGATCTCTGCTATGATAAGAGAATGACAGTGATCGTATCTCTGCTCCAGCCGAGCATCGAAATCTACAACATGTTTGACGACTTGTTGCTTCTGAGTGCCACAGGAAGGCTGTTATATCATGGTCCAACAAACCAGGCCGCATCATACTTCGATACCCAGGGATTTGCTTGTCCCGAATACTTCGAATTCTCCCATTTCCTCGTCTCGCTCTGCACGCTGGATGCGCGAGAGGTGCTGAAGAGGAACAGCATCTTTGAGGGGTTGACTTCCTGCGACGAGCTGAGCCAGGCGTGGAGCTCGTCCGAGTACATGTCCGAGGTCATCAACCCCTTGTTTGAGGTTGTTGAGGTCAGGAAAACTAGCGAGGAGCACGACCTGGAGCACGAGAGAGGTAGTTACACTCGCCCCCTGGTGTCGCTGTGGAAGATGTTCTGGTTGAATCTTTACCGCCATAGAGATGTTCTCATCAGGGACCCTGTGTTCGTCAAGCAAAGATGCATACAGATGTCATTCCAGGGGATCATGTTAGGGACAATCTTCTGGAACGAGCAGCAGCACTACCTCAAGATCTCCGTCCTCTTCATAGCGAGCACCATGGTGATGATGGGGAATCTGGCAATGGTGGAGATTGTTGCGGCGAAGAAGAGGATCTACTGCATTCACCGGAACTGCAACCTGTTCTTCACGTCAATCTACGGGGTTACCGAGGCTCTGACAGAGGTGCCGCTGCATGCGGTTGAGGCCATCGCCTTCTCCTTCACCTTCTACTTCTTCATAGGGTTCTACCCGCAGTCTTTCCCTGTCTTCCTCCTCTGCATCTTCGTCGCAATCGTCATGTACACGACAGCATGGAAGTGCGTTGCTGCCGCGTTCCGCAACAGGTCGATCGCCATGACCGTCGTCCTCTCTATCTGCACGCTGTCCTTCTGCTACTCTGGCTTCTTAATCACCAAGGACTCCTTCCCCTCCTTTCTCGGTTGGATTTACTGGATCTTTCCCTTCCCTTTCGTTCTCCGCGCTCTGGCTATCAACGAGTTCTCCTCCTCGGGGAAGAGCGGGCAGTACGACATGATCATTAACGACCACATACATCCAGCAGCAAGGTGGGGAGATATCTTTCTGATAGCGTCGGGCATCCCAGTCGACAAGATTTGGATAGGAGCGTGCTTCATCTACGTGGGGTCGCTCTTTGCTCTCTTCATCTTCCTCTACACAGTCAGCCTTGAGAGACAGAGGTTCAGCAGGCGGGCAGGAAGCTCGTTGCAGACACTTCTCTCCCGGGAGAAGGGCTGCATGCAGCTGGAAGCGCAGTTCTGCGAGGGGAACAGGAGCTTCGACAACGCGCTAAGTGTCCTGGGGCATCCCCAGCTCCAGACTATGGCATGCTCTCTTGCTATCAAAAACCTCGGATTCACTCTACAGTCTCAACCCCCCCCATCCTCCTCCTCCTCCTCCTCCTCCTCCATGCTGCAAAGGTATCCGGTTCTCCTTCGGGACATCAATGCCATCTTTCGTCCTGGCACGGTGACGGCGCTGATGGGGAGCTCGGGAGCAGGGAAGACAACGTTGCTTGACGTGCTGGCGGGCAGGAAGACAACTGGGAAGACGAGCGGGGACATCCTTGTCAATGGGCATCCTCGCGAAATGGCATCCTTCTCCCGTCTGTGCGGGTACGTGGAGCAAGAGAACATGCAGTTCCCTTACGCCACCGTGAGAGAGTCCCTGCTGTTCTCGGCGAGCCTGCGGCTAGACTCCTCCGTGTCGGAGGAGGAGAGGGAGAGGATGGTGGAGGCAGTGATCGACCTGATCGAGCTCCGCCCCATCCTCGATGAAGTCATCGACCTGGAGCAGACGTCTCTGACCAACGAGCAGAGGAAGCGACTCTCCATCGCCGTGGAGATGATCGCCAACCCCTCCATCCTCTTCCTCGACGAGCCCACGTCCGGGCTGGACTCCCGCTCTGTGAGGAGAGTGATGAATACCATCAGGAGAATTGCATCCTGCGGCAAGACCGTCATCTGCACCATCCACCAGCCGTCCTCGGAGGTGTTCAGCATGTTTGACGAGCTCCTCCTCCTCAATCACGGCGGCGTCGCTTTCTACGGGGACCTGGGCCCCACCAAGGAGAGCACAAGGACCAAGAGGACGTACAGGAGCGCGGGGAACGTTGTCAGCTTCTTCGAGCAGCTCTCGGAGCGAGTGCCGAAGTTGGAGGCAGGACAGAACCCCGCGGACTACATCCTGCAGGTGACCAGCTCGGGCTCGGAGACTGGGAGGTCGATCGACTTCGTGGAGGAGTACAACAGGTCGGCGCTGAAGCAGGAGAATCTCCGAAGGCTCGACGAGCTGCCACCCTCCGACAAGCTCGACCTCCAGCAGAGGAGTGCGAGCACTTTGCGGCAGCTGGCCGTGTGCTCGACGAGGTGGTTCAGGTACCACTGGAGGAACGTGACATACAACCGGACGAGGATCATCATCGCCATCTTCGTCTCGCTGCTGTTCTCGCTCAACATCAAGCATCTCCTGCTCCCCAGGGTGGAGGACGAGGCTTCTCTTCAGACCTTCGAGGGCTGCCTCTTCGCCGGCTTCTTCTTCCTCTGTGCAGGACAGGTCATCCTCTCGATCGGGGTGTTCGGAGACACGATGATGGTCTTCTACAAGGAGCAGGTCGATTTGATTGTTCTCCTCCTCCTCCTACTCCTACTCCTACTCCTACTCCTACTCCTACTCCTACTCCTAACCTACTCCTACTCCTCCTGCTACTGCTACTGCTACTGCTACTGCTACTGCTACTGCTACTGCTACTACTCTTCCTTGTTCCCGCTCCGTCCCCTTCCTGCCTCCACTTCTCCCCCCCCTGCTCTCAGCTCCTTCCCGTCTCCTCCTCTTCTCCCTCATCGTCTGACATCATGGCAGTCGGTCTCGATGTATTCACCTGCTGTGCACCTGATCTCCGAGACGATCGCCGAGGTCCCATGGATCATCGCCATCCTCATTATCCACATGATTGTCTTCTACCCTCTTGCCAACCTGTCGCCGCAGCCGCACGTGCTCGGCAACCACATCCTGGTCGCTCCCTTCTGAGCCCTCCCGCCTGTTCTCACTCCTCGCAGGCGATGTTTCTCTCCCTCCTCATGTTCACCAGCCTCGGGCAGATGATCTCCGTGCTGCTTCCCAGCACTAGGACTGCCTTCCTGGCCTCGGGCTTCTCCCTTGGTCTCCTCAACCTGTACTCCACCTTCTTTCTCCCGGTCTGCAGCTCCAACTCCATCTTCAAGTTTCATCTGACTTGTTTCCTCCCTCCATCACTTTCTCTGCCTCCCTCTATCCTCTACGTCTTGTCTTCTCTCCCTCGCCTGTCTCCTTTCCATTCCCCTGCAATCTCCATCTCCTCACCCCCTCCTCTCTCGTCTCTCCTCTTTCTCTCCTCTCCTCTCCTCTCCTCTCTTCTCTTCTCTTCTCTTCTCTTCTCTTCTCTTCTCTTCTCTTCTCTCCTTGTACAGGTCTCGTTCTTCCCCTGGCCCTGGAGGATCTTTGCCTATATCATCCCTACTCAATTTTGTCTGCGCGCAACGATGCCGAACCAGTTGTTCTGCTCTGTCTCCTGTATCCCCGACTTTGACCAGCCCAGCGTCTCCTGCCAGCACCACCAGGGCGAACCCTCTGCGGTCCACTCCTTGGATGGTATGGGTGGTGAGGGGCCTGGATGTAGCATCATAGAAGACAGGTGATGACATGGGGAGAGAGGAGAGGATACGAAAATGAACAGCAGGATCGGAGAGGGGGGAAGGGAGGAGGCAGAGTGGAAGCAGAGGACGCGATGTTGAAGCTGTTACAGGCGAATGCTCATCTTCTCGAGGATGGGAGAGGAATGGACGATGAGCAGGTTGGGGACACGAACGCCGCGGGTGACGGTGTGGGACATGTTCAGCCTCAAGAACGAGTACCGAGACAGGCAGGAGGGGATTTTCCTCCTCCTTCTTGCCGCCTACTTTCTTTTCTTCCGTCTCGTCACCCTGTACGGGCTTGCACGGCTGCGCCATATTAGGAGATGATCGGGAGAGGAGGAGGAGGAGGAGGAGGACTGTAGATTCGTGGTTGTCTGCGTGTCATTCTTGTTCCCTTGCTACTTTACTCTATTCTTGCTTCACCTGGTTGTTTCACTTCTCCCCTTCTACACTTGTACTATTTGCTCCATCACGGCGTCATAAACAAGTGAAGCCTGTAACGCCTTTCAGCATCCTTTCACCCTGGCGCTCAATGCTCTTCCTGCCTTCTTCTCTCCCTCCCTCCCTCCTTTCCTCTCCTTCCTCCTCATCCCCATCTCTTGCCTTCCGTCCCCTCACCTTGTCTGTCACAGCGCTGCTGCTGTCGGAGGAAGAGGCAGATTCCGTCTCGATGAGACATTTGTCGGCATCAATGTGAACCTGGGAATCAAATATCAAAAACATCTCAATCATCTCATTCATCCTTTCATTCATGATTGCATCTGTCATCTTGATCGCCAATTTCTCCATCATCGGTCTCTCACCTGTATTTGCAGACTTGCGATCTTGATCGTCAACCTCTCTTTCGACGACTTTCCGCTCGACACCATCTACATGAGCATCAGACGTGACCGATCCAACCCTTGAAATCATCATTTTCATGTCAAATGTCTCCCATGTTGTCACATTTTTCCCATCTTGTCACGTCTTCTCTCACCTCACAGTCTTCGATCCCTCTTCTTTGCAACGACGACACCAGCGCCACAGGCCTGACGCTGCCATAGATGACGTTCTTCCACCAGCAGTCACTCTCCCCCCGGGTCAAGTCCATTCAATCTCGTCACCTCGAAGATGACGTCGCCGTCGGCTTTCACGCCGTTTTCAACCTTCATGTTGGACCGCAAAGTCTTGAGCGTCTTCACCCCATCTTGCTCTTGCAGGTTGCAGTTCACTCTAGCGACCAGCACGTCTCCGACACTCTTCACTTTCATCTGCCGTATGGATCATCTCTTGCAAACAAGACACGAAACTGATTGTTTGGCAACATCCATGTCTTCATACAGCTAGTGACACGTTCAGTAATGTCTTGCCTGCATCGCGAGATCCACTTCCATCAGCATGGGGATGACAGATGAAGGAATCTGGACTGTGACAGTAGACCTGGGCGGAGTCAAGAAGGCCGGATCAGCGAGTTGCTTGCGCAAAGGAACAAGAGGGGAACGATATAGAAAGCCACCAATGAGAAGGATGCGAGAATAGCCAGCACAGGGTGGGTTTCAATTGAGCAACAAGGTGACAGGACCACAAGGAAGAGTTGAGGAAGAAGAGGAGGGAGCAGGAGGAGGGGAGAGAAGGACGAGGAGAGGAGGGGAGGAGGGGAGGAGGATTCTTGTCCTACAGGCAGCCCCAGTAGTTGCTGAAGGAATTCGAAGGGTCGGCAGGCATCCAGTAGCCAGGAGTGACGCTCGACTGAACGCTGTGATTGTGTTAGTGTGAACGAAGAGCAGCGGCGAGGCGATGGGGGAAGGGGAGGAAAGACAGGGAAAGGTTCCAGGGGAGAGAGGAATCGAGGAGTGTGCTGGGAGTGTGCTGGGAGTGTGCTGGGAGTGGCTAACTTGAGGTGTTGGAGGACACTTTGCGCCTGTGGACAAGAGGGTCAGGCCTCCTACTCCTTCCCAGCTCCAGCATCGGCTCGCCTGAGCGGGAGTGAGACGGGAGTCGAGCGGGGCAAACATGATCTGCATATAGAGAGGGTGGTGAGGAGCGAGTAGACCCCTGGATGAGCGTCAGATAACAGACGAGGTCTCAAGGTTGACTGACCAGCCGTTGGCGTCGCTTCTCGTCTTATTCCAATGATTGTCCGTGAGAATCAGAGCGTTCTCGGCCTTCTGCCCCCACCTGAACAGGAGCAGGAGCAGGAGCAGGAGCAGGAGAGATAAGTGGGAGTTGAGGAGGCAAGAAAAAGTAGGACGAATAGGAGGAAGAGCAGGAGAAGCAGGAGAATCAACGGCACAGCAACAAGATTGCTTGACCTCACCGCTTGAGGAAATGTAGGCATGGACCGAACCTTAGAGAAGGATGGCCTGCAAGGACCTGGAGGGTCGGGATAAGTGTGATGGGAGACCAGAGGGAAAGGAAGAAGACAACAGAACCAGGCAGGGCTCGCGATAAGTAGAAGTGGGGGGCTGGGTCGGCATGTTGGTGGTTGTGGTGGAGCTGGAAGAGCTCCTGAGGTCATGAACGTCCGAGATGATGTGCAAGCGAGAGTTCTTGAAAAATGAAGTCACTGCAAGACGACAAGAAGAGATGGGATGCGATGACTTGCAGCAGAGAGAGAGGAGGATCGAAGAAGGAGAAGGGAGGAAGGAGGGGGAAAGGAGGAGAAGATCGAAGAGAGGAGAGGAGAAAATGAGGAGAAGGGGAGCAGACGAGATCATCACCTGCAGCATCGACTGATGAACGAAGGGGCTGTCAATCCTCCCCTCCCTCTCCCTCCTCGTTGCGTCGAAGGTCTGGACCCATTCGGAGAGGATCTCAAGGTAGCCAATAAGGGAGTTTGCGGTGGGAGAGATGAGGTAGATCGGGGCGTTCTGGGAACGTGGGTCAGAGCAGGGAGCAGGGAGCAGGCAGCCGGGAGAGGTAGCTCACCATGCCCGAGACTCCAAAGTCAGGGCACCACATTGACAGTGCTTCCAACAGGTCGAGGGACGTTCCGCCTAGCGTGATCTGCCATCAGGTCAGGCTGGGCCCGGGGCCCTCCCGCCCTCCTCACCGGCATCAGCACGTTCCCGCCCTTCTGCAACGTGTTCTGGATCGCCTGCCCGATATCCCTGAAGGGCCACGCGGGAGGAGGAGGCTGGGTGACGCTCATGCCGGCCGGGGTGACCAGGCGATCGCTGGGGAGGAGGTCCCCGAAGATGGCGACGTTGACGTTCCTGCACACGAGTCAGCCCTGACGTTCTCGGGACATGTCGCTGCGTACCTCAAGCTATCAAACCGAGGCGGAAGGGGAGTCCTAAGGGGAAAACCCATGGAGCATGCTCCGATCAAGGCAACCCTAGAAGCCGGTCAGTGTTGCCCTTCCCCCCCGCACATGCTCGTCACTTGCACTGTGGCTTCGAGAGCAACCAGAAGGAGGAGCCGAGGCAGTAGCCTGAGGGGTAGGGGGTGATCGCATATCCCTCCGACAGCGCCAGGGATTGTCCAAAATTCAAGCGCTTGACCCGGCTCATGCAGGACTCAACCTGCTGGGCAGTGTAGGGATCCCGTCCTGGCCCCATCTCAACAGATCCAGGCCCTTTGTACCATTCTCCTTCTCCTCCTTCAGACATCCCAGAGGAACCGAAGGAGCTCGTCGAGATGTACTGCGTCAGCTCCATCATCATCAGCTTTCCGATCTCAGCAGTAGGCTCGGTGGCGATGACGGTCCCTTGGAACTTGGCTGATCCCTCGGTGAAGTAGGGCAGCCCGAGCATGTTGTGCGAGGTTGTGATGACAACATAGTCGACTGTCGATGGATCCACTGCTCCGAGCTGAGACAAACAAGCGAACTGGTCACTCCTTCCCCCCCCCCTCCACAAGCCTTGCCTTACCTGAGCGGTGTGCAGCAGGCCTGAGGTAGAGGCTGCGCCGTTCACACGGACGTTGCCAGAACCATAAGCAACGGGAAAGAACTTGAGGCCCTGAGGCTCAAGAGGACAATCCAACAGGATGCGAGGCCCTTGAAGAGTGAAAGTCAAAGATGCGGGATGCAATGATTTCAGAGCAAGCTCATACCTGGTTGAACATCGATCAAGAGACAAGACGATGAGGGGCAGAGCCCGAGACATGTAACTTCCACGGTCGCCATTTCTCACTCCATGACCATAGGTGGCAAAATGAACGAGAGGCCGTATGTCGACTGTGAACCACGACAGAGGGAGGGCGAGGTAGGAGCTAGGCACACGTGAGGAATCCAAGGAGGAAGAGAGGAGGGAGGAGGGAGGAGGGAGGAGGAGTGACAAGGATCAGGGATCAGGGATCAGGGATCAGGAGGCAATGACTCGATGATTCAAGTCCGCACGCGACAACTCCGGCATGCCGGAAAGCGACGCCATGGCAGAGAGGGAGTTGGTGAGTCCGCCTCAGACATCACCCTACCCTGTCGAACAAAAGGAGAACAGGGTGGTCTGTTTGTCGTACCTGGGTGGGTGGGGACAGGTATAAACACTTATAGAGGGGTGGTATGGACTCAAAGGGGGGGTACATTCTCAGCTGAAATACAGGTTAGGGTACAGAAGAAGGGTAGGGTAGGGTGGTTGTTGACGGATCCCCCGATAGTCATGGCTCGAGTGAAACCTGGCCCCTCCTCCTCCTCCTGCGTCGCCTTCCTAACCTCAATCTCGCCCTTATCTCCATCCTCGCCTCCGTTGTCAGCTAGATCGTCCTCCTCGTCCTCATCACGCCTCTCCCCCTCTCCCTGTCCCTCTTCGGCTTCAGCCTTCCTGCCTTCGATTCCCAAGAAACCTTCAAATTCCGTTTGTTCATGTTATTTCGTTCAACCTCGGATCTTAGCACGATCCCCTTGTTACCGATCCTCTGTACTAGCTCATCACTTGTCTTCTTACTCTCTCATGCGAACTTCATCTGTGCCATTGTGGTTCAGGTGTGATTCTACACTCCCAAACATGGGCCCTCGATCAGCAAGTCCGTACGTTCCTTGCAGCCTTCCCCCCGAGGACCAACATCTCCCTGCACCTTCTTTGTTACCCGATTTCAAGCTGTCGCAAAGCACTCTGCAATCACTCGCACAGAGGCGTTTCACTTCCATGCCGCCAAGGCCAAGTGTGCGGCTTCGTCCGATGTTTCGCATTCCATGGGATGTTGATGTGCTGAGGAGAAGTCGAAGTGAAGCTTTCAGTGACTTCCATACCGAGATTTCTCATAGGGGACGAGAAGGACAAATGGAATGTCGTGTATGCTCCACTGCTTGTTTCGATGCTCCTCTTGTGAACAATAAGAGCCAGGGGGAGGGTGAAAGGCAGAAGGATTCTTCTTTTGTTGGCCTCGTTTTCGGAGCCATCGTAATCGTCATGCTTGATGTAAGAAGAAGTTTATGCGAAGAAGAGCAGAGTCCTCCGCAAGGACAGCTGATGAGCAAAGACAGCATCGAGAAGATTGCAACGCTGATCAATGCACTTGTTGACATGGACTACTTCACGGAAGAGGAGGAGCAGGAGATATTCGAGCATGCTGTCACGATGGTTCTGCAGGAAATAGAAAGAATTCTCCCACCTCCAGTGTTGCGATTGGTGATTCACTCAGATGATAAGGATGGGATTGATGAAGAGCATGCCGAGAGCATGAAGTGAGCATTCTATCTTGCTTCTCGTGATTGCTGTTAGGTGACTTGCTTGCTCTCAAGGTCGAGGCTGATTGAGTTTGTGAAGTGGAACATCAAAATTCCATACTTGGATGCGACTGACGAGGCCAGGGTTGTGACTGCTGTCTGCGCGGTAATCGTTGAGAGTCTGAAGAAAGGAAAGTCGTTCAAGAACGGTTTGCTTCCGAATACAAGAAAATATCTCCTTGATGGGATTTCTCTCAGTTGTTGAGCCCGTCAACAGCGGAGAGCTGATCATGGACGTCTTTGTGAAAGGAAGTGTTGGCCTCTTAGACAGGTTTGCTGACTCGTATACATCTGCTGCCTGACGATTTACAGTGCAAATAAAAAGCAATTCGTCGAAACCATTTGCGAGGATCTCCAGATCCCGTTCGTCCCTGATCGACTTAAGACTTGGCTGGTGAGAAATGTTGGATGTACACATTACTTTACAAGGTTTCTTCAAGGTGGGCATGATGGTGGAGGCGGTTGGTGAAGTCTTTGAAGCTTCCATCCTTGCTGTCTACCAGAACAGAATCTCGGAGGCGTATGACTGGTGAGCATGAAGTCTGGTCGTAGAGTCTAGAGTTTCTCAAAGTCCCGCGCTGAAGGGCTGCGGATCGAGTGGCAGACGCAAAGGAGTCGGAGGCATTCAAACTTTTGAGACAACAACGACCATGTATGCTCGAAAGCGTTTGAAGCCACGCGAGATCTTTTGGTGAAAAATTTACAGATTCTCGATGGAGCTGGTTAGGTAACAGAATATCTGCCAAGGAATATGTCGACAAGGTGTTTGTGCCTCTTTGAGAGCTCCTATGATAATCCAATATGACTCGCCATCTCGGTGGGAATCAGCTCCCGGCATTTGACCAGGGAAAGCTTTTCGTAGATGGCCAGCTTGAATTGCCATATGTGAGGCTCTCAGATCGCTAGATGAATCGAGTTTTGATGCAGTCATTTCATGCTTCCAGCGATCAGAAGCTAAGTTTGGTGAAGAAGTGAGAGACTGCCTGGTGAATGAGCTCAACGAGAAGATCAATGTGATAGGGTCGTCGATCTACCTACAGATTGCCGTACAGCTGACGTTGTTGCAGGTGGGTATGCGACAAGTTCGAAGAGTGGGAAGGCATACTGATTCGAAACATTGTGGACCTTACTTTAATGGAGGTAATCTCAATACCTCCCATAGATCCCGTGATGCCAATTTCATTTCAGAGCATGGACATGGAGAAAATGGAGGGATCCGTCGCCTACTTGTGCAAAGAAAACTTTGGTAAAAGATATGCTTGTGTATGCGAAGGGAGAAGAAGTATTGATATCTCGTCTTTGCCTTCCAGGCTGTACGTATCCCTGCTTCAATTATGCTTCTTCTACTGACGCACAAGACAATTGCTGCACCTCATCCAATCAGTCGCGATAGGATATGAATGGTTTGAAGCTTTTCGAGCAGAGGAGGTAAGTTTGCTCCTTCTTCCGCCTGAGGGATCCCTCACTATGATGAAAGCTTCCTTGCCCCTACGGATGGGATCCCCTGCACTGGTATTGGGAGCTAGCTAAGGTTATCGCTACTATCATGTCATGTGCTGCACATGACGGAGTCTCCTCACTAACACGTTTTGCTGGCTGTTGAACAGGAATTTGCTGTCAGGGACATGAAATTGGTGAAAGAGTTCAAGAAACCAGAAGGAGGCAGGTCAGTCCCGTTGTGCGTTGGTTTGAACTTCTTTGATACGGGAGAAACTCAGAGTCATGTCATCCGAGAAGAGAAAGGCTAGCAAACATGTTGTGTTCAACCTCTTCACGCGCTGAGAGCAATCTCGTAATGGACAATAATGTACTGTCTGATCAAAGTCTGCAATGAGAATGACTCTCTACCTCGCTGTCACTCGGCCTGACCGTCCGACACCCACTTAGAGTTTGCCGTGTACTGCCGATGTTTTCTGTCTCCCTTTCCTCCTCTTCTTCCATCCTGCCTCGACCCGGCTCTCCCCTCCTCCCTGCTGAGCTCTCTTGTATGCCCCCTTTCCTTCTAGGGTTTTTTGGGCCTCCGATTGCTCGACAGTAGTCAACCTGTTTCAACGGACGAAATGACCCCTACCCCATAGTTCGTCTCGCACTGGTAACATTTTTCTCATTTGGAGTGGTCGAAGGTAGGGTAGCACGGTAGAGGGGACGTTTTGTGCCCGGAGAGCGTGGACTTTTCAGGTACGGTAGGGTCATCGCAGTACCCGTGTTTTTAACGTATAACAAGGGGGTGATTGTATTTTTTCTCGGCGCGAGGTAGGGGTTTGACAGGCTAGTAAAGCCGAACGGTAGTCCTGACCAACAAACTCGACAGTAGCGAGCACGGACAACGTGGGTCTCTGAAACTGAGCTCGAGATGCATGCTTAGAGGTACCAGAAAGAGTAGGAGAGGATCAAGAGAGCATTGTAGATGAAGAAAAGAGCAACCTGGAGCCTGGATGAGGTCGAATCAGACCTTCAGAAAGCTGTTTGGAATGCGTCGAAAAACAGAGTCCTGATCATCTCAAAATCGGAGGCTTCTTCGTCTAAGAAACGTGGGGCAGACGGGAGGAAAAGGTACACTGAAATGACATGGATTGTTGACACTGATGACTTGTATTGTTAGAAGGAGAGTTGTGTTTCGAGACGAGATCGAACAGTCTGCTCACACTGCAATCCAATCAGAAAAGGCGATAGATCCAACCCCTCCAGAATTTTTCACCAGTGATGATGTAATGCAAGAAGATGTACAAGTATACAAGAAGGAGAGTAAGCATTTTGAATTGACTGATCTTTTTGGAATCCAACTACTCGGACCTATGGGTTGGACATTGCCAAATTTTGGTGGAGAGGGCGGGCATTCAAACAAAGAAAACAATGGAAGCAATGCATCGTCACTGGGGAAATTCTCTGGATCATCAACAAAGGCTGAGAGCAGCAACAAGATATCCAACATGATGGTTGATGACGAGCAATTCATCGAAGGAATCGTCAAATCTTCACATATGCTCTCAGATGTTAATATGCCCAACATCGTGTCAGCCTCGAAGAAGAGGTTTGGTAAAGGCACTCTTGCCGGACTGCAAGTGGAATCGATAGGAGAGCAGCCGCAGGAGTCAAGTCCTAGTAGCAGCATGCCTCGCAGAGGCTGGCACACTCGGAGGCGACAACTCACTCCGAGACGAGGGGGTCCTCCAGTCGAGGAAAGCTCTCCGAGCAGGGGACATGTACCCTTTTCTCTCACTCCGGAGAAGATGAATATCTGGTAGTTACAAGGCATTCTCGAACTTTTACTACTGGAGTTCGCTAAACAAAGAAACATGAAGAATAAGAAATCTTTAAGGTACAGAGTTGCACACGGTCGCAACATGATCCATCACGTTGCAGACTGAGTTCACAACATGCGTGGGGTCGATATAAGTTTGTCCTACACCTCCTCCTGCAATGATCCCGGCATTGTCCACCACAGGCTGCAAAACCAAAAGCGAGTTACTTTCACTCGAGTCAGGAGCTTCAATTTCGTACCTGAGCGACTCCAACACTCTGCATGGCAACAGCATGATTCACACCATTAATAGGCGTGTGTGAATTCAATTCATCCGCGCTTGCAAGTACCACTGGAGACATCTTAAGGCTCGGCCCTCTGCCAAGAACGCTGCGGAGCCCCTCAAACACACACAAGCTGATGGACATGGCAGGGGCCATCCTTCCGAGACGAGCTTCAACGCCCGAGAAGAACCCACGAAGTCCCTTCCTGCGCATTACATTTCTTGCAGCAGCCTCAATGCTCATCTTCGTGGGGGTCACCGAGGAAGTTGGCAAGTTTCGGTCACATGGAGCAGATTGTACCGTTGTTTTGATCACATCAGCGGGAGTGGTGATGAAAGAAGCCATCATGCCTGAGAACAAGCCGGCAACCATGGCTGCTCCCAGACTACTTGTGCAAACTCCATTCATGCACGACTTAGCACTCGAGTAAAGTGGAAAGTACATGGCTGCGAAGGGAATGTCTCTGAGCCACGTCGCCTGATATCCCGTGTAGAGACCAGAGAGTCCTAGGTCTTTGATGTGATCCAAAGTTGATTTCTTCTCCCTGCTGATCTGTGCTTGAATCTTCAGCACTTCGAGCGGGTTGGTGGCAACGATTGTCGCTAGACCAGCGATGCTCCCTGCAAGCGCCTGGCCAGAGAAAGAGACTGAGGCCGCACTGTCGACATGTTGCACCTGTTTCAACGTGGACAGGACAAACTCGTACACGGAGAGCTGGATGGCTGATTCAGGGGCCGCCCCGATCATCACCGGGATGAGACCATTATACAAGGCAAAGAAGCCCTCCTCCTCCACAATCTTCTTTATGGTCTGAAAGGTGTTGAGCTTCTCCTCCCCTTCTGCTGCTTGAATCCTTGTCTTGGCCGTGTCGATTGGAAACACAACAGCACTTGCAACCATCCCTGCCAGCGCCCCGATGGCAAGGTTTAAAAGGTTCTCGTTGACTATCTTTGGTACCGCGTCCAGGAGGGTTGCTGAACTGGAAACAGATCCCGCAACGGCAACATTGATCATTGCATGGTCAAGCTCAAACATCTGGAGTGACAGGGCCATTTTCCTCCCCTTGTTGCATGGAAGGCTGGATGGGGATGGCCGTTTCAATAGAGCAGTCACTCCCTCTACCCTCGAAGAAACACTTGGCATGCCGCCGGGGCAGGAAGGTAGGAAGGCATGCGCAGATTGGAGAACGAGAAGAAGAATCAGAAAACCTGAGCACCTGAACAGCATTCTCTCTGGGCCCATTCCTCGCGCACCCTTTCCTTATCTCTCTCCCTATCTCTCTCCCTATCTCCCTCCCTCTCTCTTTCTCTTTCTCTCCCTCTCCCTCTCCCTCTCTCGCTCCTGTTCGCTTGCTATGTCGCCTGTACGTTCGCTTGCTCCAGTGTCCTGTCGGAGTCTTGCAAGGCCTCGCACACGTGGGGTGGGTGGACTCAGAGGGTGGGGTGATAAATATCGATGACCCGTATTTTTGAATATGAAAGATAGGGGTAAAATACCTTGGAGTGGGAAGGTACGTAGAGAGTAAGTGGGGTGGTCTCAGCTTTTATCAGGTTGATTTTGTTAATGGGGGTGGTACTTTCCATGAGGGGACGAGAGCGAGGCGGGCCTTTTGTGGGGTTAGCGAATGGTAGGGTGGGGTAGTCTTGTGATCACTTTGGGTGGGTATTGAACATTATGAAAGAAGGGGTACTTTTGAAAATATGGGGGTGGGGAAGAAAATTGGTGGGGTAGTAAATGAGAAAGCAAGCAGTACAGGCTCGCGGGGGCCTCAAGCGGACGCGATGGTGCGGGAATGAGAGGAAAGAAGGAGAGTAAGAAGAGGAGAGAAAGGAAAGAGCTATGGCAGCATTGAGGGAAGAACGTGAATTGAAGGAAGAGAAGAAAATCAACATCAGGCTCCAGAGCAATATGATTGATTGATCATCTGATACGCATTTCGTTCCGGAGATCACTTGCTCCAAGTCGAACTAAAGCTTCGTCATATCGCTTCGTTTAAGCTCGGAATCTGCGCGATTTGACACCTCTGGGAAATTATAGTTTTTAGCTTTGGTACAGGATCATCACATGTACAGCGATATCAAGGATTCTGCTAGCTTGCACTCAATGAAGCACTCGAGCATGTTCTCAACGATGCTATCCCGTGTGTTTTCAGAGCACGTCAGAGAGCAGGTAGAACACTTTCGTTTCCACCCGTCACAGCCTCCCCTCCTGGCATCTTTCCACGATGTCGTGGTCATTTGTGTCGTTTATTTCCTGTCGGTGAGAGCTTTGAAGTTCTTCATGCGATCGAGGAAGCCGTTCGACCTGCGGTATGTTGTTGCCTTTCACAGCGGGCTGTTAACAGTGGCAAGCTTTGTGCTCTTTGCTTCTTTCATGATGATTTTGTTCGAAAAGTTTCAGAGCTTCTCGCCCTGGGAGACGATATGCTCATCCGACTTTCATCACGACGGCAACCTGCAATTTCTGTATTATATCAACTATCTGGTGAAATGGTACGAACTGCTCGACACGGTCATCCTGGTGTTGAGAAAGAAAGAGGTGATATTTCTCCATGAGTATCATCACGCAGCGACGCTCTTCTTGTGCTGGATACAGCTCGATCAGCATTCTACCGTGCAGTGGGTTCCCATCACCATAAACCTCCTCGTCCATGTCTTCATGTACTACTACTACACGCTGGCGGCGCTGAAAATCCCAGTCTGGTGGAAGATTTATCTCACTCAGCTCCAGATCGTTCAGTTTGTGATAGACATCGCAGCTTGTAAGCACCTCCGCATGATTCTTCTTTGCTCTCGTCCCCTTGCGCCAACTGTGATGTGGCGGACAAAGCTTCTGATCCCATCGCAGGTGTGTACGCAAGCAGCCATGAGCCTGTGATCGGAGGCCTGGGGCTGGCTGGGCTGCTCAGTGAGTATCAGCGCGATCAAGGTCCATCCTTGCGTGACTTTCTATGTCAGGTCCCAGGCCCATGTGCAACGGCACGCTTAAGGGAGCGCTCGTGGGGGTCGGGGTGATCTTCAGCTATCTCGTGCTCTTTGTCATTTTCTACCTTCAGACTGTGAGTATCTATGCGGGGTGGGTGGAAAGGGAGAGGGAGAGGGAGAGGGGGGGGGGGGGGATGGGAGGTGGTGGAGGAGGCTGACAGTATAGCAGTACCTGTCGAGGTCAAAGGGCAAGAGGAAAGAGGAATGAGTGGGGGATCTTGGCACAACTGGGACAAGACGAAAGGATGCTTCAGATGCATTCTTCCTTGTTTTTTTACGCAGTTATGGTACAGGGGAAACAATAAAACCAGCCAGGATAAACAGAATCAAAGCTCGTTGGTGAGGACGGCGTTGGATGGGATGCCGAGGACCGAAGGCCTCACTTCGATGCCCTGACAAGAATGTGAGGAGAGGGGGAAAAAAGAAAGAAAACTGCCGCACCCAGACCATGATGAGAACGGCGATGGCAAAACTATTGGGTAGGAGACGAGTTAGTACATGGTAGCAGGTGAGATCATAGTGCGAACCTGATCAGCAGGACGATGGTAGTTCCCCAGTTCCTCTGGGTGCTCACAGACCTGCGGACGACTCGCTCAGAGTTCATGGGAGGCCCTGCAGTGCTCACTGTTGGATCGTGGAATGAGTTTGCACACTCTCGTTGGAAAGCTTGATGATGTTGGCGTTGTGAACTCTGCTGAGAGACTAGGGAAAGGAGTGAACACAAAGTCATCAGCACTAGCAAGGTATCCACCTGAAACCTGTCCATGTGAGTAGCGATGAAGTGCCTCCTTGAGCTCGTTTGCAGCTCCTGACAAGCACGTCAGCGATTTGGCAGTGAGAGGCTACGTGAGACGCGAGAGCAGCACCTGCTCGTCGTCGTAGATGATGGATGTGTCCTTGTAGTCTGAGACCCAGTGGGGGTCCCGCTCTCGGATTCCAATCCAGCAGAGGAAGGAGTCGACCGCACCTGAGAGTTTCTGCTCTGCCGCTAGAGCATAGTCTTTGGTGAATGAATTCCGGAAGGCAACGTTCAGAGCCATGGAGCAGAAGAGGAGAACGAAACAGGCAATGATGGCAGAGACGTCGAACTTGGTCACCGAACCACAGGTGTTGGGCTGCAGAAGAGAGCTCATGTAAGTGTCTTCTGTGGATGCCAGAAAGCCAGAATTCGAGAGGTCGGACAAGACTGTGCTCATGCCTGCCGTCAAGTACGTGGACGCGTAGATCCGAGTCCCGCTGATAGGATCGTCGCAAGTGTCGCAGAAGCAGAGAGCGTTCTGGAGGCCAAACCTCTTGTCAGAGAGGAGCAGCGGGTCTCCCACAACCTTCAACGGGTTTCCGCACTCCTTAGCGTAGAGCCCCGAGCTCAAGAAATACTGCAAGAGATCGGCATGCGGAACCACCATGGCCGCGACCTTCCCGTTCAGCACAGCCTTGCCGCATTCCTCTAGCGATGAAGCCGTGATAGGCTTGAAGCCAAAAATTGTAGATAGTTGCTTGTAGTAGGTGCGCTCAAGAACGCAGATGTCTACCCCGACCAACCCTGACACGTCTTGGATGTTCGCTGCCTCCTGCATGTTGTTGATCTCGTCCACCACAGCTCCACTGAAGAGTCCGAAGCAAATGAGACCAAAGATCATCCAAAACGACCCAAACAATTTCCCAATCAGAGTCGTCGGAACTTTGTCTCCATAGCCAACAGTCGTCACCGTGACTGCCGTGTACCACAAACCGTCCATGACACCCTCAGCATAGAATTTCCTGAACAGGTCATTGTAGCGGTGCTCAACAATCCAGAAAATGTGGCCCATCACAAAGATGAAGAAGAAGAAGATCGACAGGAAGTTGATGAAAGACGGTGAGAAGAGCATGAGGAACATTGCGAGACCTCGAGAAATCAGTGGAGGATTCGTCTTCACGACAATAACAAAGCCGTCACCCTTCCACAGGCTGTCTGTGCATTGATATTTATCGATCTGTATGCTCGTATTCTGAGGTGAATACCTCAGCTGGTTGAAGTTGGAGATCAGAGTTCCTCGGAGTGGAGGCGGCCAAAATTTCTTGTCGTTGGACCCAGAAGTCGGAGCTGTTGATAGCAGAACACTGAGGTCAGTGACGACGTTGAAGGTGATGTTGTAGTTCAGACGGGCGGCAATCTCCTTGATTACATCGATGGTGTATCCTTTCGGCTCCACCATCCACTTGGGCAACCTTGGAAAGTACCCGCTCGGTTGCAATTCGTCCTGCGCGGTGCAAAATCCAAAGTAGCTGCAACCTCTGCCAGACACACAATCTTGATCGCTTGCACACGTGTGCTTCAGGTTTTCTGCTGTTGCTGATGCGTTGCACGCTGCTGACGAGCATTTGCTCTGGTTCAACTCAACTTCAACGAAAGGAGGATTGTTTTGAATCTGGACCTCCAACAAGCATGAACGTGACCATGGGGATCGGAGCAGTGACCTATTGTATTCGATAGAACCTGTCAATGAGCAATCATGGAAGATTGTGTAGTAGAAGTATCTGGTAGAGTCGATGGTGTTGATGGACCTGGAAGCGTCATACCTTGAGAAATCACTGTAACTCTCTACAAAATCTCCTAGAACCCATTCAGTGCTGTTCAGGATGTAGTTGCCATCGATGTCAGCAGCAATGAACTTCCTCTCTAAGAAAGAGATGCGGCCATCGCTGTTCAGGTCGTGCAGGTTGAAATTGATGGGATAGAGGTATTGGTTGTCCACTGCGCCACCCGTCGTCTTCTTGTAGAGAGAAAGATAGTACTCGCTCTTAGAAACATACTCGTCTCCATTCGTATCCGCAAACACCTTGAAGTAATGCTCCTCCAACGAGATTCGCTGGCTTCCATCCAAGTCTTCTTCCTGTAATGCTTGTGCGATCTCAGCCGTGGTCGGCTCACGCACGAGCGAGGGATCCCAGCCGTTGGACATGTAGATGTCCAGAAGCGCTAGCACAGACACTGAGTACCACATCTGCAGCTGTCCGCTGTCTGTCAAAGGCGACACATCGTCAAGGCAACGAGGGAACAGAGCACAGAGATTTTCGTACCTCGGAACAACCCCCCGAGAGGCCCGTTGTTCAAGGACTTCCCATCGTCAAGATTCTGCACAGGACCAGACTTGCAGACGTGCGTGATGGCCCAGAAGTGTCTCAGCACAAAGTACTCTTCCTGGCTGAGAACTCCATCCTTGTCCAGGTCTGCCTGGTGGAACGAATATTGAGGGTTCAGGCGATTGGCGGATACCAGCCAACGATTGGGTCCTGAATGCATGTATGGGCTGAATTCAGCGAATGACAGGGTCCCACTGGCATTCGTATCCAGGTTGGCAAACTCAGTTCTAAACTTGTTGCAGTTTAGCTCTGGGTCAAACGAGAACGAGATTGGTGCGTTTCTTGGATAATTCAGAGTCCATACGCAGAACCTGCAGCAGAAGTAGTAGTTCTTGATGTACTCCAATCCCGGAACATACTTGCTCGGTGGATTTGTAGCTGTCCACCACAGGTCTGCAGGTAACTGGGTCCTGAAGAAATCGGCATCATTTGTAGCGCAGGAGAACGATTCTTGAGATGTGATGGGTGCTTGGCATGAGCTAGAACACTCTCTCAAGAGCAGAATGGACACCAGACACATCAACTTCGCCTTCGCCTTCATGTTCCATATGTTCTTCATCTTCATCTTCATCTTCATCTTCATGTCCACGTTCGTCGCCGTCCGCCTACACCGCTCTTACTGTTTGCACCATGGCTGTAGACCACCCCAACAATATCATCAAAGCAACTACCCTACCCCTCTTAAAATGGGACCCCACCCTACCGAATGTCGGAAGATTCCCACAAGATGGAGTTACCTACTACCCCCACCTCAACCCTCAATGGAAATTGACCACCCCAAACATCCCACCCACTACCATCCACACAAAAGTCATATCCTGGACACTATTACCCTAACCCCTTTTTCCTAACAGTCGCTACCCTGACTACCCCACAGATACGTACTGACCTACCAGGGAAAATTGGTGCAAGTTATGGTCAATATGACCGGTACTCTGCTTTACTGAGCCCACCCTCACCCCAGCCTTTCGGATCAGAAGTCGCTTCTAAATGTGAGTAAAATATCATGAGGGCAGCGAAATTCAGACTAGGACAACAAGGAAGCAAGATGGGGGCAAGAGCGATCGGAGGCATGGCAATGGCAGGGAGCGGGGAAATGGGAATGCTGGGAGGAGATACGGAGAGACGGGAGCGAGAAGGAGGATGATTGTAGCGTTTCCCTTCATAGATGCAGAAAGGAATTTGTTTGTGATGCTCGACGGCGGCACATTCCACCCATCATGCTCATTTACCAACGATTGCAGCCTCTTGTGCCTGCGTTTCCACCTGCGGCTGTTCTCACTTGATAGATGACAACCAGGACGAGGGTTTGAACATCATCACATATGGCAGCTAATCGAGACGTAGAGAAATTTGCCGCAACGAGTGAACAGTGGGGTTGGAGGAGGAATGCTGGGAGAAAAGAAGCGGCACGGTCAGGAGGGGCATGTAAAGCAGCAGCGTCTACGGGAGCTGCCCATCAGGATGCAGCATATCCTTGCCTTGACCCTCTACTACAGTCCGAAGAATTGCACAGGTGTCTTCGAGAGCTTGTGGAGCATTGGAAGAGAAGCAGCATAGACGAGGCCGTCAGCAGCAACCCCGAAGCCACGAAGCTGCTGGCAAGGCTCGTCCGACTGGAGCATGTCGTGCTGTCTCCTTGTGGGCAGGACATCGTCCGCTTGTTCGTGAGACTCATGACCACCCTGCGGAGTCCTGATGAGCGAGGTGAGGGCATGAAAGCTGACGGCGGGCCGCGGAGGCAGGGCAGCGAGGCGCTGGATGCCAAGATGGAGGCGATGAAGATTCGTTCGGAAGCCTTCGCGTGCGAGCGTCTCCATGCTGCAATAAGGGGTGTGAAGCATGATTCCCTGCATCCCTTGTTCGATTCGCAGATGGGGTCGCTCTCAGCAGTTGAGGAGCTGCTGTTCGACCAGGGGTTCAGCCAGGAGGAGATGCAGGAGACGATTCGGGAGGAAGCGCTTGCGTCGCTCACGCACTATGTTGACATCATCGACGACGAGGACTCTTGTTACCTCCTCCGGCATCTTGGTGTCATTCTTCTGCATTCATCGAGATGCCCTCTGGCCGACGTGCTGGGCGATATCGGTGAAAAGATGCTGAGGAAGGGATACACCAACCGCAGGGGCGAAGAGGATGGTGAGGAATCGAAGTCGATTGTGTTCATCCTCGAATCAGCAGGCTGTGTGACTGGAGAGCTCGAGGTCTTCCTCCTTGCTAACGACAGCTACTACCTCTGGAAAAAGATCTCAAGCCTACAGGAGACGCTCTTCTCCACGAGCTTCAAGTCAGACACGGAAATACGCGCTTTACTCCATCCCCTCTGCGAGGCTGCGCTTCAGAGCCCGTGGGTGCTGAAAGAGCTTCTCAGCGTCTTTGATGCTTCGCTGCTTGCGATTCGAAGGCAAGACTACAACATCCATAGGATTCTGCTGGCTGTCCGCCAAGGCCTCGTTGAAGCATTAGGAAAGATCTCTCAGGACGATTCTTTGCACTGGTTCCACTTGTACCCTCGTAGATCAAGTGCTGTCCTGCAATACTTCCATCGCAGGAATCTGTTCATGTTCGACAAGGCGCTGATTGGAAACGCGATGGAGGAGCGGGATGTGAGGTTTCTCAAGCAACTTGTGTTCTTCGACACGGCCTTGGACGATCGCCTCTCGCTGTGGGTGACTTGCAACCACGTCCCAGAGATGAACGAGCAACTTTTGTCCTTCGTCCTCGGACCTCAGGAAGCGAGCCTGCTGGAGGATGCGATGAGACTGTACGCCTGGCTGATTGACCCGCTGCGATCTTTCGATGCGAACATGCACAGAGGTACCTTGCATGCTGTTAGAGACCCCTTGGGGTGACTTGAACGCAGCCTTCGTCCAGTGCAGGCAACTTTGGTTTCGTCTACTCGGCTTGCAGACGAGAGAGGAGATTCTGGCGTCCCATCTACTGGAGCAAGTGGCTGATGCGATCTTCGAGGAGCCTGAGGTAGCATGCGCCTACTTCATGCACTGCATCCTTTCGACGAAAGCAGGAGACTCCAGCTCGAGCTCAGGCGGCCGGGGGTCCCTCATGTCACTCATGTGTGTCCTCCTCTACATCAGGGGAGGTCAAGGCCTGCAGGACATGGATGCTCACACCCTGCGCGTCATCGGAGGATGGGAGGTTGTTGAAGCCCTCGAGCGGACAGTGAAGGCTAAAGGTCTGCGGTTTCCCCTACAAGCAGCCATGAGGAGCCTGATGGGGAAGTCGCCATGTGAAGGGGTAGAAGAGCTTGAGACGGGTAGGGGCGTCTTGACAAGCTTGCTGTCAAAGACCTGGGAGGAGGCAACGACGAGGTCTTGATGTTTCATGTAGACTTTTTTGACATCTACGGATTAGATATCTTGTGACATGTTATCTTCATGCTTGGAATGAATGTCAGACATCTGAGGCACCGTCATTGCTGATACCTGACTGCATCCCCGTCCCCTTCTGCTTCCGTAGGGTCTCTCGCTCACACTGCAGCAAAGCTTCCAGCTAAAATTCCAGAGTCAAAATCACCCAGAGGGTTGGGAATGATACAGGAAGACAGAAAAACAGGCAGGCAGGCAGGCAGGCAGGCAGGCAGGCAGGACCTTCTCAAAGTTGGCAAGCTTGTATTTCAGTTTCTCAAGCTGCCTTTTTAGAATTTCGCTGACCAATCGCTGGATTTCCTTTTCTTCAGTAAGTGCCTTGGACCTGTATAGATGTTAAGTCAGTCGCCTATTTGTCTGATCTCAGACTTCACCTTGCTTTGAGAGAAGCTGCAGCTAGAGCCGTGATATTTTCAGCTCGCTGATGCAAGTCTCCGCTCTGTTCAGCTACTCGAGCGATCATGACAACAAAGAGAACGGTAGAATCAGGAGAGGGAGTGAGAAGAACGAGGAGTAGAACGAGATCGAGGATGGTTACCTGAATCCTTGCTTCCTTCTGCTCTATTCGACGATGCATGGGCATCGGGAGGGATCTGCGGTGACTCCGCCTGCAGAGAGTTCGACCAGGAGCGAGACAGGAGACCTCCTTCATACCTTGAGCAGGACCTGCAGCGCCGCCTCCGTGGCGTTGTTCGCTACCTCAGGGCTGATGCTCTGGCAGAGGAAGGCTACTTGCGCCATGACCTGACTTGCCTCTCTGATGTTCTTCTTGTCGTTCGATGTATCCGAACTGGACGCCTATCGCCAACGGTCAACAACAGCCTGTGGCAATTTTACAGGAGAGCTACTTGTTCCTCAAGGAATCGATCCTCAATGGGAAGGCGCAGGAAGTGCAAGATACACTGAAGGATAGTCAGAAGCGGGAGGATCATTCAACTAGAGACTCGCACCTGCTCTTTTGTCTTCGTCTCCACATGGCTGGCGACTTGCCTCCAATCCTCACCAAACTGCTCGATCCCCTCGAGAAGCCTCAGAGTCTCAGTCTCCGTCCAATCGCTCATGGCATAAAGTTCCTCGTCATTTTGGCTCTCAGTCACGCGCACGAAATCCGCTGAGGTGAGGCCGGTGGGGAATTTCTGAGAAAAATAAGCGCTCGGCGAGATGACCAGGTCTGGTTTGGAGATGCAATGAAATCTTTCACGAGTACATTCCTCGCCGGTGATCGCACAGCGAATCTGTGGCTGACGAGCAGTGAGCAACACTGCGTAAGAGAGCACACGTAGTCAATCACCTTCTCCCCCTGATTAGCTTCTTTCGCAGGAGTAGCATAGATGTTGGCATGGGTTCCCAGCTGCGGAGCAGGAGCATTCGGAAGGCCTTGAGAGCTAGAATCCATTTTCTAAGAGCAATCAAAATCACCACAGGAGAAGCAAAAGGTATTCAGCTGAACTCTCACCTCCTTCGGAACCAGTGATCCATCCGGCATCGCAACGAGGATGGGATGACCGGAAGTATCCATTGGGCCCACGGCCACCGGGCGATCATTCAGCGAGATGTTGTAGTTGATCAATCCCCAATGCTCCAAGAAAGCATGCAGACGCATCACTGCACACACGTCTATCGCCAAATGGCGCCTGCATTCCGTTGCTGTGATGTATTTGCTCGGACATTCTCTGTACAAGTTGATAATGAGGTCCCTCGCCTCCACGTAATTCTTGGGTGTCTTAGAGCCAGATTGACTTGCAAACCATTCTGGCAAAGCTTTTCTCTCGATTGGATGAATCTGTGACCAGGCAAAAATATGTAAGATCAAATCTAACTTTCAGAAGAACCTTACCTGCTCCATCTTGAACCATGACGCGTAGCTCGGCACAAGCACCACAGCACCTGTAGGCTCTCTAGCAGGTATAGGCTCAGGCTTGTTGGTGTAGTTGGAGTACATTCTTGATTGCCCGATAAAGCTCTCAAGACTCATCTGTGCTCGTGTTGCACCGGTTTGCAACTTTCCGAGTGACATTGGGGCGGGCTTGAAAACGGCCGAAGGTGCAGCAACTTGGGAAGTCTCTTCTGGAGAAATCTCCTGCTGCTTATCTTCACGTTTGGAAGCCTTAGAGCCCTTCGTGTCTCTTTTCCTCTTGGATCCTACTTCACTCGTCGCACTTGGGTCCTCCTGGGCCTCCTCGTCGTTGGTCAAGATATAGTCTTCTTCATTCATCCATTCGTTGAACTTGTCCAGGTCTCGCAAGAACCTTGCTGTTATCTTCCATACCAGAGGAGTGGGTATCGGGGGCTCAGGGTCCCCTTGAATCTCAACAGATGGCTTCCACTCCTGATAGCTGTCGGGGAAATACCACCAGTGGACTTTGCTCATGTGATCTTGAGAGTCAATGGTCCTGCAGTAGTCTGCGTCGGCCTCGTCCTGCTGTTCGTCTGGAAACACTTCGTGTGTCGCCTGTTCTCGACGTGTAACGATTGCTCCCTTGTGACTCAACACAATCTCATTCAGCTCTGCAAGTTGTGCTCGCGGCATGGACAGCGAGAAAAGAATTTTCGGTCGACGAAGAATCCCAGCATTCAGCAGCGAGCTCTCTATTCTTACAAAGAGTGCAGTATGTTCTTGCGCTTTGGCCTCGTCATTGATGAAGATATCTTCAAATGAATCACAATTCCATCCTTTCTCTTTCTTGTACCGGAAGGCAGTTGAAAGAATCGCCAACAAGCCGCCTTGCGGAACAATCTGAAAATCAGAAAACAACTTGGATGGTAACTTGGGCATCAATTTGTGGTTCTCTTTCGGTGCATTGGTCCCAAAAAGGTCATCTGATGCCTGCTCTAAGATAGCTGTCACGTAGGCAAGGTACCGGTTCTGCTCCTGGGGCTCTTTCTCAGAGAGAAACGAATCATCTAGTTCGATGAGGCAATTCTTGACGTTCTCGAATTTCGAAATGTACCAAGGTTGCTCGTATTCCTTGAATTTCTTTTTGAAAGGGCCACCAAAATGCCTGATTTCACTCATTGTCTGCTTTGAAAAGACTTATTAGCTGCCTTGTGAAATGTAAAGTAGTGTCGAATCCGATTTTCAGGAGGAAAACTCCATCGCTCTGCGGAATAGAAATAAGGCAAGTTCACAAAACAATACCTACAGCATCAAATTCACAAAGCTGCCTCGACTACCCAGACTTCACAGAGCAGCCATTTCCGAACTTGATATTTGACCAACCCATGACTATCACATTTCATGGGCAGAGACTAAAGTAGTTTCTGAACGTTCTCTCTTGTCATCATGCTTCACCTCGTCTGGCTTCACCCTGTCCCTACAACGTTCTCCGGCATTCCAGTTGCCCCTGCAGTACACCCTACCCCTACCTCCTCACCTCTACCTGCCTGCAGCATCCATTGTAGGTGAATTCTTGTCTCCAGCCGATCTAGTCTTGGTCTCAATCCTACTCATCTTGAGTTGTATATTCAATGCTCCGTCCTCTCCCTCTCCCTCTTCCCCTTCAGCCCCTCATGCGCCATGCAGCGCGGGCGATTTGGGACCGCTGTTACAGATCTGATACATCTGTTAAATACCCGAAACGTTGACTGTTGGCCACCCGGGGGCATCAAAGTGACGGGCCGGCCGGCAGGGAGTGTAACTGCCAACTGTAACAGATAGTAACGGCTGATCGTTAGGGGCATGCACCAACGGAAACGGCCATGTTGGCGAAGAGGAGCGGAGAGGATGGTGGAGGAGCGGAAAGGAGAGATAGGAAGAGGAGGAGAGCGGGAGATATGTTATGATGTGAGACAAGTCAGGAGGAGAGAGAGAACAGGGATAACAGTTGAAGCGCTCGAAGAGAGTATGGTAGAGGTGAAACAACGTCAAATGCATGAATCGTACTGCAGGATACCTTGAAAACTTTTGCTGGCATATGCGACTTAGATGAAAGTTGAAATGAGAGAAGATAAGAAATCTAAGATAAGAAATCTTTAAGGTTCTCAACACGAGGTTGTTGATAACAGCGAACAGAGATATTCGGCTAGTGATTAGTATGAGTGGCATGTTTCAATCCAACGCCATCAATGTCATAAGAGATTCAAGTTTAGACTTTAAAGAAATTCTCCAGCGTCATAGCAGCATCATCAACAAGAGTGTCATGATTTAACCTGTCTGGTCGGTGTGCTGACCGTATATCTATCAGATCCTTGCCTTCCAAAATGGCGCAAACGGCCACAGAGAGCGGTTACGCTTTCGCGCAGCAACCCCGAGCAGTTTCAAACCGCAGGAAATTCCGCGATCCCGAGCAGACAGATGATCGGTTAGCAGTGAACATCATGTGGGACAGACGTGTCGTTCGCGGCAACACGTACTCGGCACAAGTGCTCCCCGCGGTTCGCCTTGCAAAGGGCCTCCTTTTGACCAATTTGACGCGGCTTGCAGACGGCTGTCCCCGATCCCGTGCAGCTGCAGAAGGAAGCAGAGAAGCGAAAGCTGTCCGAGCTGAAGAAGAGGCAGAAAATCAGGTCCTCACTCGCCAGACCCCGCTCCCTCTACCACCATCACCCTGATACCCTGAGCAGGCAGACAGCACGACCCACTACTCCTGATGCGGTACCTGGACGGAAGCACATGGACGTGCAGACGGAGATGTTCTTGGAGGAGATAGCTGATCGACCTGCGGAAGTCGATGCAGACACACAGACGGATCCGTTCATGGACAGGTCCTCGTCCGCTCCCATCTCCGTCGATGGACTGAGGCTTTTCCAGGCCGCCTACTCCGCTGTTCATCCCCAAGAAGACTGGAATAGATCGTGAAACCCAGGCAGAGAATGTGTTGTGGCGACTGGATGCCTCTGACAGCAGCATGCAGATCTTCGAAGGGGAGCTGTTCGACTTTGATTTCGAAGTCGAACCAATCTTGCAAGTCATTGTCGGGAAGACGCTGGAACAGAGCTTGATGGAGGTGCTGGAGGAAGAGGAGCTGAAGAACATGCGAGCACATCAAGAAGAATTCGATCAAATCCGGGCAGCCGAGCTTGCAGAAGCTCAGGTGACTTCAGCTCGCTCCTTTCTTACGCTTCGTCCTCTTCTCACGCTCGATGCAGAGGATGGAAGCTGCGGAAGTCAGGCGTGCGGAGGAGAAGCAGAGGCGTGTGGAGCAGGAGAGGGAGAGGGTGGCGAACGAGAGGACAGTCTCAAAGAAAGTGGCAGCCAGAGGGTTTGCTCACAGATACGTGGGAGATGTGGTGTCGGAAGTGTTTGGGAACATGGAGGAAACTGGATTCTTCTACGACCCCCTGGTCAAAGAGATCGAGGACAGCTTCATGCCCTGGCTCCTTGGCGGGGTCACGTCAAGGTGATCCTCTCCTTCTCTTGCTGTCTGCCAGTGTGCTGATGGCTCCCTCGATGCTGCAGCATCAACGGAGCAAGAGAGGCTCATGAGATCCTCGAGCAAGCCGTTGTCGGGGCCCTCAAGCTGTCGGCGTCCAAGAACAAACTTATCACTGTGAGCTGGAGTGGAACCTTGCCGTTGGCGCTGATGATTCGCAGGACAAGTACAACGAGCTCCAGGCGGAAGCAAACAAGGCTGCAGAAGAAGCGAAGGAAGCGGAGCAGCCGGAGGTGAGCGGCGGAGGGAACGCCCGCACCCTTGCATGCTGATGTTGTGAAGGAGCAGGCGGCCAATGAGGGAGAGGGAGAGGGAGAAGGAGAGGGAGAGGTGCAAGCAGAAGGAGAGCAACCTGCAGAAGGAGCTGCGGAGACGTCATAGACATTCCTTTAGTTTGCTTGTTCATGTTGGCGATGGCAAGCTCTCCGAAACTGTATTATATCTCAAAGAGTTTGTTGGGCCACAGCCCCCACCTCCCCTGGAAGGAGACAGAAGAAGTGAAGAAGCGATTGGCAGAGTGATAGTCAAGGGTGATTCGCACGATTTCTTGAATGAAATGTCAAACATCGCACTCACACAAGTTTCAGCTTTGCATTCGCAATGTCTCAGACGTATGTGCGTTAAACTCTAATACTATGGAACAATTTACATCAAATGCGACCGTTCGACCAAGGAGTGTGGACTTCCTCCCGCTACTCCATCACACCAATCCCAAACAAGAGTTGGGGATCGTGCAGATAACGGAACCATCTGGGATGAACGTCCCGGGAACGATGTCAAAGTTCATGTTCTGCAATTGCGTTATCGTCATTCCCATGCGCTTCGCCACCTGCTCGGGAAGCTCGTTCGGATGCGTCTTGTACAGTACCCCCACCCTGATTGTCTGTCCCTGATAGACCAGATAGTCGGGATGCCTCAAGTCCATGTTGAAGCTCCACAACTTCATCCAGTCCGTCCCGAACATGGCCGCAAGCTCCTGCAGCTGCTGGTCTTGTTGCAGGCTGTACACGCATCTCCTCACCGTCACTCGAACGCAGCTGACCGTCATCGGCGTGGGCCCCGTGCAGGAATCAGAGTTAGTGAAGGCACGGAAGCAAATCAACGAGTCGAAGCCCCCCATGTGCAGAGGAGGAACCCAGCTGAACTGTTTGGTTGTCTGCTGGCATAATCCTACTCGTTGTTGACCCGAGGACAAGAGAGTGAGAGTTGCCTCTGGGGGAAGACCATTCTCTGGCTCCAACTGAACAGCTGATTGACAATCTTCTCCTTGAACCTGGGCCTGGAAGGTGAACTGTTTGCCAATGGTTGCGTTGATAGTATCCAACGGGCGACCGGTGCTGTCGGAGAACTGGAGGGTCGGTGCACGGACCTGGCTGACTAGCAGCTCGAAACACTGCTGTTTCGATGCTACAGACTGAATGGTACCAACAGCATTCGAGTGATGGTCGATGGCTTCTACACAGACGATGTGGGAGCCTTCGTCTTGGAGACACGGCCGCCAAGTTATGTAGGAGTTGGCAGGGTTTGACCCATAAGTCGGAGAGATCGTCGCCGTAGCAGGAACAGGGCTAGCAGCAAACCTCACCTGCACCACGGGGTCAAACAAGGTGAATGCAGAAACTTGACTCACCCATGTCGCAGTGCTTCCTGTCGAAGCCTGGGCATCAGTACCAATCAGTTTGACGGTAACCTGGTTTCCTGCAAACACTCTGATTCGATTCGGATATTGATCAGAAGCAGACAACGAGGTCTCTTGTTCATTGTCTCCACTGATTTGACCAATCACACGCTGTTCCGACCTTGTATCGCTCCGCTTCTTCATCAAAATTTGAAGACTCGGCATGTAATAGTTTCCAGGATAATGTGGGTCTATAATTAATCCACTCGAGTCTACCTGGATGACATTTATAACAAGATCAATCCGAATCGAATTTCTGCCACTTGTAATTGTAGGGCTGACCGTGAAGTTGCCACTGTAATTTGTTCGAAATGTGAGTTCACCGTACCCCGAAAACTTAACATCCGGATCGAAGAGATACATTTTGCCACTGCCATCAATTGGGCCTGTCATGACTGCGTTTGCAGTACCGGTCAAATACGCCCTTGCAGATGTTGAGGTTGGAAAGGAGGGCGATGTCTGATCCACGTTACATGGATTGGCTGAGTTGCACTGCTGGTCAAAGCTCCAAGAGGCAATCAGGGTCTTGTCAATCAGGAATGATGTGTCTCCGGCACCTCTTGTCAGTTGGCCAGTGCTAACTGAAGGGTCCCCATAGTACATGATTTTGCTCGCATCCAATGGCCTGGTCATGTACAATCGAACCGCCGTCTCAGTTAATGCACCATTCCAAATCCGGAATTCATCCAAACTGCCAGAGAAGTATTTGCCCGTTGTAACTGCTGATCCGCCAAAAAACAATGCATTAGGAAATTGTGGCGGTATAGCCCAAATCACAGGGTATGATTGCCCAGCTTCAAGATAGATATCCTCTGTCTTGGCATATTGCGTAAGAAACGAAGGGCAACTCCTCTGAAAGTAGAAGTATGTGCAATAGTTGTATTTGGTTCTACTTTGAGCACTGCCGGCTGGAAACTGAATTGTTTCCAAAGTATGTCCGTCCACCATCACTCTGTAAGATAAACTATTGTCCAGAACAAACCTTGTTACGGACACATGAAACCACACGCCTACTGCCTTTGTCGCCCCACACAAGCTTCTGTCAACAAGAGCATTGCTGCAGATCGCGAATGCTTGTTCATATCTGTATTGGTTAGTTCCAATCCTGGTATAGAAATCTGGATAGAACTCTGGTGAACCTGGAGGCAAAGAAAGGGCCAATATCATTTCATGACCAACTGTGACATGCGATTCATTCACTTGGATGTATCTGAGGTATGAATCAATTCAGAAAAATGGAAAACAAAAACAAAGAACAAGACACGTACAATGTATTAAGAGGACATCCAGTAGGATTGGAAGACGATGTATCACAGCCCACTCGAATGATGTTTCCACCCGTGGCGTTGGCGATGTTCAACCAAAATTCGAAAGTGGTCGCGTAATAAGTTGTTCCATCACCTGGTGTGTTTGCGAACAACGCTCCTTCAAGCGCAGTTATGAGTGGTCCAGGATTGGGCTTTGTGAGGTTGATCGTGATGTAACTCATTAGACTGGCTTGAAACTGTATGGCATTGCCCACGTCACTCGGCTGAGGACTTGTCCACGTAACATTTCCTGGAGCAATCGCAGGCACACTGACAGATCCTTGGTATAGACCGTTAACCATACTAGCGCCCACAGTTAAGGTTGGTAGCGAGAAAGCCTGTGGGGATATCGATGACTGCTGAAGGTCAAGCTGCGCTACGATCGCCCACTCCAGGAACTGGGAGTTTGATACGTCATACGCTCTACAGCATCCCGCTAGCTCAGCCAACCAAGGGCTCCCATCATTGTTTGGAGTGTAATACTCATGATCAGTCTGATACTCCACGATGACCCAGTCTTCTTCGATTGAGGAGGCTACAACAGTAACCTGGATTATAGTCTCGATGTACCCATCTCCATAGTAGAACACAGGAGATTCCCTCCCAACCAGCTGAAGCTTGTCTCCGAGTTGGGGTAGACGATCAGAACCAGATCCTCGCCAGGCATCGACACCACTTATGTTTCTGTCAAATCCCATCTGAACGGTAAAATGCACATTATTCCGATCGCTCCTCCAATGGATATTGCCATGTCGAAATGTACCTCCAATTGGATTCAAGACTGAATTCACGAGAACAATCAGTGACAGAACTGATACATCAGAAAGAAACTCTTCACATGGCTTACCTTGTGCATCAACTCGAACGAGAAGCCCAGATAAGAAGAGAACGAGAAGGCTCAACAAGACTGGCCCGCATTGCATTTTTGAAGGAACTTCGTTCACAGCCATCTCACGACCTTCAACCAAGGCAGTTCGAGCCCTCTACCTTCTTCTTCCTCCCCCTCCCCCTCTGTCCTCAAGCCTCCGCCAGCCTGTGTGCCATTCCCGCAGACCTGCTGGCTCCTCCGCTCCCAGAGCCAGACATGGGCGCTCTGCACGAAAAGCCAATGATCGTTACAAGTCGTTATTCGATTTGGTATTACAGACCGTTACGTGACGTTTCGAGTCCCGGCCCCGGCCCGGCCGGTCGCCGTCCGATCGGCGCGGCGATCATTGTGCGCACTGCGCCAGTGCGGCCCGGCGGCGGCCCGGCGGCCCGGCCGCACCGTCGCTTCAAACACAAGCCTTTGTTAGACTCGTGACTTGTACTGCCAGGCTGTGCCCAACTCAACGCGGCAGACATCATATCGACCGGGCCTCAGTTGCAACAAGCCAGTTTTTGCTCAAGACCGAGTTTAATGCACACAAAACCAGAATTGAGGAGCACATGAGAGATAGACTGCATGACTAGCAACTGCATACGATCCACTGGCCAGATCATCGGCGACTCAGACTTGAAGTTGAAGCCTGGTGCCATCCAGACACGAGAGGACCTCAGTACGGAATACGTAAGGGTCGCCTTTGTGCTCTGCAGTCAGCCTCGGCTTCGGAACCGATCGGAGGCTGAGTCAGCTCCGAGGGCCTCGGAAGGGCCCGCGAGCCTCGGAGTCAAGGCTCAATACCAAGTGGCAATAGATGACCAGTACCGTGACTACATTGTATTGAAGCACCTTAGGTTAGACAATGGATCACTTGGCTGATCGCCAATATCTGTACAGGACGACAACGGCAGCAGCTCCCAGCAAGATTCCCACATGATCCCACGTGATGAAGGAACTTGAAGGAAGTGAGGCGACATCCTTCTTGGCCTGCGGCTGAGCCTTTGAGGATTGCATCGGATCAGGTTTGGACGGGTCTGATTTTGCCGCCAATGCTGCTTTTGGTGGCGAAGAATCCCGCGGGGCAGACGGTTGCGACGTGTCGACCCCCAGGAAGCTATCGATCTCGGACTTGGATGGGATGACGAAGCTATCGCAAAGATACCGTAAGGCAGAAGCTTGCACAGTAAAACGCAACCACCTTGGTTTGATGCGATTGGCCTTCTCGAAAAGCTTCATGGCCTCTGCTCTGTCTGGTTTCAGCCCTCCCTGACCTTTGAGCTTGTCCAACAAGTCAAAGTCTTTCCGACGAAGACGCTTGAATGCATCTACCTGATACCATGCCAAGTTGTGAAGGGCAGGGGCATGATGATCTCCCGCTCTCTTGAAGTATTCCACAGCCTTGTCTGCCTTCCCTAGGCTCGACTCGATGCTTCCTAGCACGAAGTATCCATTCGCACTGCCGTTGTCCGCGGCTTTCTGGGCCCATTCACGAGCCAAGTTCACATCTGCTGGCCACTGGAGGCAAAAGTAAGTCGAAGGACACTGACTGCTGCATCGTTCACATTGGCTCCGAAGAGCGACGGCGAGTGATACGCGAAGGCAACCTAGTCTAAGTCACTGAATATCCTCACGCAGAGGTCCAACAAAGTGCAGGTACCTGAGCCTGCGCATCTGCATAGCCCAAGTTCGCTGCCTTCTTGTAGAATTCCATCGCTCGATCTGACCAAGGAGCAGTCAGCTCACGTTGCTCAGCCTGCCAGCCCGTCGGCCTCACCTGGATCTGCGCTCAACCCTGCGATCGAATTGCTGAGAGAGACGGAAGTGAAGTCGACTGGGATCTTCTGCTCCGGTAAACTGGCTTCCGCAAGCCTTGCAGCAGCGATCAGGACGGATCAAACCGTGTTCACTCGGGTCAAGTCAGGAAAGTTTGAAAGCACCTCATGAGAGAAGGGACAAAGTCCATTTCGGCCGCCTCTGTGTAATACTTGAGAGCGTCGCTATCGTTGAGATTCATGAGGTAGCCTCTCCCGCCCTCCAAGGAAACACCTGCAACTCTCATCAGCCTCATGAGCAGAGCCAAGGCATGCGCTTCACCGATGTTGTGCAGAGACTGCGGGTCAAGCTTGTCCGCAGGAGATGGCCCAGGACCAACGATCAGTATCGGCCAGGAGTTTTCGTATTCCTTCTCAAGATGGATGGTGATAGACTGTTCGGCCTTCTCAATCTGCCATACTGAATCGCTCGACACTGGCTGGAAAAGTTTCCCCTACCACAACCTGGTAAGAGGAGCGGGAGCGATCGCAGAACTACCGATAGGATAGGAGGTTTCTTCTTCAATCCAGCTCGGATCCAAGTGCTTGACACCTTGACATCAACGTCTTTGGATGTGAAAGGAAAACCGATCGGGATAGTGATAGAGACCCCGCGCTCGTCCTCCTCCTCCCAGCTGTACATTCCAACAGGCTGCGGCATCCAAACGAGCTTGTGGCTGATCCTGATGACGAGACCCGTCAGAACAATCGCAGTATCTCCTGCATGCGTTGTTGGTCTCTCCCTTCTTGTCACTTCCTTCTATGGTCACTAGATCTCTCCCACTCTCGTCGGCTGTCCTTACTTGAACCTTTCGCTCCTTTCCCATCTCCATCCACGTTCACTCTCCTTGACTTGGGACATCTTCATCCAGCTTGCTGTCTGGCACAAACTCGCCAATTGTTTGCCAATGTTGTTTTTTGATCCTCTATTTCCTCAACTCTTCACTGCAGATCCCAAGAAACCTCTCTCTCTGCCATGCGTATAGTGTGCCCCTCTCTTGCTGAAGCAAGCACTCCCTTCTCATCGTCGAGCACGCACTCCTCTGCCCATCATCCTCTCTGCTCCCTTCCAACACTCCTCCCTCTCTCTTCCTCTCCTCTCATGCTCTCCCTCTCTTCCTTGCTTCCCTCTCCTCGCTTCCCCTGCCCCATTCTTCTCCCTCCCCCCCCGGCCACATCGCATGCGCTTGTGGATCCCTTAGAAGGATGACATCGGAGGGGTAGGGGTACTTTAGTAGGGGTCACCTCAACGACCTGGATAAAAGCAAGGTAAGGGGTGCCTGAGCACCAGGCGGGGGTGGGGGAATTCCCTGGTAGAAGGGGAAAATGCGGTCTGGAATGGCCGTCGGGCTGATCAGCATGGAGGTAAGAGCTAGAGCCCGCGGATGAACATGAAGTAGGATAGACTGACTGAGATGGCAGGTGCTGGATCCAATCTTCTCAGGGAATGGCATCGCCAGTAGGTTTGTTGCTCGCTCCATGCTGTCGAGGAACTCCACTTCCCTGTTTGTTCTCTGCGGGAGCAAGACGGCAGGACAGGGCGCCGGGCTGGCACATCGCTGTGATAGAGAGGTTTTCGAAGCAATATCGCCAAAACGAAAAGATCAGTCGAGAGTGAAGGGGATTTCAATCCCTCTGCCGATCTGGGGGAAACTGGACAAGAACAGCAGCTACGAGGAATTTGCGGCGGGGGCGTGTGACAAGCTGGTGGAAGAAACGATCAAGATCGACAAGGTGGACACCTTCTTGTGTGTAGACTGGAGTGGATGCTACGTGTTCCATCGCATGAAGGAGCAGGGGTTGATAGTGGACGATGCGAAAATGATATACTTCCCTTTCTGCGTCTTCCACGCTTTGTACTCAGCGAGCAACGAGGAGGTCGGGTTTTACAAGGCAGAGGAGACAAGATCGATCGAGTCTGCAACGAAAGTAATCGCGCTGTGTGAGTCTGATCTCGAGAAGCTCGCCAAGCTGAACTCAAAGCACCGGGGAAAGATCGAGGTCCTGCCGCCTCCTCTCAGGGAGGACTTCAGGGCGGTGGTGCTTCGGAACTCGGAGGTTGTGAGGCAGAGAAAGTTCATCACTTGCTGCCTGCGATTTACTCCTTCCAAGAATGTCAAAGTCTTCTGCGAGGCCGTGAGCATTATCCACGAGGAGCTGAGCGCCAGGGGCATCATGGTTGTCATGTGCGGGGCTGTGATCGACGAGTCGTATGCCAACGAGTGCAGGAGGGTGATGGAGGAATCCAACACAAGACACAATGTAGGCAGGGGGTGAAGAGCAGGAGCGGTTTGCCTCTCACTTGCTTGCAGATCGTGAAGGACTTCTTGGACGCTCAAGGCTTGCAGGAGGTTCTGAGCCAATCCCTTGTCAACATCCACACCGCTCCTTACGAAGCTTACGGAATGACCATAGTGGAAGCGGCTGCTTGCGGTGAGAACCTGCTCGAGCTTTTTTCTTCCTGAGCTTCTCAGCTCCTGCTCCTGCTCCTGCTCCTGCTCCTGCTCCTGCTCCTGCTCCTGCTCCTGCTCCTGCTCCTGCTCCTGCTCCTGCTCCTGCTCCTGCTGTTTCTGTAATGGCTCGACGCTTACTTTTTACTGTGTTGTCCCCTCCTATAACAATTCGTGAGCCTTTCTGATCGTATCCTTAAGGTTCGCCGTCTATCATTCATGAGCAATGGAGGGACATCGGGGCAACTATCTTGCTTCCTCCCACGAGCGATGGAGGTGAGACAGTGGTGCTCCTCTAGGTGCGAACTCCTAACGAGGTAACGCTCAGGATCATGTTACCTTGCCAACATGCTGGACGCGAATGACTTGGCTCGTGCTATTCTCGACGCCATTCGAGACCAAGAGAGCTTGGGGGAGGCGTCGAGGAGAGCCCGGGTATGCTGAGGAGGAAGGAGGCAACTAGCTGAAACAGGTTTTTGTGAGCAGGAGCTTGCGCTGTCATGGGACGAGGACAAGTATGCTGAGAGGCTGATCGAAGTTTTGGACGATTCGAAGATCATTACGAGGGACGGCTGAATAAATAGTTTACATCATAGAGACGGGGCAGCGTTGCACCCTCCTCCTCCTCCCTCTCCCCATCTCATCTCCCGTGACTCTGCAGCCAAGAGTTGATGGCTTCAACGTTGACCGCATCAGCCTCGTCGAGGGGGGGGAAGGTCAACTTGTCAAGCTCCGGCCGCTGCTGGATAATGCCAGCGAGCAGAATGACAATCTCCTCCTTTGACTTGCCGAGGCACGACAAGTCGATCTAGAGGACCAGAGGTTCAGCGAGAGCGAGGGTGGAACAGACCGTCCGCTGCTCACCTCACTGAAGGTCGTCCCTTTCTCCGAGAACTTGACCTTCTTGCCGTCGACAAGGGAGTAGAGGTCAACGAGGGGAGGCGTCGCCTTGGAGTTGAACGCCTTGGTCGGCGAAGCAAGCTCCATCTCGCTGGGGTAGTTCGACTTGAAGTTCTTGAGCAGCATCCCAAAGTCTGCGACCCGACGTGAGGTAAGGAAGACGATGAGGGAGCGGCGGTGACGATCATTACCTGCCCGGAAGAACCGCTCGTTGAAGCAGCTGGCCACGTCATGCAGAGGAGCCGCCTTGAAGAACGAGAGCGCGCGGAGGAACTTGCGGTGGAGGGCGATCAGCGCCCGATGTTCTTTGCTGACGTTGACAACCTGAACCTGGTCTAGGAACGAGTGGAGTACCTGCCAGCCTGTCATCTCCAGCAGCGCTCTGAGGCGAGTCCGAGGACCGTCTCGATGAAGTTCACGTCAATGATGTACTGGACCATGTTGGAGCGCGAAGGTGAGATGGCCTTGTAGACGTTGACGAGAGCCTGAGACGTCTCGACCAGGTACTCCTGCGCACTTCAATCAAACGATGAGGTGTTCCCCTGTGCATACCCCAAAGACAAGGTCTGCGGTGGAGTTCGCAAAGAATTCCTTGAGATCGTGCAGGAAATGCTTCGAGTAGAGATTCCACAGCAACAGGCCTGGAAGCGACCGAGTCAGAAACAAGAAGGATAGAGGACCGAACGTTCCAACCATGGCTGGCCACGGCCGTATCCCTCTTGAGAAACTGCCCTTGTTTCCACTTGCTTGCAATTATAGAATTGAAATAGACATCCTTACAGTTTTGAACATGGTACGTGATCTACATGAAGCATGTCTTAGAGACGCAAAGAATTTCCGATCCAGACAGAACACAAGAGGAATATCTTGAAGCTCACCATGCATTGAAACATCTTTGAGAGAAAAGCATTCACGAGGGCAAAGCACGAATTCATCTGCTTTCTTTGCTCCGCCCCCTCCCCGCTGTCTTGGCTGTTGTAGCTTTCTTCTGAGATCTGCACGATTTTAGGCATTCAGGAGAGTACACTAGTTCAAGATCTACCATTCCCAATGCAAAATGGATCAGAGTTGTGTTGGCTGCTGCTCGGTATGCACATTTGATTCCGTCATGCATGGCCTCTGCCATGCTCGTTTCTAAGCTGATGAGGTATGCCTGTAAATTGATCCTGAAGGGCGGAGCCACCGTAAGACAGCCAAAAGGAGGAGAAAGAGACGGTTCAACAGTGCACCTCAATTGTTTGGTAAACTCAAGGTAGTAATCTTCGACCGGCAACAACCCATGACGAGGACAGATTGACAAGATGCTCTGAACAACGTTGAGACATCTTGGGGACGCTCTCTGCCACAAACCATCTTCACTCAAAGTCGTCAATACACCACCCAACAAATCACACCTTGCAGTACAAGGCAAATTCTTCCTGGTTCCCTTGAGGGGTATCGAAGGGGCCCTCATATATTTGACCCTTGATCGAATCTGAACTCTCAGCTTTGTTTTCTTCCGCAGCCTCGAGTTTGTCGTTCATCGTCAGATCACGGAACTGCTCACTCAGCAGATTGACAATCTTCGAACGCACCCACAATCGCTGCCATGCCGTCAACTGCTCACATCAAATCCACACGGGACACCAAAACCTGTTGCTTCCACAGACTGAGAATGACGTCCTGAATGTCGATCAGTCTTCCTGATGTCAAGTTTTAATCGTGGAGAAACTTTCCAACAATCGCTTGCAGACATACCGCTGTCAGAAGATGCCTTGAAAATCGATGACGCGAGGTTCTGTGTCGTCGTCATCAATAGCGGAAAACTGATGCCTCGGACGAGCTCTGCGATGAAATTGCAGAGAGGAGTGATGGTCGCCTCCTCTACAATCTCTTTCCACGTCACTTTGAGGTGAAGAGAAGTGAAGGAATCAAGGATATTTGTCGCGTCAACTTCGACTGTCTTGCACATCGAGCTGATTTCAGCCAGCGACTGTCTATCAAAAAGATGTTTGATCTTCAGCCAGAACTGCTGTCCCACCGTTGTGGCAACCTGCAGCTGTGGAAGTAAAAGGCAGAGGTTTTCAACAGCCTTCTTCATCTGTGTGACATTCTTCTCATTCATGGCATCCAGCAGGGACTTTGTCAACGTCTGTACCAGCATGTTCTGCAGGGCGTTCAAAGAGAGCTTCGTATTGCCAGACATCGCGTCTGAGCTCCCAGGTAGAGAAACACTGGAATCAAGGGACGTGTCAAGGCTCCGCTCCCTCTCCTCCATGACCATGACGGCGCAATGCAGGCTTGAGCATGCTTCTCCCAACCTAGACTGTTCGAACTGCGACTGAGCGATGCGCAGCAGCTTCTCAGGATCCTTCCTTTGACTCGGTCTGTCCATCGTGGCCAACTTGGAGGCAAGCTCGAACTCCAAGGAGGAAGGATGCATGTTCTTACTGCCGCAGATGGCAGACGCTGCTTCAAGGAGATCCTTCTCGACCTGCCCGACGGCCACCTTGAGCAGCTCGTTGCATTCGAACGCTCTCGACGCGAGAGATTCTGGTGTATCCTCGTCCGCAAACCAATTGAAATCGACATCCATGTCAGAATGTTTGCGCATCCGGCCAGCTCTGATCGCCGGGGGGCAATCTCAAACTCCTGGCGAGCGCTCTTCGTCAACTTTTGAATCCCGTGCCCTCGTCGGCAATCTTTCGGAGCCCAGGCCGACTGTCCCTTTCTCCAAGTCTAATGAAGTGCATTACCACGTGCCAGCCCTCTTGAATCAATTCCAGCCTCATGTCTCTCCTCGCTCCGAGTTTCCTTCCCCTGTGCCTTCAAACCAACCATCCCACCAGGGGTCCGCTCTGCGCCTTCATCGCACCTCCCAGGTCCGATCGTCGCGTTGCAAGTTCCTTCCTAACATCGTCCTCTGCCTCTCATCCTCTTCTTACCATAGGTACGTGTCCCCATCGTTTCTCCTCACCCGCCTGCTCAGAACCCAAGTGCATTGCGCAATTCCAACTGACGCAATTGATGCAACATCCGTTACTTTCCTTTGCATATAACGTGTCAAAACGGTCTATGGGAAGCAACAACTGCCGGGCCCACCTCGAGAAATCGGGCTATGCCCGCTGTGCCCGCTGCCCTTCCCGAAAATGAGGTTCCCCAGTCGTACGATCAGCAAGAGGACGAAGAGGAAGGGGAGGGACGGAGATGCAAAGAAGGGAGACGAGGAGATGAGGAGATGAGGAGATGAAGACATAGGATGAGGGTGGCTGAGCCATGTGGGAATCAAGAGAGCTCAGCACTGAAGGGAGCAAGAGCGATGCTTGCTAAGTGCAAGGGAGGGGAGCAGAACCATTCGAGGGTAAAAGGGTTATGAAGTCTATGTGCCTTAACCCGAATCACTACATCTCTTTGCATGGTTTGCTTACTGATGACAGGAATCCATGGCTTCTCCGATACCATCGAGGATTCCTCGACCTGCAAGTGAGCATACGCTGGATCTCTGACTGAGATGAATGCGATCTTTCCCGGGGTTTTTGTTGCTGATCTTGTGCTTTCAAGGCACGGAGAACTTCATGTCCGACAGGGAAGTTGTTAGGTTGCTAAATGAGCTACACTTGGAGAAGGTTAAAAGAGATGGTGGACTACGACGATTGGCTGACTGTCTGTTCTCGACGCAGATAAGAGCAGAAACGAGGGCATCGAACTTGCAGGCACAGATCGAGGATTTACATAAGCGTTTGGATACTGTCAGGTCTGTATGAGAGCTGTCGACAACGTCTTTCTGCACTTGTGAATTGTTTTCTTTTTTCCTCAGCGGCTACGTGGTATCCGACAGTGAGTCCAATGCTGATGGATCAGGTGAGACCCATGGTGGACGGATATGAGTTTGCTCTGAACGTCAAGTTCAGAGTACAGCAGATCTGTGGATAATCAGATTCAGGACTTAGAGGTCGGTATCGTGTGCCATTCACGGAAGGCCCACCGAAGGAGCTGCTCACATACGAATTTCAGGAAGTGGGATCAGAGCTGGATAATTTCATCAGGCTGCGAAGCTACATACTTCATATGCAGGTGATTGGCGAGCTTGAGTTGAGAGCAGGAGCGATGAAGTGAGGGAGTGAAGAAACGCTCGGCCCTGAACATGTCATGACTTCAGGAAGGGGCGTCCCTTTTGCTCTGGCGCGAAGATGGACTGCAGGTCAGGACCTCTCCAGCTTCAGCCTGGTGGAGCCCTCACCCTTGGAAACAGCTCTGCTGGTTCTGGCTGGATAAAGAATGCAAGTCCCTCAACTGGGACTTTGACGAACAAGACCTCGGTCGATTGGTCGCGCAACGATTTGGGATCTATGACACGTCAAATCAGGCGGGGGCGTTGAAGGAATGACGGGGGACTCGCTTCTGTTGGAGAGGATCATCGACATCGTCCCGTTGGGTGCTGGTCCAGATCAGGTAGGAGAGCTTGAAACCCTCTGGGAAGAGATGGAGAGTGGTTGTTTCGCCGTCCTTGAACGTATGTTGACAGCTCACCGATAATCCTACTGACTCAAGTTTCACGATCATTCATGACGGAGGTAGAGCCGATGAGTATCAAGACACTGGAAATGACTTCCAGTGGTCAGGAAAACTGGACATTGTCGCTCCAACCTCGCTAGACTTTCAAGTGCCGCATCTGAGGAGATTGGGAGCATTGTAAGGGCGTTGCTAGGTGTGGTATTTTGGCCTCGCGTTTGCAACTCGGTTGCGAATGAACGCGGTAGAAGATGTTCAAGGTGAAGTGAGGAGTTGATATGAATGTTTGATCTGATGTACCTGCTCAGATTCCTCGCGGGATGAACGAGACAGAATGGTTGGTGGTGATGAAACCATTGGGCTGCTGATGTAGATTTTGTTCGCAGAACGAAGATCACGAGATTCACAGTCCAAGTCGTATGAAGCGTTCAAGTGTCCAGTTTCTTGACACTGAGGCGGACAAAAACCATGATTCGCCCGAGGTTCTACTGACGATTTGCTATATCTCGTGATGAACTACTCAGGTTGAAAATCTGATGACGAAGATGGAAGAGCAAAGGAGGTTAATAGAGCAGTTGCAACGAGAGAACCAAGTTTACTCAAGTTGATGGAGGAAGCAGATTGCTTGACTGCACTGTAGGCACTCAAGGAAGTAAGAAGGAACAAGGATGAAGCCATCTCAAGACTGCTGAAAGACTTACAAGTGATTGGAATCGACATGTTGTATCAAAGTTGACGACCCTTGCAGGCTGCGGAGAACAGGAGCTGGGAGAACATGGTAGAGTACACGGATAGAGAGAGTTCGAAACGGTTGACCGTCGAGACAGCAAGAAGGAAAGACACCCGCTACGAGCCAGGAGAGTGATAGCCACTGGCATCATCGGTAAAGCACCATCGAGGGGCCTCCTCTTGCTCTTACCACAGCATGCAGAGAGATATACAGAGTAAGACAGCGAAATAGCAAACTGCAACAGATTCTACAGGTAGCCCTCAAGGTGAAGAAGAGAAATGTCTCATCACTTGTTGTACCAGGTGAAGCAGAAGACAGTGAGGGAGATGTGGTTCCTTCTCAAAGAAATGACGGCCCATAGCTGAGAGCTTGTTATGTTTAATCCTGTAATCCTTCATAATGTTGTCTCCTACATGACTCCTGTCCACTCCTGCACTTGGGAAATGCTCCAGCTGCAGCTCTCTTGCTGCAGTATGGACCTCAATTCAGAGTCTTCGGACTGCACGAGCTACATCATGATGAATCGACTAGAGGTGAAGATGAGGAATCCTTCACCTTCTCTGGTGACGGTCGTAGGAGCACTATCGAATCCGTCTTCTCCCCTTCCTGCCAACGAGGTCACACACTCACATCATACTAAACTCTCTCGAGCACCTCCTGTCCAGCTCGCCGGATCTCAAGCGTTAAGGGCGTTTCAGGTTTTCCTTGCATCATCTTCTTCACTGCATCAACCTGCAAGAAAGACTCACACGCTGAGAGATACGGCTTGAGCTTACATGCTTCCCACGTAACGAAACCCCGTCAATCGCCACCACAGTGTCGCTGACTTGGATGCTTCCGTACGAACCTGCGACGCTGTCCTCTCGAATGTACGAGACAGAGTAAGACCCGCTCTTGGATCACCAAATGAGTCAGAGTCCTGGCCTAGATGTTCTAGTGACAATCTTACCTCGGTCAGGAAGATGGCCAAGCCTAGATCGTGGCTTATCGCTATTCTTTCAAGAATGCTCGAGAACTTGAAGCCGTAGTCCAAGCCGTTGACTTGCAGGAAGCAACCAATCAGTCTCATCCGATTGTTTCTGAAAGCTTGATGAAGAGAGCTATTTCGAACTTTGATACTTTGCAGAAACCTGAAGAAAATTACAAAGGAGCTCTCAATATTGCATTAGTTGTACACCTGTTTTTAAAATCATCTGTGAAGAATTTAGATTCGACAGAAGACTGCATAGAAGTAACAGATAGCTTCAGCATCACAAGGTCATGAAATCTAGATTCGACTAGAGGGATTTCGTCTGTAGGCGTGTGGCTGTCCCAGGCGAATTCTGATATCTTGAAGCTTTCTGGTCTTGCCGGCAAGAATTCATACAGAATCGATTCGATCCTCTTCTTGATGTGAGATATCCCATCGTACGAGCTTAGATTGTTCGCCTTTGGAATATGCATGAGAATAACAACTGATTCTGAACCCCAGTCTCTAGTAGACGTTTTAATAGCAGTTTCCAGCACTGCGTTTTGAAACTCCAGTTGTTTTGATCTTCGCACTGCTTCATTGCTATTTCTTTGTAGCTTAGAGCACGCTTCTGCTAGACTTCGGCGTTTATACTCGAATGAAGTTCTTTCTCTATCTTCGATTGATGATTTATCACGAATCATTGATGAAAGTTGGTTCATTTTCCTGTTTTTCTCTTCAAGCTCTTGCTCGAATGTCAGTCTGTCACTTTGCAAACGTTGCACGTCGTCTCGAAACGCATCTCTTTCCTTCTGCACTCCAGCCAGTCGATTTCTCAAGTCTGTATGTTCGTCTTCCAGTCTGCGATGTGCTCTCCATAACCCTTCCAACTCTTCTTCCTTTGCAACACTCATCTTCTCTATCTGAGCTTTGCTTGAGCTCAAATCTTGTAACAAAGCCATTATTTGTGAATCTTTCTCATGCAGCGAGGCCAATTGGTGATCAATTCGAAGCTTCAATGATCCTCTTTCCAAGTCCTTCATTTTTTCTCTTGATCGCATACCGCTGATTCTAGTGGAGAACTTATCCATCGACCATTCAAGTCTCTCGAGTTGTTCGAAGACTGATCCGGACACGTCACTCAACACCTCCAGTTTCTCTTGGTCCTTTGAGATCTCCCGCTTGATATTACAGCAGAGATTGTCCACGTCCATGAGCTCCCCCATGAGCAGCGATATTTCCTCAGCAGCCTTTCTACAGAGCATGATGCTTCGAAAACTCACTTCGCGCTCTACTATGAGATTGGACATCATTTCCCTCACCTTCCTCTTTTCTTCTTCCAACCTACTATTGAGATCTTGTACAGCTTTCGAAGCTTTTGCGTTGTCTTCCTTCATTTTTCTTTCAAGATTCGCTGTATTTTGTAAAGCTTCCTCTAGCATACTTTGTATAGACCTTGAATTGTTCTCTTCTGCTTTCAGAGCTTGATTGAAAACTTCTATTTCCTCATACTTTTGCATCAGTTTTTCGGCTTGCTTGGAAATTTCCAGTTTCATGGCTTCAAGCTTTTTTGTAAAGAAGACATTCTTCCCATTCATGACTTCCTTTGTCCTCTGAATCTCTTCATTTAACAATCTTATCCTGTCTTCTTTCGCTCTCAAATTATTCTGAAGCCCTATTATTTCCCTATCCTTGCGTTCAATCTCAGTCATGAAGAATCTGAATTGACTTTCGGTCATTTGATCGACATCGGTTTGGGTCCTGTCGAAATCCTGGGCTGTCCTTGATATTGTCTTATCATCACTGAGAACTGCATTATCAGGATGAAGTGAACCCTGGATATGGCTCAAATTCGGAGGAGTTGCAAGAGAGAAATATGTCTTTTCATCCTTTCTTTGAACAACTTGATGCCTCAGATCATTCTCGTGCAGGTCAGCAGAGTGACAGAATGAAATACTTTCGGTCACAAATTTCACAAGGTCCTTACAATCCGTCAGCTGAAATATGATGTACATAAGATCTCCCTCGATGCAATGCATGTCCATCTGAGAAATGCTCCTGTTGCTTTGATTGGGATGGTATCCCTTGACATCACGCGTGAAGAAATCTTCGTGGAGATCATCAAGCAAGGGCTGCGAGTTCTCTTCTGAGATCTCCTTCCGCACTATGGGGTCGAAGGTTCTATGGATACCTCCCAACAAAGACTCATTCTTGCTCATGCTTGAATGCATGTCTGGTGTGTTCACTTGAAAGTACATGGTCCGATCATAAGAGCTGGAGAGTGAGTTCTCAACAAGAGAGGATTCTTTGTGTATGCCTTCAGCGAACCCGGACAGAATACTTTGAGCGTCTGCAACCAGACTGAAAATCTGATGAGAAATGTGGTAGAGATCCGGTCCCTGAGCCGGGAGCGCCGCCATACTTTTCTTCATGAATACGAGAACTTTCCACTCAAAGAATGCTCGCGAGCATGCCTTCAGCCTGAAGACTCGGACAGAAGCGTGGTTCAACCCTCTCCTGTAAACTTTGGTAGCTCTCTTCCTCTCGATCGCAATCACATGCAGGATAGCTGCTGGAAGACGGCCTTCCTTCCTTGGAAACTCAACTCCGAGACTCTCTTCTCGATGAGATGCTTCTAAATCGCTCTCGTCCTGATGTATCATAATCAACCTGATAAATTGCGTCCCTTGTTCCCCCTCTCGTTTCGTCCTCAATCGACCCCTACTCTACTCTCCGCCATTCTGACCTGCTTTCTTACCGCCATTCCGGCATTTTGGTCATCCATCTTCCGCGGGTTATGAGTTCTGAGGGGTAGTCATGGACCCCTCTTGAGCACTTGAAACAGAGGGGTGTGTGTAGTGCATGGGGATCATGGTAACTTGAACGGTAGCTACAGGAAAGCAGGGGGTACTCTAACGAACATGGGGTGGCGGAAAGAAGGGGTGGTTCTTTTCATAGGTAGAAGTGGGGTACTTCTGGGTGGCATTGAAGGGGGTAGGCAGGAGGGATTGAAAAAGAGCATTCAAATGACGAAGGTGGGGTAGGAACAGAGCAGTCGGGACCGGGGTGTAGGGGTATCTTGGTCATCGCAAGGCGAGAGGCGGCATGGCGTGAGTGCTGTGGTGTGCAAGAGGCAGAGGAAGGGAGCATGCAAGAGACGAGGATCCAGTGAATGAAAGGCGTGGGGGTGTAAGAAGAAGGCAGGCGGTTGATGCAAGAAGCCAGCGTTATACTTTAACCATCATCTGTTAAGGAAGACCTCAGATACGATGAACATATTTGGACGAAGGTCGAGCCAGAAGAAGAATTCAGGATCAAAAGCTTCATCACCATCACCTAATGTTTACAAGGAGAGATCTGCAGTAGATTTCCAAGCAGAGGAATTGAAACGCCTCCAAGGCCAGGAATCGACTCCGAATGAAGGTGCTGAATCCGGTTCAAAGAACGGTGCAAACGATACCGGCAACGCAGTTGAAACTCGAGACCAGAGGTTTGCACGATTGAAGAAATCGCTTGAGATTGCACTTCGCAATGGTGACACAGATAGGATCATTGAAGGTTACCGAAATCTTGGTCAGCATTTCATGCAAGGAAAATCTTTGGCAGAGCAGCAAGCAGCAAAGCAGATGTTTGAAAAAGCACTCGAACATGCAGGGGTCACCTCGCCAGACAAAGGTTCTAGTGCAAATGAAGAATCAAAGAATGTTCATGACAACAAGCAGCTTCGTTCTAGTCAAGATACTCCCCCAATTTCTCGACCTGATGATACCGCGGCCAGAGTTGCGAGCCACCGGAACTCTAAACGACTTGTCTTGGAGCTCACACGGGCGCCTCTGCCTGGCATGGCTCCGGCGCCTGATGGTCTGGCGGGGGTAGGGTTTTCATTTGAGATGCAGCCGGATGGATCCCAGGTCATATCAACCCTTGCTCCAACTGGAAGTGCCGCAAGGAGCGGAAAGATCAAAGCAGGCGACATTCTGATCAGCGTCGACCATGTTCAGGTCAATAACATGCCGGCGACGGATATAATTCGGAGGGTGAAAGGTCAGCCTGGCTCTCGGGTAGTCCTTGAAATTGAAACCATGAATTATGAAGAAAACTCTGGAAGCAAGTCGCCCCCTGGGAGTAGAATCGGAAGTCCAAGTACACCGCTGCATAACATCCCTGAAACGATGAATGAGACCATGGAGTCAAATGTTGACATCAATAATCCTTCACCATTGCTTGAAAGCAATTTTCCAGCAGTGACAGCAGGTTGTTTTTGATGACTCACTGTTCCTTTGGAAGACATTAACTTTATACTCAGAATCTCCCAACATTCCACCGTTGCAGTTACCTGCTGCTCCTCCGAAGCAGGTAATTATTGAATCTATACTTCCTCTAAACATGACTTGAATCCATTCAGGAAACAATGACTACCCAAGCAACAGATGCCAATGAGTCGTTCAGTTCACCTGAAAAATCTCCGAAGCATCCAGTCGTTCACAATGTGTCTGTACAGCAGTTTCTGCAAGAAATAGATCCACCAAAGAGTAACAATCAGGAGCTGCCTCGAAAAGACAGCAGTTCATCGTCTTCTCAACAGATTCCGCAATCTCCTCAGCCTTCAGCACAGCCTGGCAATCAAGCTCAAGATAGTCGCGAGCCGAATGCAAATGCTCAAACCAATCCTCAGAATGGATATTTCTTCCCAGGTCAACCTCAAAATTATCCTTATCCCCTCACTCCTACAATGCTCCACCCCTCGCAACCTTTCGGTCCATTTCCCTTCCCCACTAATCCGTTTCAAGCACAACAGTATGTCTCCACATTCCCTCCAAACATCTTTTACAACTGGCCTCAAATGCAACAGATGCCTCCGAACGTCGAAGGGATGCAGCCCTCTTGGCAGTATCCGGTACCCAACATGCCACAACCGGATACTCCTGCTGGAAAAGCGTTGCCTCCCGAACCAAGTATTCCTGCGCCGCAAATGAACGTGCCGCCAAGCATGCAGCACGCGGCCTCGAATGCAAACAGCAATGGATTTATCAACAATAGCGCAGGACCAGCAACTGTCATGGTTCAGAATTCTGTTGCATCGTCGTCGAATGCCGTTCAAAAATCTCCTGACACATCTCCCTTATCATCAAAGGTGCTTTTCGAACCTCCGAAAGAACCTCTGGCACCTTTAGCTCAAGATTCTGCTGGTGACAATCAGAGTTTAGGAGGAAAAAGGAGGGGCAAACGACTTGTCCTCATACGAGAATCAGCCAAAGGTCAGGTCGTTCTTCCAGAACAGCGAATTGGGATCGGTTTAAACTTGTCAGCCAAGAAAGCTAATCAACGCGCTCCGTTCGTGGTCGAGAGCTTGGTCCCGGACTCCCCTGCAGCTCGCAGCAATCAAATTTCAGTAGGAGACATCCTCTACTCAATCGATGGCATGAGGGTGAAAGAGAAGAATCTGACTGAGGTCATTCAAATGCTCAAGGGGCCAGTAGGCTCCCAAGTGGTTGTGGTGTTTCAATTGAAAGAAGGCCCCGTCGCTCCCCCGAATCACACGCCCAGTTTGAACAATGACTCTCGGAATTTTGTCATGAAGTTTGAAGTGATATCTGCTGATGGGTTGCCAACCTCACCGACCACGGATACTGGTCTCTACGACCCTTACTGTTGTGTGTCGATCTTGTCGGATTGTTCCGAGTCTGAAGAAAATTACTTTGCCCTCCGTCTGCAGCCAGGCTTCGCGCAGTATACAACCATCATCCAGCGGAAGACTCTCAATCCACTCTGGAACGAAAGTTTTGTCCTTCATGACATGTATGCATTGGACAAATCCCGTCAATTTTCCTCTCAGCGTTCTTCGCTTAATGGTAACTCTGTAACTCTGGTGTTTTCAATTTTCTCGGACAGCCCAGCGTCTAGCTCTGAGCTTGTTGGATTCTGCAAGATTCGAAACTTCTCCCCTGGCACATCGTCGGAGAGCAATCTTCACCTCCTGGATAAGAATGGCAATGAGAGACAGTTTTCTGGGATCCCTTCCACTCTGAACGTGAAGCTCTCCTACCACAGCTCGCGCCCTGATGAGCTGGAGCATCAGAGCAGCACCAGCAGCAGGCTCACCGACACTGCCTTTTCCACTCCGGTTCGAAAGGACTGGGCACAGCAAGGAGCGACGCCGTTGAACGATGCAGCTCTTACCAAGACCCAGCTCGAAGGGAAGGGGAGGCGGTCGAAGAACTCCACGATGTCAGCTCAGAAAAGCTCTAATGCTGGCGGAAGCCTTGCGGCCCTGTGGGTCAGTGCGCATCCTCCACTGCAGACCAAGCGCTTGCTGGATATGACAAGGGAGAATGACACGACAAGGGAGAATGAGTCGGAGGGAAGGTCGGATGCCTGGATTACCTCCCCCATCTTCACCTCGTCAGGGTCAAGCGGAATCCCCTTGTTCGATCAGCAAGGTTCCATGTCAAAAAGAACTTCTCAATTCCCTGAACCGGTTCGTCGTGAACTAGAAAGTAAGGAGAGACAGATCTCCGGGCTGAAAACAGAAAATGCCAGGTTGATGGAAAGGATTCAAGAAATTTCCCTCATGAACGAGACGTCGTTAGAGTCCTCGCACACTGCCCTTCAAAGGATGAGGGAGGAACTCGACAAGAAAACGGAGAAACTGAGGAATTTGCAGTACATCGTTGACAACGCTGGGCCTTCACAGAAGAGGCTGGAAGAACAACTCGCATCAGCCCAGCAGCTCGTGAGGGGATCGATGCTTCAGCATGAGAAGTTCGAGGAGCAGACTCAGAAGAAGGATAAAGAGATTGAGGACTTGAGGAGGGAGAAGGAGCTTCTGGAAAAGGAGCTCCAGGCGTACAAGATCGAGTCATTCTCCGACAACGGCGGGTCCAGCAGGGAGGGGTCAAGCTCGCTGCACGAGCTCATAGATGCTGAGAGGAGGAAGTTCAAGAAAGCTCTGGCTGAAGAGCGATCCCGAGCTGCAGACGCGCTTGAACGGGAGCGAGCGAAGCATGAAACCATCGTGAGGGACCTGGAGATGAAGCATGCGGCACAACAGCGCGACAGGAGCTCCAACGGGGACCTCTTGCACGAGAACGAGGAACTGCACAAGGACGTCTCGATCATCCGAGCGGCGCTGGATCGGGAGAAGGAGAGATACTCCAACCTGTTCTCGCAGATGCACGAGGAGCTCGCCCTGCTGAAGCGTCAGGCAGCCAGCAGCTCAGCAGATACTTCGGAGCGAGGGAGCCATTCGGTGGTCAAAACTTGGTACAGAGGAAGCAAGAAGGAGGAGGAGTACACGAGCAGGATATCGAAGCTCGAGGCTTCTCTGGCCAAGATCACAACGGAGCGAGACAAGCTGAAACTCGAGAACGAGTCGCTACAAGGAGAAACTCAGGACAAGGAACAGAAGATCCGCTCGCAGAAAGATGCTGAGAAGCATCAGTCGCAACTAGAGATGGACAAGAAGCAAGCGATCCAAGAGCTCCGAGAGTATGAGATGGAGGTCGAGAGGCTGCACGAGGAGAAGGAGAAGTTCAGGAGCCAGCTCTCGGAGGCAGAGAGAGAAAACGAAGAGCTGAGGGGGAGGCTGAGGACGATGGAGCTGACAAGAAGCTCATCGCACTCTGAGAATGGAAACAATCTGGTTGACGAGCTGGAAAGCAGACTGAAGGAGAAGGAAAAAGCTTACAGCAAGCTGCAGAAGGTGATGTCAAGCCCTGTGCCCTTGTTGTGAGTTGTTTGATCTCTTTCACAGGAACATAAAAGACTGCAAATCCTTGCAGCAAGTAGATCCGGCGGATCTATCCGATGATCGATGGCGAGGTCTTCGGTTTCGAGCGCTGTATTCTTCAAGTAAACCTTATAGCATCTAACCAGCTTGAGCTTGCCCCTCCAGTTTGCCTCTTGAACTTCTCCCTCTCCTCTTGTTCCTCCTAGCATTGTAATTCCTTTCCTTCATCCCTCGGTTCACATTCATTGCCAAATGTAATTTGCAGTTCATGCAGCTTGCTGCTCGCTTTCCTGCATGCACGCACTCTCCCTTGCCATGCATTCCCTTTCACTCCCCTCTCCTCTTGCTCTCCGCTCATTTCGCCATCACTCTACTGCACTCCACACATAGTGTGCTCTTGCCTCCAATCCTTCTTACTTCACTTGTATTTCATATCCCTTTGCGCCCCCTCCCTCTGTCTCTGTCTCTGTCTCTGTCTCTGTCTCTGTCTCTGTCTCTGTCCCTGTCTCGTCTCTGTCTCCCTCACGGCATGCTTGTTTGTTCTTTACCTTCGCACTCTTACAGCCTTCCCTCCTCCTCCTCCCCACCACTTTCTGAGGCAACGCCTTCTCCGCATCCCCTCCCCACCACTTCCGTCTCCTCCCTCTAACACCTCGCGCTCTGCGTCCATTTCATTTCCCGTGACTTTGTTTGATAATAGACCGGCAGCCATGCTTGCCCAGGTGCGCAGCATGTGGGTGCCGCGGGCAGTGAGCTACCATGCTGCTGCCGTGATAGGGGCGATGACTCCATGGGTCATGCGTTCCATTGTCTCGCCTCCCAACGTCGCCATGATCATGGCAGGGCCGGCTGTAGCATGCTGCTCTTCGCAAGCCTTCCTGCTCCTGATGAGGAGCTGGGAGGAATTCCTCGGGGATTTCAGCGAGGAGGTGAGAGAAGCTGACTTGGCGTCTGTGCGAGCATGACGAGTAGCGCAGGTCCTGCAAGATCGCAGGTCCATCCCTCTCTGGATGGTGAGCGTCGTCAGCATCCCAGCATGGGTCGTGGGGTTCATCTTGTACAGCGTTGGCTCAAACTTCTTGTAACATACCGACGGGGGGAGACCAGCAGGTTCGTAGAGTGTGGATGTTGGCCTTAGTCGACATCAGCTTTGTACAATATTGATATATTACATTCATGTGCATTATTCTACCACTAGTGAACATCAAGAGCTGAGGATGTGTTCGAGCATGAAAAAACTCAAGGAGATCTCATCCTTGCAGGAGGGGATCCGATCGGAACCCCCCTCCAAGTTCTTCTTGAAATCGTCGAGGATGCTCGTGTTCCTGCGCACCATCGAGGGTCAGACAGGCCCCAACCTCCGAGAGCGGCCGATGACCTGAGGTGTGTGAAGATAAGCTCCTTGTCCTGTATGTCTCCATCGCTACGTGCGATCTGCCCACACACGCCCGTCACCCGGTACAGCCTCTCCTCCCCTTCCACTCACCGCCACGAAATCCGTCAGAGGAGTCAACTGCTCGACTGCCTTGGGCGACATCTGCACCCCCACCCGTCAGGACGGCAGTGCTGCTCCGTCGCACATTTCGCACCTCGACAGAGAGGTCGACGACCTGCCGGGAGATGCACCGCCCCGTGCGGATGCACCGCTGCTGGACTCTCTCCCAGATGATTTCTCGATCGCACATGACGTGAATGATTCCGATCCGGTAGTGAGGATACCTGGTTGGCAAGTTATTCGTCTACCCGCCCCGATCACACGACGTCACTGACTTGGTTCGGATCTGCGTCAGATATTCCCGATACCACTCGGCGTTGGACAAGGACCCATCCACTATCAAATGCTTGCTGCCCTCCATCAGCTTTCGCACAATCACCTCCTGCCATAACAGCAAGCTGAGTCAAGAAGGAAGAGCGTAAAGCAATGGAAACGCACTTGTAAGAACCCCGATTCATTATGCGTGGCGTGCCCTGCTAGAATGATGTTCTTGTTTGGATTCGGCCCAGGATTTCGAGAGATGTAATGCTGGTAGATTGAAGCCTCAGCAATTCCCAATGCCGTAGAAGCAAAGTACCTTCATCTCAGGTAACTGGTATTTCACTGTATCAGGATCCACCTGAGCCAGCGCGAGTCAACAGTCTTGTCATAGCCAGAGCTACTTCTCACCTTCACCATGAGACGGAGCGAGTCCACACCACTAGCTTCCAACTGCGAGATCGTCCTCGACTTGCCTGCACCCATTGCCCCCGCTGTAAAGATGATCCATGGCCGATCAGAATGAACTCCTGAGTCGCACCAGTACTTGACAATCTCATCCTGCAGCCGCTGTCGCTCTTCGATATAGTTCACGTGATAGTTGTAGTCCAAGGCAGATCTGACTTGTTTGTAGACGCCATGAAAGTTCTCCTTCTTCGCCGGGGCTGCATAGTTGTAGTTCGTAGTCCTGTTCCAATCGAAGCTTTCTGGGATCCTGAAATTGGCTCTATCCGCAAACGTATCGGCGATGGGGTCAATGAAGTTGGTGTCATACGTGTCCCAGCTGTCTACTCCGCCCGAAATCTCCCAGGGGAACCCATGATACGCGTGCTCATCGCCGTCCTCTGTATACATCGGTGCCTCCCCATCCCCCAAAGAGAATTCTCCTTCTGATCCCAACCACTCTACGTCCCGAGGCATCAGATCTCCATCCCATGTGTACACCATAGGAGGGTTAGAACGCCACGCCCTCTCGTTGACTCGCTGCTTCTCTTGGCCGTCGATATCCAACTTATCTCCATCCTCCTTATCGTCTTCGGGGGTGATTTTATTCGCAGAAGACGAACAGGAGCAGGAGGCTCTCAGCCCATCGCGAACAAAGCGTCTCGTGATCTTCTCATGGAGGAAGGAACAACATGGCCCCTTGAGCTTGTAGGCTGATCGACTCAACAGGTTCTTCCTCTCCCTCCGTTGCAGTCCCGGCTGCGAGAGGATCCAGCAAGGAGAAGCAGAGGGGTGGAATCCACAATCGTTCTGACGGAGCTGCTTCAAGGAAAGGAGGGAGGATCTCGAGCAGGCTGCTCGGATCATGGCGAAGAGGATAGCGTGGGTTGCGGCGCTACTCCTCATGCTGGCTGGCCGCATCCTCAAGCCATATCTGCCATCGTTTGATGACCCTTGTGATTCCGGAGGGGTCAACTCAACACTTTGCTTTGAAATATATTGACTTCGTTTTTCAAAGTTACATTGTAGGATTGAACATATACGATTAGTTTGGAGCTATTCATTCAATTTCAAATAGTCACGCACAGTCAGCCCTCTGGAGAAGGGTGAAGGTCAGCACTTGCTTGAAATATCTTATAGTCTCACATATGATAATTTGTACCTTTGCAACAGAGCAGTGTAATGAATTGCTATTCATGTGTAGACCTTGTGGATCCAGAGGTAAGAGGATACAGCTTTTATACTAGGGATGTTGTTATAAAATCCTCCCTGTGCAGCCAATGGAATTCTGCTCTGGTGAGGTCGGTATGAGTCAGAAGAAAAACTCGTACCAGCTGGCCCGCCGGCGCCCGGATCGGACTCAGGGCCCGGTCGGCCCGCGGCGCGGCGCCCGGCGCCGTGCCAGTAGTGACGAGTCGGGACTCCGGGAGCCTGTCACTACTGATCATCGGATAGGTCAGGCTCGGCTCGGAGTCACTCCGTCGCCGACGGCCGGGCTGAGCATTTCGGACCAGCGCCGTCACGACGCCCGTCACGGTGTCAGGCACGCACAGTGACTGGCCCGGCCTGCCCGCGGCCCGGCGGCCAGCGGCTGGGATCGTACTCCTGGCGGCAGTGACTGAGCTGCTGACTGAGCTGGCCGGACTGAGAGTCTGCTGGGTCTGAGGGGGATGAGGGGGATGAGGGGGATGTGGCCCTCGTGCAGTATTCTGGGAAATTTTTTGGAGTAATTTCAGGGATAAATTTGGTTCGTTGAAAACTTGTCTCTTAATTTCAAACTATTGACCAAATGTTCGTGCACTTAAGAAGTGCGCTGACGCGTACAATGTGCTAGGGGGACGAAAAGCGGGAGTACACGAGGGAGGGAGGGGGAGAGGGAAGGATGGGGGAAGGGATGACTGATGATACAATGGAGATGATGAGATGGGAAGAGAGCAACAAGGGAGAGAGGAAGCAGCAAGTTACAGTACGAGGGAACATGGGAAATGGTAGATCAATATGAAGAAGTCAAGAGTGGACATCAGATTTGGACAAGATATTTCATTGGGAAGGAGATTGACACAAGAGACCGGAACTCAAACAGTAACGTTCTTGGAGAAGCAGCAAGGAAACTCATTGAGAACCCTGTTTAGTCCAAGCATAGAGATCCCTGGGGTAACTCAAGGGTGACTGAGAGGACCGAGAAAAGAAAAGCTAGGGACGAGAACTATCATGAAAACCTCATCACGAAAGCCCTGCTTTGAGTCCGATTCATTTCTTTGTTTCACAGAAATCTGAAAGCCAGTGAACGTATACTTCAACCGTTGCGAGTTCATCACCTTCCTTGGACAAGATGAGTGATCTTGATGATTGGGGTAGGCACTGCAGCAATCCCTGTTCCTGCATCGTTGACGGCGTTTCCTTCAATGCAGAGAACGCCGACGAAGATGACATTCAACTTCAGAAGAAGCCTGACGAAGATGAATGGTCTGACAAGGAAGAGGAGGAGGAGGTGAGGCGGTTACGCGGCCTCGTGCGCTATGGCTGAAAAGTGTTCTTGTAGGAGGACCCTGATGAGAAAATGGCGAAGTTGAGAGAGGAGAAGGCAAAACTCCTTGAGAGGTCAGCAGAGAAGGTAAGTAGACACCATTGACAAGCATGCCCAGGCTGAGCGAGATCGACGACATCCTCCCCAAAGAACTCCCCAAGGAGAGCTCCAAGAAGGGGAAGGCTACCAAGAGGCTGATCAAGGAGAAGGAGGAGGAAGAGAAACGCCGCGCTGAAGAGATGACGAAGAGTGAGGCCCAGGTGAGATCCGAGAGGTCTCCTCCCTCCCTGCACGCCTGTGTTGACCCTGCTGTAGGTCTCCTTGCAGCGCAAGATTGAAGAGAGTGACTTTGAGAACGCTCAAGACATGTTTGGTGAAAAAGAGCAGCCGCGAGGTTTGCAGCGGTTCCTCTCACCATCACTTGGTACAGGCAGTGGAGGCAAGGCACAAGAAGGAACATCTGACAGTGGCCGGTTTGAGAGTTGGAATCTCTCCTGCAACTCCAAGCAGAAGGACGTCGAGGAGTTTGCTGAGTACACCGCTGCCAAGATCATCAAGTTTCAGGTTTCTTGCGCAAGTACTGTTCCTTCTTGATCGGTGGAGTGCAGGATGAGTTCCTCTACCTCGCTCTTATTCGCAAGCTCCTTCAGGAGACGACCAAGTCGATTGTAAGAATGAAGTTGACAATTGTGCTCGACCTTACAGCATGGCAGGACTCCAACCAGGTCAAGGAGCTCATGCTTGTCTTGACCAAGGGGCGAGAGGTGCTCTTCATACCACATCACAAGATCGACCAGTCACTGCTGTGCTTGCAGGACTTCAACGTCGCTGATCTTCTCAGATACCTCATCCGTGATGCCGACAAGGACCTGAGCGAGGCTGACATTGAGGTTGTTGCCTTGCTGACATGCTGCTCCTTGACTCGGGCCCGTCCAGGATATGTTGAACAAGGAGCTCAAGATTGAAGAGAAGGCTCTTGCCTCCAAGAGCCGCAGCAAGGCCCCTGAGAAGGTTAGAGAGGAGTGCAGCAGGAGGGCGACGGCGGAGCGTTCTTGGCAAGGGTTGACATGCATGACGTCTCGTACACAGGTGAAGCTGACCGCAAGGCAGCTGCTGATGAAGGTGCTCCTGCACGACCTTGTTAGAGACTGCAAGCCCGAGGAAGTCCTCAGGATCATCGAGGAGGTTCTTGCTGCCCTCTCCTCCTTCCTGCCACTCAAACTTTGACCAGGGCTGCGGGTTGACCCTCACCAGGGAGCAGCAGGGCAAGGTAAGCCTCCTCTTGCTCTCCCTCCTGCCCTCCCATGCTCACTCTCCCTCCCTTTAGATCGCCCACAAGAAGGCTGAGCTGCAAGGAGACCCGAGCGCGCAGAAGCAGGCGGGCAAGGGCTCTGCCCGCGTCGCAGACCACAAGAGCATGTCTATGTATGATGACTCCTCTCCTCGCTCCCTTCCCCTTCCGCACTTGGCTAATCCAGGGGCAGGTACGATGCCTTTGGTACTGGAGGAGGAGAGGACTGGGGAGGCGGTGGTGGCACTCGAGGAGACGAGTGAGTCTTGATGCCACGTTGCTCTCGTGCTGACCGCGTTCTCAGCTATGATTTCATGTAAAGCCAGCAAACAGTCCACGACGAGGTTCGGAAGAGGTTTGACTGGCCACTTGTGGTCCTTTATGATCAGGATCTTAATTACATATGATTGCATTTGGAGTAGTTCAATCAGCGTTGCTGCCATCCCCTCGGCGCCCCCCTTCCTGTCATCTATCCTGTTCCCTTGTTGATCCCTGTCCCTTCCACTCTTGTTCTTTCCCTCCTCCTCCTTCCCCTCCCTCCATCCAAGCTCTCCTACAAGTGCTTACCGCTCAACTCACTCCGCGCGTAGCTGCGTTGCCCTGGTGACCCTCCCCTCTTCTCCGCCTGGAACTCGCTCCTGGCCTGCTGCCTTCTCCCCGCGGAGACGATGGGAGGGAACATGCCGTCTGGCTCTGATCAACATACGTCAGCTCCTTTACAGCTGCTAGCTCATCCTACCATGACTTGGAGGAGCTCCTCGCCCAGGGTTCGCCTTCATCTGGAGCAGCCGGTAAGAGTCTCCTGGTCACTCGTGCCCACTCGCCTGCTGCTCGTGAACTCGCTGGATGAGGAATCGGAGGACGCGCTCGCGCTCGATCTTTCGCTCAGATCAGCTTGCTGCAAATCAGGAGGAGGAGGAGGAGGAGGAGGACGCGGAGGCGGGGATGGGGATGATAAGGAAGGGGAGGATGAAGCGCGGAAGCAGGAAAGGGGGGGGGGAAAGGGCATACGAGGTTCAGCTCATCGAGACGCGGTGGAAGAGCGTCCTCAGGCCTCCAACCAGACTCAGCAAGCTCGGGCAGACTGCTCTCTTCCAGCCAGGCATCCTGCGGCCAGATGAGAGCAAGGGAGGAGGCGATCAGAATGAAAGGATTGTGATGATGATGAGCAGGGGGTCATGGATAGAAATGAGATGATGATGAGGGTAACGAGAGAGAGGAGAGAGAGGGAGCGACAATGCTGGGGAAAGTGCGAAAGACGGGGAGCTGTAGATCACCTCTCCTCGTGTTTCGATGTACTGCTCTTTGATCTCGTTCGCAGCCTTCGCGAGGAATTCCACAAGCTGCAGGCTGAGTCACCGGGGAGCGCAAGAGGAGAGAGTGCGAACTTCGTCTTGAAGCGTCTCGATGCGGAAGAGCTCAACCGTCTTGGCCTCCAGCTCCCTTTTCGTCTCCTCCAGCTCCCTCTTGACCTCCTCAAAATCCTATCGACACATCTCATCGGGAGTTTCAAGTTCAGGCCGGTGCTCACCCTCTGCAAGCCGCTCACTTGCTCCCTGCACTTGCCCTCAGCGTCGTCGACTCTCGCCTTGCTCTCCTTCTCGTTCTCTTGTCTCGCTCCTTCCAAGGTCTTGACCTTGCCCAGCAAAGTCTTGATGGTCTTCATGTACGCATGGTTCCTCTTCACCAGCTCTGCCTCAGTCTGCTTGTGGAGCTCGAGATCTCGCCGGAGCATACGGTTCTCTTCCTCGAACTTGATGTTCTTCTGTAAGATCTTCTGAGACTCTTTGTTCTGGTACACCAGCTCGGCCGAAATTTTCTCGTTCTCCTGCATCGTTTGCTTCGTTCTGGACTTGAGCTGGTTGTCAGTCAGTTTCGTGAAGGTCGCCTTAACTTCCTCGATCTTGAGCTCCATCTCCCTTCGAAGGGCCGCCTTCTCTTGCACAGTCTTCCTCTCGAGCTCCGCCACCACTTGCTCATGCTTCTTCTTCTCACGTGCGAGGTCGTTCTGGGCGTTTTCGAGCTCCTTTTCGATGTGGTGCTTCTTCTCAATGAACACGTTGAGATCCGATAGCTCCTTCTCATATCTCCCCACCTCCTTGGCCAACTTCGCCGTGATCTCCTTCGCCAGCTCCTTCTCCTCGTTGTGCTTCTCCTCCACCACTGCCTGATCGCTCTGTAGCTGGGTTTCCAAGTCCTTCACCTGCGCCTCGAGCTTTGCTATCGTTGAGCTCTTGGTCACGATCTCTTTGTTCAGGAAGGTGTACAGGTCGCGCTGCTCGAGCTGCTGGAGCTGGAGCTCTTCCTTGAGCTTCTTGTTCTCCTCCTGGAGGTCCTGCTGAGCTTTGATGGACTTGTCTAGCTTCTCCTTGATTGTGACGAACTCTAGGACCTTTTCTGGTTGAGCTAGCACATCCGCGAATGGATTCGGCTCCTCGCCTCCTCCCGCCTCCTTCTTTCCGCCCTTTTTCGGCATGGCGGAGGCTTCAACAAGTCTGATCTCTTTCACTCATCGGAGTCGAATCTAGCTCTTCTCCCCAGTCGCGTCGTGCCTGCATCTGAACTCGTTCTTCCTTCGGCTTAGGACCCTCTGTCGCACATGGCCGTCCTTAAACTCCGGAAGCACAGGAATAATCGGAGAGCCCTCAGCACAGCTGGACTGTTGCAATGGCTACGACCGGCTCCCCTCCTACTCTACCTGCACAACAAGACTTTCAGTGGGAAACTATGGCCCGCTCACCTTCGTCACTTCCATCCAGCTCCCTCTCAGCGCTCCTCCTGCATCCTCTTGTTGCTCTCTCTACCCTCCCCTGCCCTGTCTCCTCCCCTGCCCACTGTGCTCCCATGTGCCGCTCTTCCCGGTACTCCTTCCCCCATCCTCTGACCGCCCCCCTCATTTCCACTCCTTCACAAGCGGCAGTTGAGGGTTCATTTTGTTCCATGGTTGGTGGAGGACAGCAAATACTGATATAGGGATTTTTTCACTGACCTTTGCAAGATACATCTGAGGCGGGTTTGGACTCCCTATAACTCTGAGGCGGATCATCATTTCTCTACGTCAGACTATGTGCCCCGTGTGGCAGCAAGACGAATTAGGGAAGTGTATTAGCAGTGGATAGGGCAGAAACTAACGAGCGGACATGCCGCAAGAGGAGAGATGGCGGAGGCGTAGAAGAGATGGGCCAGAAAAGGCGGGTGGGAAGCGATGAGGGGAGGGGAGTGGCGGTGAAGGGAGCAAGTAGAAGGGGGGAAGGGAAGGGCGGTATGCAGAGCGAAGGTGTGCAAGAGAGGATGAGGAGGGAGGAGGGGAGATGGATGAGTGGAGAGGAGCGACATATCTGATCTGACGAGTGGTGCCTGCACTTGGCAGGTCCGATGCTAACTTGAAAGGAGACTTGAAAACAATTCAAGGGGGAAACATGCCGAGCTTCATGGAGTTTGTTCTGAAGCCTGTGCTGCTGGACCAACATCTTCAAGGCCTCAAGACAGACAGCAAGCTGAAGCCAGATGCCCACGAGCTGCTGCAGTCTCTTGTTGAGCTCGCGCAGAACCAGGAGTCAGAGTTGCAGAAAGCCACCGATCCCACGATTAAGGCAGAATGTAAGTCGTCACAAGCCTTCGCTTTCAATCTGGCGGCAAGAGTGGTTCTCAAAGCAGGTATGACTTGACTTTGCATGTTGGTCTGGCGCATCAGTTGTCCATGAGACGCTCTCCTTCGCCTCTCACCTCCAGCGCTGTGACATGAAGACAGGACTGACCCTCGAGGACATCGAGCATGGCATTCCGCATGCTCAGCAACTCACTTTGCTAAAGCACACCCACGCACTTGAGCCTGAAAATAGAATCCTAGAATGCGACATCCACCGTTGGGTTCTCCGCTCCATGGTGCGGGGAGAGGACCGAGGAGAAGAGAGCGTAGAGCAGTCCGCGAGCTTCCTCTCTCAGTACCTCGAGGATTACTCCAACTCTCACGATTGCACTGCTGGCAAGGAAACAAGTGAAGCTGATTGTTGATTCGGTTTAGAATCGATGCCCTGATGCTTTCTTACAGTGACCATTCAAAACTCGATGCTTCGCGCTCAAGTCCATACCTTTGCGCTGTCAGTCACGATCTAGCTGAATGGTTCTTTCACTGCGGAAATTTCAAGCGAGCCGAGCAGGTCAGGGCTGAAATCCATCGGGTTCCGTTAGGTTCTTCGATTGATGGTTTTCCTACAGCTCTTCCGCCTCTCGCTAGAGTTCAACGATGACTTGAAGACGTTGACGGACAGGTTTGAATCTGAACCCAACACAACCGAGTCGCTGAAGTCCTGGGACAGCGCCAAGGACTCTTCCGAGCAAGCGGCTCTTTCAATCGTCAAGGATCACATCGATCGTTGTAGGGTACTCCCACACCGCCTCGCCGCGCTTGCTCTGGCTCTAAGGATGCTGCGACTGTCAACGGTCTGTGTTGAACGAGGACATGCTCCTGTCCTCATGACTTTGCCAGCCGGATGCGCCGCCGACGCCGTTCCATGGTATTCGGAGAGGGAAGGCCGCAGCTCGACCGGAAGCCTCGGAACCTGCCGAGGACGGTAGCGCTCATTGCACAAGATCTTGTTGTCATGCTCACGAATGTTCTGAAAGAATTGGAAAACTCGAAAGACGTCGACATGCAGATGAAGGGCGCGGCGATGACGGGCAGCGGTGAATCACCCTCAACCTCCGTGTTCCTCGTTTCCCGGGCTGACCTGACTGGTTGACAGGCTTGATGATCCTTGCTGCAGAGCTCCTGCGGCTGCAGAACAAGAGCGAGTTGCTCCTTGACCTGCTCCACCTCGACAACGCGCTCAGGCTGTCAGCGCAGGTGATACTGCAAACCAGCAGAAGACTCGATTTTGACGCTGTTGCTGCTTCCAGAATGCGATGAGCAGAGCCGAGAGCTCTTCCTCTGCTGAGAACGGATTCTTTGCGAAACTCTTTGCCGAAGGAATCGAGGGCATCTCCCCGCTCCCTTGGCCTTACAGGCAGCACCTGATGTGCTCCATTCCGGACAGCCAGTCATCAGATGAGGAGGAGGATCAGGAGAACATTCAACTCTCCTTCTCCGCTGCAAATTGTATCGCTGCACTGACTGGAGCGTCCGCTGCATCTGCATACGTAATGAGCTCTATCCTGTCTGTCTTTATTGTCATCCTGATGGAATTCGATTGGCCCCTTCTGTCATCTTGCGCTCTTCTCGCCTTCTGCTTCTGATGGTTTCTGCTCTAGGTTGGGCTGAGGATGAGACATGACCTGATGACCGTGAATCAGCCTTATTTCCAAGCAGAAGAGCTTTCTGTCTCGGCCGAAAGCCACAAAGATCAAATCACCCGCAAGAAGAACATCCGCGCTGTCATTCAGGCTGCGAGGCGAACTATGGACGTGAGAATCTTTTCGAGATGTTCTTTACGTGACAAGAGATGTTCTAAAGGTCCTCGTGAGCGCTGAAAATCAAGAGAACTGCACAGAGATGATCAACAAAACGCTCCCTGCAAAGCTCCAACAAAATCTCAAGATGGGTCCCATCCTTGTCAACGCGTTTCTCGCAGCCTCTGAGCACGGGGTAAGACCCTGTTGGGTGTTGGCATTCTGTTGATGTTCTATGTAAGGCGACCAAGCGAGCGAGGAATATGCTGGAAATTGCAATCGATCAGTTGCAGATGGTTCTTTCTGAGACAGAGGAGGAGGGAAAGGCAGGTGACAAGCGGTCGAGGCATGGGGATGGTGAGGAAATGCAATCCGACCAAAACAAGGCCGGGCCAAGCTCTGCAAACAAGCGGAAGTGCAGAGAATCTTTCATTGCTGGGCTGCTCTACAAGCGCAAAGAGGTTTTCAGTGACGAGCAGCTGAAGCATTCTTGCTTCTCAGCGGGGGAGATAGGGATCAACGTCCGAGAGTCGGCAAGCAAGACATGGAATGATGTGGAGGGCAAATGCAGGGAGCTAGGCGAGATGTCTCTGGGGATTGGAAGGTCGCCAGAGCTCTCAGACGAGCAGATTGAGAGCTTGTCTACCCTCCTTGATGGGATTGTGCTGGCGGCATCGGAAGCCGGTGGTCATTGGATCTCTCACGAGTACCCGCAGCAAGGATGGTTCGATGCTCTCTCGGGTAGGAGACGGGTGGGTCTGCCTCTTGTGCTGACTGGAGTCTGCAAGGGATGTCGACGGAGTCGCTATCGGCCGCGTACTCGCTGTGCCGAAGGCTGGAGGGAGACTCGAGGGTGAAAGGGATCTTTGCGTCCTCGTTGGAGGACGTCAAGTCGAAGAAGAACCCGTACGCTGATGTGCGGATGCTGATGCTTCGCGCCATCCTCATGATGTGAGCCTTGTATCCTCAACTCGCTGCGCTGACCGCAGGCCTCCTGCAGCCTCCAAGAGCGGGAACAATCCGAGGCGAAATGGGCCATCGAAGGAGCGAAGCTCGCGCTGACGGGAGGGAACGCCAAGGTGGGACGTGCGGTTGCGCCGGAGGGCCTGACATGTCGCGCAGATCGCGATAAGATGCCTGGTGATGTCCGCCCTGAACCTTTTAGGAGGCGACGAGTCTGGATTTCGATCCTCGCTGATAGGGACCAATCGCGTTCCTGTCCTGCCCAAGAATCTGACAGAGCTCCTGATCGAATGCCTGTGAGCTGCTTCCTCTGCTCTCCTTGTCTTGGACTACCCGTGTTCCATCCCTTGCTCTTGGTGTTCACGTGTCGGCCGCAGGTGCAAGGCGAGCTGCGGGGCAGACGCCATCATCGTCTCACAGATGCAGGTGTGTGAGCACGAAGCTTGTACACCTTCCTCCTCAAACTGCCTGCTGCCATCTTGCATATCATCCTGACGTCATCCTCTCCAGACGGAGAGTGCCCTGCGCCTCTACTTCAAGTGAGCTCTGATTCTCTCCTCTCCTCGCTCGTTCACCTTGTGCGATGTGCAGGCACTGCAGCGAGCTGGACATGAAGCATGCGATGTGGCTGGTACCTTCTTCCAGCTCTCCTCCTCCTCCTCCTCCTCCTCCTCCTCCTCCTCCTCCTCCTCCTCCTCCTCCTCCTCCTCCTCCTCCTGATAGTTTCGCGCTCACAGTGGAACATGGACGTTATGGAGAGGCTGATGCAGTCACTGTACGCCATGGCGGCGCTTGGACCGAAAGTTCTCATACTCGTTGCAGGGATGCCAAGAATGATCAACGAAGAGTAGGGTGGGTGCTGGAAGCGCTCTCACGGCCTCAGCTCAACTGTACGCCCTGCTCCCTTCTGGACCCACACCTGACAAGCATCCCAGGCAGCAATGCCGAGACCATCAGGGCGAGCTTTGCTCTGCAGCTGATGCAACAGTAAGCTGACGATGTGTGCACACAGAGTTTTAACTTGCTCGATCAGGTTCTTGCTTTATTTGCTTCGACAGTTCTCTTAATCATTCTACAAACCTTTCAATTCCTTTGCATTGCTGTCTACAAGGGTTCGCCAGCAAGCGGATCTGTTCCTTAGCAATGAAGATGTATCTTCGGTGTATGCTTTCTACCCCAGCCCGCTGTTCCGCCCTCAACGTGTCCGAAATCGCTATCTACCATCAGATCACCGTTTGGGCAGAGATTTGCTGCTCCCCATTCCGTGGACAAGTCCTCTCCGAACGATCTAGAGTAGTCGGAACCGAAACTGAACGACGAGAAAGAAGAGGTACTACTCTCATTGCTGGAGCTCCCACACAAAGATCTCTCGAAATTCTGCACGTACAAGTTTCGGACCAGATGTCGAGCCTCTTCGAGTTGCTCTCCTCCGTTGGAATCCCGACGAAGCTGTTCGTCCAACTCTGGCTTGGCTTGTTGATGTATGTCCTGGTGGCTGCCCCCCATCATTTGGATGAGCATCAACCCAACAACATGATGGTGATCTGATCCAGCATCACATCTTCCTTCCTCTAGCCTCTCTTCCTCATCTTCTCTCCTGTTCCCCGTCCTCATTGTCGCCATCGCCGCGATCGCACCCTGGAACCAAAACAAACCACCCCACTGATATTAACTTTACCACCGGTGCAAGGTCTAACCCACCCCCACCCTCACCCCCAGCGGCTAAAGGATATTAATTACTTCTACCACCACCAGTTTCACTACAGCACTGTAAGTGATCCCTTGATGATCAAAGGGTGGGCGCCGGCACAGGGGTGGTACCTGTACCCCCACCGAACCGTACTGCAGTAGTGGATACGGTCAGCAACCCTGGTTCCGATATGGTTTCATACGGGGTGGGGGTACAGTATCGGTTCAGCGATGAAAAAAAATTGGAACGTCGGATATCGGGATCTTTTAGCAGGTTCTTGGTTAAAATTTAAGAGACTTCCCCTTAATTTAAGCCGGTGCCTGTGACTCAGTGACGCGGCCTGAGTCACGTTCAAAAGCCGATTTCGTACCCGGGGCCTGATAACTCAGTGGAGCTCGACAACACTCTATAGAACAAGTGACTATCGTATGATTATTACATGCGCAAAGCTGAAAGAAGGAAGAAGCCTCATCATGTGACTGCTTCCTCAACGGTTAGCTCGGACTCCTTGCTTGCCTCTAGTTCTGGTGCCGCTCGTGCATCTACTCGTCGATCATGCAGCAAGGCAGCCAACTTGGCTCCCAGGCTCTCTAGGAACATGCGAGCGAAGCCTCGTCCCACTGTGATTGACATATAGTCCATGAGCTGAGGAAACGCATCCCAGATGGCCGGGTCAGTCACAAGGAGCTGGCGGTCGGGGTTTCTGCCGGAGAATCTTGACTGATAGATTTCAGCAGCTGCCTCGCTCTGCACGAAGAATACGAAGAGCGCGTTGTCGGCCAGCGGCACCCGGATCTCCTGATCCATGCAGAATCTCACTGTCACCGAGATGGAGTTGAGAAAGCGTTGCATGTTCTGCGCCTCGCAACTTGGAGTGATAGCAGAAGTTTCGCACGTCACAAAGATCACCTCGAAGCCCTTAGCGAGCTCTTCCTGAGCCAGGAGAATCGGAGCAAGGTGAGGGCTGTGCAGCAAGCGAACATCCGCCCTCTTAAGGATACCGAATGACGCCTGACAGGTAACAAAGCCAGTGAGCATATATACATTCACCCATGGTGGATTAGGAAAGGCTCCCAAGCAAGCATAGTCTGAGCAACTTGGCCACAGAGGGTCAAACGAAGCTTTGATTTTGCTGGTCGTGTTTGATTTGCTTCCCGTGCTTTGAAACCATGTAGAACAGTTGCTGAGAGTTTGTTTGGAGATCCAGTTGGAAAATTCGTGTGGACTGATGAAACCTGAATCATTTCCATCTATTTCTTGAAACAAATGATCGCTAACTGCCGTTGATTTGCTTTCCTGAGGTTGATTGCAACTAATGGCACAGTTGACAAATGGCAAGATTGTAAGTACAATGCAAATCAAATAGCAAAGCAAGCAGTACAATAGCTCGTGAGGAACGGCAAAAAGCGGATGAAACTCACTGCCATCGTCTGTGATGTAATGCAGGCCTGATGACGTGGCATCTGCAGGTAGAAATGGCTTGCCTTTGAGTGAGTACCATGCATGTCTGCCGACTATGCTTCGAATCCTCGCGCTGGAGGTTGCGATGCTCCGTTGATGCGAGACGGGCTGTTGCAGCCACCAGGTGGCTATGAAGTCTGATCCAGAGCCCTGCAGGCAAATCATCTTGCGTCGATGTGCTGCAGAAGCTCTTCGACAGAGGTAACCACATGCCTCCCATGCTCGCGCAGAATCCTCTCGGCATCTTGTGGGGAAGCTCCAGCGTTCCAGTCCATAGATCCGTCTACGAAGAACACACTGCGAGCTGGATCCATATCTAGAGTCGAAAGAAGCTCTATACAGCAATTTACACTACTCAGATAGTTGGGATTCACTATGGCGATCACAAACAGAACTTGCTTCGGCACTGCGTAGATCATGTCTTGGAGGCTGTGAGCGTTTTCCATCCGATACACATCCAGCCAGACATGGATGCCGAGGTGAGACAGGCAGCTTGTCAGTGACCATGCCAGCTCCTGACTCTTCCAATTATACGAGATCATGAAGTGAAACGATTGCACAGGCGCGAGATGCTGTAGCTTGATTATTCTGCCCGACCGCTTGATGATGAGTCCTGTATGAGTGAGTACATACGCTAAGAAGATGAAAACTGCGGACAACAAACATAAAAGTTGCCATATCACCAAGCCTGGGTTGAAGATGTAAAAGAGTCGTCGGAGGAAAGAGCCGTTTTTCACTGAATCGGACGCAATAAAGAGCATTCCGACCATCGTGATCATCAAAAGAGCCAAAAGCTGCTGCATTGCTGAAAAAATCGGGGCTTCAAGTGCTGGCATGCCGGAGGATCTTTTGCTAACAGGAGCTACGATCTTCCCTACCTGCTTGCTATCAGGCAGCACCTGCAGTAGGTAGTCTCCCATCAGTATCGACTTCCTCCACCACACTGCGAACGGGTTGACCAGAGGAGGTCTGAAGCGATCTTGCTTGAAACCCACAGGGCGAGGAGGTATGAAGCTCGTATCGTTCCTGATCCTCTCAACGAGCTCCAAAGCTCCTGGCCCTCCGTCGGGAGCATGATCCAGACCGACAAACACTCCACAGGCTGGGTGCTTGAGGGACGAGCCTGCGCTCTCTGCTTCCTACGCCTCGAGCAGGAACGAGGAAGGGATCTGACTCAGGCTCCTGTGCTATCCCGTGCGTTCCTCGCCCTCGGCTCCTCACCATCCTCCCGCTAATCCTCCCTCCCAGCTCACCTCCAGCTCTGCATTCCGGGGAGTGTAACGTCCGCGCCACTCGTTACACCAAAATACAAGTCCGCCTCGGAGGCGTGGCAAATTTCAACCGCCGGCGGGTCATGCTCGATGGACCTGGAGGGCTTGGCTGAGGCATGCGCGCATGCAGAGGCTCCCTCCTCCTCCTCCTCCTCCTCCTCCTTCCCTGTGAAGGTCAGAGCAACGAGATCGCCTTCCTCTTTCGCCCCCAACCCTCTTCTTCGAGCGCTTGACGGCTCAGCCACCGCCGATGGGCGACCAGGGCTGAGGAGGCTCAAAGTCCAACTGAGCAGGCTGCTGTCAGAGGAAGAAGATGAAAACTTCCAGTTCTGGCAGGAGCTACCGCAACACTATGCTGAGGCGATTGTAAAGTTTGCGATGTTGATCACTTCGAATGTCTCATTTCTTTTTGCTTCCCTCAGGTTTTACTTTCGGCAAACAATGACGCTAAAAGCGCATATCATGTGATGGAGATCATTCCGGAGTTGATACAGACGTTCACCTCGCAGCATAATCAAGTGAAGTGCTACACTGCACTGCTGGTCGTGAAGCACATCCGGCATGAGCTCTCGAGGAACTTGCACCTTCACTTGAGGGACGCGATAAGCTCAGGATGGTCCGAGTTAGTTGAGGCACTTGTGCTGTTTGAGTTGGCTCGAACCAAGGTATGATGTGATGCCTGCCTGTTGCTGCCTGCCTCCTACTCCTCGCTGACGGCAACGTGCTCTCAGATCACACTGTCAAGAGCAAGAGCAGCAAAGTACATGAAGGACCTGCTCAACACATGTTTGAAGCACAGCGCGTACAACCTTCGAGGTGACTGCCTGCTCGTGCTGTTGAAGCATGGAGCAGACATCCATGCTGCCGACGACTGGGGAAACACTGCATTGGACTTTGCGACGAAGAGGCAGGAGCAGCTGATCAGAGATGTCAAAGTAACTTTTGATGATGATACCTGCGCCTTCGAGGACACGATTCAGATCCTTCGCAAGGCCAGCCTTGTGTCCAGTGACGTTCGCAGTGTCTGGGCAGGCGATCTGATGCGCCGCTTGAGATTCCTGGGATACGTGGAGAAGAAGCTGACGTGTGTTCTCGGATCTCACATTGCTGAGCGTCGCCCCTTCGTTTATGGCAAGCATTCGGCCTTGCGCTTCAGGTTAGAAGAACTCGTCTCCTCTTGACGTATCTTCCCGCTGACTTGCAGCGGATCAGCGCTACCTTACCGAGAGGACTTGAGATCGACGAGGCTACAGGAGCCATCGGCGGAGCGCCTTCGGTGCTGTGCCTGGACGAGCGAGTGACGATCACGGCTTACGACGACTCGTCTCGGTCGTGCCTGTCGACCCACCTGGAAGTGACGGCGGTTCACCCCTTGCCGGACAAGTTCGATTACTATCACCATGGATTCATCCTCTGCTTGGATGTCGACTTCGATCTTCATCCCAGGTTCAGTGTGGCTGGTTACGAGGAGGGCTGGGAGGAGGAGGGAGAGGAGGTCCGAGAGGTAGAGGGAGAAGAGACCTGGGACAGGAGGATAGGGGAGAAGATGAGGCACAAGATCCCATCATGTCTGGGGCAGCTGCAGTTTACAGCTCATCCTGATCTCCCTGTTGGAGTCTCTCTCTGCTCGCAGTCGGGGCGTATCTACGGATGTATGAGCGACGTCAGCGAGCCAGCAGGTGACGTCACCTTGTCAAACTTGACGTGACGTGACGTGACGTGACGTGACGTGACGTGACGTGGCAGAGTACAAGGTAGTAGCAAGAAACAGGGTCGGGCAGTTGGCGACTTGCTGGGTTGCCATCGGCAGCCAGGAGCCGCTGCTGTCGCTGGAGTTCGTGCCGAGCCGCAAGCACTTGCTAGTAGGCGAGGAGGTCAACCTGCAAGCCCTCCTCAACACCAGGTGCTGCTTCCTGACCTGACCAGCATCTGTCATGACTCTGCTCTTGCCCAGAGTCTACAGACCCCCGACCTCTCGTCCTCCCGGTGATCGTCCGTTACAGCTGAAGTTTGACGTGCAGCCGCCCCTGCCCGCTGGTCTCTTTCTGGACCCGGCGACTGGGGAGATCAGCGGAGCTTGTCAATCGGTCGTGAGCGAGCAGGAACAGGTGGTGACAGCATCATGGGAATTTCTGCGAGGGAGGGAGGAGCTGGTGGTGGTGGAGAACGCTGACGAGCAGAGGGGAGGGGAGAAAACGAAGGTGAGGGTGCGAGAGGAGAAGGGGGGGAAGGGTTGGTTCATCCACGAGAGCCTCAGAATTGTCAGCGTCTCCTCTGCGCTCTCCCTCTCCATCCTCCGCCCTCCCACTCACCTCGAGTACGGCAGCTCTTCCCTGTTCCTATCCCCCTCTTCGGACTCCCCTGTCCACTCCCCGACGTTTGACGGCTCTCCTCCTCTCTCCTTCTCCATCTTCCCCCTCGTTCGAGGGGTCTCGATCGATCACCAGACCGGAGTCATCCGCGGCTCCCCCTTGGACGGCGAGCCCTTCAGCAACAGCAGGACGAGGAGCAGCCCGAAGAGAGTCCACGTCCTACTCAGCAACCCGGTCGGCAGCGTCAGCAGAGAGATCATCCTCCATGTCATTGACAAGCCCTTCCTCTCCTCCTACACGGAGCCAGAGGTCACCTGCGCCATCGGCATCCTACTCGACCTTCCCATCAAGACTGCCAGGGGCCACAGGCTCAGATTCTCCGTCTCTCCTCCTCTCCCTCCTGGAATTCAGCTGGACAGCCGCACGGGGAGGGTGTTCGGAGCAGCGGAGGCTCCTTTGCGCAGGAGCTGCTTCCTTGTTCGGGCGGAGAACGAAGTCGGGGAGGCGTCGACAAGCTTCTACCTCACCGTCATGGACCCGCCGCTTGCAAGGCAGAGGACGGGGAAGGGCCCCAACACGAGCAAGAAGGTCTCCAGCAAGAGAGCAGACGCTGCGAGTGGAAGGGCTGAGGCCAGGCAGGAAGGAGGCGGAGGGAGCAGGAGGATAGGAGGCAACAGCAGCCTGCTCGCTCCTGCACCTGCTTCCACTATCCCATATCTTCCTCCTCCTCAACAGCCTCTTCCCTCCCCTTCCTATCATCCTCATGCCCCTCGTTCGCTCAGATATCGCAGGATGAACAACCTTCTCTTCTGCATGAACGAGCCCATCGCTCCTCTCCTCCCCGTCCTCCGCCACGGCCTCCCTCCCTTCTACTTCTCCGTCGCTCCTCCTCTTCCCCCTGGCATGCTTCTTGACCAGGAGCACGGGACGATCTCCGGGACCCCTGAGCAAGCGATTCCACTGATGGTCTATCAGGTGACACCATCCTTCCATGCTGCTCCTGCTCCTGCTCCTGCTCCCTGCTCCTGCTCCCTGCTCCTGCTCCCTGCTCCTGCTCCCTGCTCCTGCTCTTGCTCCGTATACCTTCCATCCATGTGTTTGCGCTATCCTTTATCTCTGCTCTTCCCCTTGCTCAGCTCCTCCTCATCTTCCCATCCCTGACCAGCTTCAGGTCACGGCAAAGAACAGTTTCGGCACCTGCTCGGCCGAGCTGGAGCTGGAGGTGCAAGAAAAGCCCTCGCCTCCCTCCTACTCTTCCTGTTACCTCTCCTTCGGCCTCCATCACTTCGCCGAGTACCCGCTGATCGCTCCCTCCTCGGGGACGCAGCCAGTCGAGATCCACGCGCTGAACGCGCTGCCCCCTGGGATCAGGCTGGAGAAAGACGGCAGGATATGCGGGACGGCGAGCGTGCTGATGGGGAGGAAAGAGGTTACGGTGGTTGCCTGCAACGCTGCAGGAACGAGCAAGACGAAGATTGAGATCGAGGTCGTGGAGCCCATCACCGACTTCAGTTACAGGAAGGGGACGAGGACGGGGGATAAGACGCTTTTCTCTTTCCTCTTCTCCTCCCCCTTCGACAGCGACACGCCCACGGTGGGAGGAGGGACGGTAGAGGAGTTCCTGCTGCTTGGGGAGCTGCCGGAGGGGATCAGCCTCGACTCTCAGACAGGGAGGATGACGGGGCAAGCGTCGTTCCCGTCGGAAGGAGGAGAGGTGACGGAGCGGGAGGTCATCATCGTAGCAAGGAACAAGATCAGCGAGCAGCGGGTGCATGCTCGCTACGTCCCCGTCAGCTTCCTCCTCATCCGCGTCCTGGACCTCTTCACCGCTCGCCCCATCCCCCGCGTCTCGCTCCGCCTTACCTGCCTGTCGGTACAAGACTCCTCCTCCTCTTCCGTCGATCAGGGCAAGCAGGAGAAAGCTGCGGCTAGCGAGCTCGAAGACTCGGGCTGGCTGACCAGCAGCGCGCAAGGGCACTGCCGGCTGACAGCAAAAGCAGGACGACTGTACAAGTTGAATGTGGAGAAGTCAGGTCAGGAGGAGGTGGTGGAGGTAAAGGAAACAGAGAGGAGGAGGAGGAGGAGGAGGAGGAGGAGGCTCAGAATGGAGGTGGGGAGGAGGAGCAGGAGGAGGCTAAGAATGGAAGTGGGGAGGAGGAGCAGGAGGAGGATGTGGAGGTGGATGTGGTGGAGGAGTAGGAAGGGGGAATAGGAGGTGAAGGAAGCAGGACGAGGAGGACGAGGAGGACGAGGAGGACGGGTGATTTTCTTGTTCCGTTTCAGGCCTCCAATTGGTGGCAATCGATCGATCCGGAAGGAAATTGAAAGCCAGAGAATGTGGCGAGTACGATGATGTAAAGACGGAGGCATCAGCAGAGATGGTAATCAAAATGATCTTTCACCCTTATCCTCCCATCTCCTCCTCCCATCTCCTCATTTCCTCTTCCTCCTCCCCTTCCCTCTTCTTTTCCTGTCCTGTACCGTCCTGCCCTGCCTTCTTCCATGCCCTGCCCTGTCCTCTCCCTTCCTCTTCTTCTCTTCTCTTCCCCCTCCCCTGTCCATCTGTCAACTCATCTTGTTCCACAACTGCACCTTGATGGACTGACAGGTCACGGACATGCAAGAAGTGCAATTGAGCTATCTGGTGCTGGATCATGTAGACACGGGAGTCTTTTGGATTCAAGTGAGATATTGCGATGCGATGAGACACTGTGAAGAAAGAACGAAAGACTTGCAACGTGTTTGTTTTTGACTTGCTCTTTGTGATTGTTCCTTTCTAAAGAACGGTGTTGTTGTTGTTGTTGTTGTTGTTGTTGTTGTTGTTGTTGTTGTTGTTGTTGAGGTTGAGGTTGTTGAGGTTGAGGTTGTTGTTGTTGTTGTTGTTGTTGTTGTTGTTGGCTGTGGTGGTAAATTTGTGGTATTGAAGATGATGATTTTCATGTCGATGATTACGATGATCATAAAAGACGATCAGAAACGATGACGATAATGACGATGAGATGATGATGATGATGATGATGATGATGATGATGATGATGACGATGAGATGATGATGATGATGATGATGATGATGACGACGACGACGACGACGATGACGATGATGATGA